GTATAATCTGGAAATGGAAACATAGTTGATGGCGTGAAATTGTTCCCTTTCAGCGTAATTACGATTCAGATAAGCCAATTTTTATTTCGTGGTAGAAATTGTTTGTTAGTTTCAATTAAATAATGTCTTCATTCAATTATTTGAGTTTTTATTGATAAGAGTCTTGTCAAAAGATGACCTATGCCTACAATTTTAGCAAAAGTTATACTGATCATTTCATATGTGATAATTTATTTTAAAAATATACTTGTCAGATAAAGCAATAAGTTATGGTTCTTTCAAAGGGTGCTAGAAATCTATCAGAAGAACAAGTCCTTCGAATTTCTCCCTGGTCCATAGGAACCCATGCGTCCGGGCTATGAAGTGGTTTCCGGTTTTTCCGGGGAGGGGTCTAATCTGTGATCGAGTGGCTCGTCCAAAATGTATAATTACAATCCCTTTGACGGGGTAATGAGATGCAATGCGATCCTCAAATTGCTCCCGAGCCAGATTCGCATTGTTTTACGTCGGATTAGCGCCTAAAGCAGAAAATGGAAGCAAAGATCTTCAAATTAAACATTCAATTTCCGTCTCCAAATTAAAGATCTCCCTTTCAAAAGCTCAAAATTGGTTGATTTCGGTCAATCCAGCCCTCTTTTTCGCCGAAAAATCGTCTCTTTTGGGCTTCAGAAAAGATTTCTCCTGAAAAAAGGGTGGTCTTATTTTGCGCAAACGCTGTAGAAAATAAAATTTGATGAGAAACTTGGCTATTTTAGTACAGAAAATCTACGGTTGTTAAAAAGTTAAGTGATAATTTCCCCGAGTTTTCAAAGCGGCAGAGGCGTTTTTTCGCGGTGTGAGAAAACAAACACTAGAAAAAAAAATGAATTGGCGGGCTAATTGACAACCCAATGGTTATCACCTTGTGGTCGGTTAAATCCGTATAAGTATAAACCAAAATTCCAACAAGCGGCTAACATGGGTAAGTCCTGGGAAATTTAACGCTGTGTCTATTTGGATTGCCATACCCTGGGATAGAAGGGCTACTAGCCCTCAGAGGACTTACAGTAAGACGGTGCCTAAATGATGAATTCATAAAAGAAGGTCGAATTTGCCCTAAATAAGGCTTATTTTTCTTCATAATTCGGCTCAGAGAGAGTAGAACATAATGATTTGATCAAGCAATTAGGCCTCTAGCAAGCTTTTTTCCTTTTTGAAATATTAATTTAATGACAGACGCGACCATCTCAGAACCAAATGAAAGCCATTATATAAACCTCAAGTTTTGACATTCGAACCCAGTAAGATGAAAATGCAGATCTTCAAATCCTCCCTTTTCTTTTCTTTTGTCATGGCAAATGCCGGTGCTTTACTGAATAAAATTTGTGCGAATCCAGGTATTACTAAGAACGATTTATTGCGACGGTACTGAATATGTAACGAATGTAACGAATGTAACGAAAACTCAAAAACATGTCTTTTTCTCGTTACATTGTCAGTAAAATTCTAGAGATTTTTTGTTTATCTTATTTCATCCCCTTGAGTTTCCTACAAATTTACCCGCGGAGCGGGCGTTTTTAATCATTCAGAGCAGGTTTGGAAAACGAATCTACCATATTTATGCTATTCTGCATTCTTTTTGTCTTTTTTTGCTCTTTTCGATATGTTCAATTGTTGAATAAAGTAAAACTCCCCAAGATCGCTCTTTAGAAAAAGTTTCTAGAATCAGCTAACAAAAAAACAACATGTCTCCGTTTTCGTTACATTGTCAGCAAACTCGTTACATTCGTTACATTCGTTACATTCGTTACATATTCAGTATCGACCATTTATTGGAAGTTTTTTTCAAAGTCTGAGGGACTCGATCCCGATGCATTTTCGGACAGAAACTACAGAGACAATATTCCATTCTTCAATCTCTTCGCAGCGGATTTCTTCGGCGTTGTAGAACTGGAAGTTTTTTCGCGAGTAGACTGGTTTTCGGGGAGTAGTCATTTTTAGTCGTTTTTTCGTCTCTTTTTCGATTTTTCAGAGTCTCTTTCTTTTAAAAAGAGCCTTTTTATAGGTTTTCGAATTTGTCTTTCAGCTTATTGGAGGTGTTTTGGGTCGGTGAGATTTTTTGAGTTATGAGAAGGTCTAAGCTACTGGGGTATTTATATTTGGAAGGTGCCCTGCTGGGGTGCGCCTAGACGAGATGAGCATCTTATCGGAGAAGGATCAAGATTTCGTGCGCGAAAAAAATTGGTTCCTGAATCTTAGTTCCACGAACTTAAGAAGCACCACCTGGTTTCCTAGTTCCGGGCGATTACGGCACATTGACCGCGATCAATTTTTACTAATTTGTTAAGAGCAAATTTTAGGTTATCGGGCGCAATTTCCGGAGGACTGTGCTGCTCTTGCGAAACGAGCTATTGGAGAAGCATCACTCTTTCATATGCCTGTGGATCACAAACGAGCTGAAACTGGGAACTGGGCCGACTTTATCGTTTACTAATGCTTCGATTCAACAGACTTTTATAGAATACAGTATCTTCCCTTGATGATTTGCGTTTGAAAATCATTGCGTCTGAAAATAATTGTAGAGAATGTCATTGAGAGAGGAACTACAGTATTGGGTGTGGTTCCTGCTTTTATCGCGCCGTATTTCAAGGACAGCCAAGTCATATTTGCGGATACCTTTACGAAAGGAAATGTGAATTGAAATGTAAATATGACCGCTTCGTAAATGATCTATCTCTATTGGATAAAGATGTGTGCTTGAGAATTCCAAATAGACATCTTGCCTTTAAATAGAGCGTGCCGCTTGGTTTCTTTCAGTTAGTTCTCTCGCCCTGGGAGACTCACATCTGACAAGTGTTCCCTATGTCATGTCATTCGTGGCGACTAATTATATTATTTACAGAAATTGCACTTAAGAATCAATCAAGGATCCAGAGAGATAGAGATGAGATTTTCTTTTGAGTTGCTGAGGTGAGTATCATTCCAAGCCGGTTGTCGTTCCTGGTCCGTGCCAAAAAGAATTGCATCTGTAACTATTTTCGAGTTATATAAGATCTACGATCGGAGGCTAACCTTCACTTAGCCAACATTGTCATAATGATCATGAAGATTGTAGACATTGTCATAGTTTTCCGCTCCACCATGTATCTGATATCTCATCTCTTGCACTAACTGGATGATATGATTTTCCGTATCCTGCGACTAAAATTATTCTCTAGGCTTAGCCCAAATTTTTCAATTTTATCGGCATTACCAGTCCGATAAATCCGCTGTTTACTCGTGGAAACTCCTCCATTTCAATAAATATCCGAAATAGAGTTGATCAGAAGCAATTAATATAAATCTAAAAATGGTCAAAATTCTGCCGCTTTCTCAAATGAATTCCCTCGAATGGAATGTGTTACGCACAGAAATAAAAAAAGGGAAATCCGACTGGCTCTGATTGGTTAAAAATGCGTAAAAGGGACAGAAACACGCCTCTGGCAGCGTTTTATTGCAATTGGAATATAGCCAATGTCAATTCTGCATTGCTCATTTAGCTAAAATTCCCGATTCCATGAAGAAATTCGTTATTACGGACGGAGCGCTGTGTCGCGAACAAAGAATCGCAGTTCGGCATTTTCCCCTGTGATATGTTTGGTGGACGAATACTGTCAGAAAATATTTAACCGTGAATCGATAAAAATAGCTCGTAGTCTGCTTGTCCTCTGTTCTCCTCCTTGATTTCAAAATCGAAAATACTCTGTGAAGAATTTATTGACAATATTTTTTCGAAAGGATTCATTCATCTTTCCCTCGCTCTTTTGATAAACAACTGGGTTCATATTTGGAGTCGGTAGCTTGCCATCTTTGTTGCCCGGCAAATGCGCCATGTGCGTCGATTTTTGGTACACATCGGCGAGAAACAAGGTTTTGCTGATCAAAGATTGACAGAATCGAGAACTGAAAGCTCTTACCTGCGCTCATCCCTCTCTTCCAAGAGCAGAGTAGTTGCGGAGACCATGATGACAAAACAAGTTCCAATACAGACCTCGCAGATTCGAAAAGGGTTCGTTTTCATGTAAATTCCAAAAGAAGCAAAGCAAGATAAGATGAAGCTCAGCAGCACTATCAGACCTTTCTAGAGCTTTTTACCGTGAAAAACAATCAAAAAACTGAAAATGAAAAACTGAGCCTTTGAAAGAAATCCACTTGACACTGGCCTTCAATTTCGTCTCGTAATGAAACTTCTTTTTTTTGTTATAAAAACACTCATTGTTGCTCTGAAATCTCGGCGTTTTCCGATTCTTCAGCCGAACAGCTTTTCTTCTCGCTCTGAGCTTCGATGAAACAACACCAGCTATCATTTTTTATTTCAAAAGAAAAAGTTCTGCTTTGAAAATAAATTCCTGGATAAATGGTAGAATGGACGCTCCTGAAATCATTTCTCGCCTTTTGACTGGGAAAATATAAATTCGACGTGACAGGAGATGTTTTTTCAATTATCTTCGCTTGTGAATATTTTATGGAATGATATGCTCCAACGCCGTGCTTTATTGACTGTATTTCCTCGCACTTTAGGAGATGCTAAGGAATTCGAGGATAACTTTAGAAGTTACAGGCGATTCGGTGAGTTTACCGGTTACACTGATTTGAGAAATTGATCAATTTTGGACAAAACATTCGCTTCATAGGATAAGGACTAAAAGGAAGAGTTTCTAATGATAATCAAGGCATTTTTCATGACGCGTGATTCATTTTCTTCGTTTTAGATGAGTCAGATAATCAGAGAGGTCTCGAGATTCCACTCATTTTCGTCGCTGTTGAAAAAGTGTTCATCCTGATTGGACAAGAGCGCTGTTTTTCGGTTTGTGTTGATTTCATTTTGGCGGCCAGATTTTGGCCAGCAATCACTGAAGTGATCAGAGAATTTCCAAAACTGCAGAGGCTCTAGAGAAAGTCAGGCCATTGCTTACGAGCTTTTTGATGTCACTTACTCTTCGATGTTTTCATTTCTTTACTTTGATTGTTGACTTTCAGAAATGGGTTTTGGACTGCTCTCTCGCAAGAGGAGAAAAAGCGAAGAGGAAATTCGTCAGGATGAGAAAGCCACTCGTACCCAATTCAATAGTTTTTCCGATTTCCGAAAAGATGGGATTTTGACTGACGTAGTGATTATTGTTCCTGGACATCCAGAAATAAAAGCTCACAAGATGGTTCTTGCCGCTGCTAGTCCATTTTTTCAAGCAATGTTCAAGGTAAAAAGATCTTTTTTTGCTTAATGAAAATGAGTTTTGGCAGTCTGGCTTGCGCGAATCTTCCTCAGATCGAGTTGAAATGCCGGAAATCGACTACGAAGCAGCCCAAATTCTCGTCGACTTTGCATACTGCGGTAATTATAAAATCACCGAGGGGAACGTCAGAAACTTGTTGGCTGCCGCCGATTGCTATCAATTCGAAGAGATTAAAAAGAAATGCGAATCGTTTCTGATCGATATGATCGACGCGGATAACTGCTTCGAACTCGAGAAAATTGGAGACGCAAGGGGTCTATCTCGTCTATCTTCTCAGGCTGGACGTTTTTCTATGCAAAACTTCGAAGAAGTCATCAAGAGTAAATCTTTTACCGAGCTTTCATTCGAAGGTAAACTTATTAGACTCTGAAGCGATTATGTCATTTCTACTTTTTAGAGCTAGAAAACTATCTGTGTTACGAGAACGACGGACCCTTGTGTTATTCAGAAGTAACCTTCTACAACGGGATCGTGACATGGATTAAATCCGATCTGGAGAAACGCTCTCAATATGCAACGAAACTGTTCGTGAACTGCGTTCGACTCGGCCGAATTCACAAAAACTTCATTTGGGATGTGGTCGAAAAGGAACCGCTTTTCTCCGATGCCGAATGTAAGGAGCACATTCTTCTTGCATGGAAGTTCAAGGCGTTCTATTACGATGAGGATTCTGATCGCGAGAAGGAATTCGGCACGATAGGGAAAATTCGCAATGAATTTTGTTAGAAAAACTTCCTTCTGCCATTATTTTTGCTTATCTTATCACGTTTATCAGACAGTTCCTGTTACTTCGACTTTCAGAAAAGGTTTTTGAAATGAGTTCTCGCAAGAGGAAAAACCGCGGACAAGAAAGTGATCAAGATGAGGAAACAATGCGAAGCCAATTCAAGAGTTTTTCCCATTTCCGAAAAGATGGGATTTTGACGGACGTGGTGATTGCTGTTCCTGGACATCCAGAGATAAAGGCTCACAAGATGGTTCTTGCCGCTGCGAGTCCATTTTTCGAAGCAATGTTCAAGGTAAAAAAGTCTTATCTGCTTTATGATGAGATGAGTTTTAGTCTGGCTTGCGCGAATCTTCCTCTGATCGAGTTGAAATGCCGGAAATCGACTACGAAGCAGCACAAATCCTCGTCGACTATGCCTACTGCGGAAATTATAAAATCACCAAGGAGAACGTCAAAAACCTGCTGGCTGCTGCCAATTGCTATCAATTCGAAGAGATTAAAGAAAAGTGTGCAAGATTTCTCGTCGATACGATTGATGAGAATAACTGCTTCGAACTCGAGAAAATTGGAAGAGCAATGGGCCTATTCTCTTTATCTAATCCGGCTGGATGTTTTGCTCTGCAAAACATTGAAAAAATCATCAAGAGCGAGTCTTTCACTGCGCTCTCATTCGAAGGTAAACTTATGACACTCTGAAGCGTCTGTAAATTTATTTCTAGAGGTGGATAAATATTTCTCAGCACACTATCTTTTTGCTTACAGCGAAGAAATAGTGTACGAAGGGGTTCTCACGTGGATAAAATTCGACCTAAAGGAACGCTCAAAATACGCATCAAAACTGTTTGTTGACCATGTTCGAGTCGGTCAAATCGACAAAAACTTCATCTGCGACGTCATCGAAAAAGAACCGCTTTTCTCCGACGCCGATTGTTCGAAACACATACTTCTTGCTTGGAAGTTCAAGGCCTTCTGGCGGAGTGACTCATGCATCCCTTCTGATCTCAGAGATGAATTTGAAAGAATGGGAAAGAGTCGATTTCCCAATGACGTTTATTAGAAAACTTCGCCTGTCGTTTTTCAAGCTGCGATCCTTGCAAACATTCGAAAGAATACTGAATAAAAAAACTGAGTTAATTAATCTCATTTTCATCAATTTTCTCATCAAAATCACCCCGTATTCATCCGAAAACCGCTTATTCAGAATTCGAGTCGAGTAGAATTTCAGATCTGCTCCAATTGGTCGCTGCTGGAAAGTCTTCTGATTCTATTGGCGCGCCTCTCACTCGCGCCACTTTCAATCCGAGCCGAGCAAAATCAGCGTAAATTCTGTTTTTCAGGATTTTATGAATTTTCCGCGAGAGATATCCAACTTATGACTGAACCAGATTCAGAGAGAATGCTCAAATGTACAGTAACACCGTATAAACCGTCTGGCAAAGCTCTTGCGTCATCATTTTCTTGTTTGGATCAAATTTTAAAAGGTACAGTGGTGTAGGTGTACAGGCATTCTATTCTTCACGGATTTATGACAATTTTGCCTTTTAGGTGAATCATCTGATGAAAAAATTCTGGAAAAAAGCGAAGAATTCAGCGAGGAAAACCACCTGACGCGGGAAAAAGAAAATGGCCGTCTGGAAGAACTCTTCTGGTCCGGAAACGCCTGTGTTTTATCCCGAAAGCGGTGCTTTGGAGAGTGGGAAAGAGTCGAAACCTTCACGCGAAAGACGAAAATACTCAAGGCTCTTTGGGCGAATTTTGAAACTAAAGGAATCAACGAGGAGTGGATCGTTTTGGTGGAAGAATCGGCTTGTACCTTTATCGCGCCTCAAACGGCTATTGTGCCGGTTCAGGAACGGGTTAAAATTTTCAAAATATGGAGACAAAGTCAGCGGAGTTCAACGCGAAAATTTTGTTTTTGAGGTTTTTGTGGAGATTCTGTTGTTTTCGAAATTTCAGCCCCTCAAGGAAAAAACTTTTCCGTTCACCATTCAAAACGTTTTCGAGTTTCAACCAAATACTGGGCTGCTCATTACAGTCAAGAAAAGCCGCAGCCCTTCATCTGACCGTCTTTCTTCAGTCTACTTTCTCAAGCACCCAGCTGACGAAATCACACCGATCTGGAGCCATGACTTGTCGCCAATTCGAAAAGCTCAGCGTATCATCTGGACCGGCTGCGACAAGACTAAACAAAAACTGGTCTGTTTCCAGACCGGGACCGCCCATCGACTGGCGACCCTAGATCGACTGACAGACGAAGAAAAGCTGATCGCAGAACAGATCGTCGAAAACAACGCTCTGCCTGGCTTTTACTTCGACGGAACAATCAACAACACGACAAATCAAAATCAAAACACGAAAACTTCAAAACTAGTCACTCCAAAAGGCCCTCGGCGAGCAGGTCTTCACAGGCAGCAAAAATTATTCGGAACTCCAAAGGATATTCCCTCACCGATGCATTCCAGGAGATCTTCACTCGACCGGCCTCTTAGTAGAAGACAGTCTACGCTTACTACTCATCGTCTTTTGCCGCGCCAGAACTTGAGTCTTTCTTATTCCCGATTCATGGAAGAAACAGTCACTTCCAATCCTGACGCAGCTCTGTGCCTCGTTCGCCCTCGTCTTCTAGCCCGACCTGCTTACGAAGAAGTCTCCTTTCTATCCCCGCCCGTGTCTGAAATTTTCATCTCTCGAGATCTCTTCAACAACGAATTCTTCGTATTCCCTTCACAAAACGCTACAGAACTCCTAAACCTATTCACAGGAGAGAGGTTCAGAATAGAAGGCCTTGCTTCCGTCGCCAAAATTGACAAGTACATCGCCCGGCTTGGCACAAAAGGAGTCGTCGAAATGTTCAGCGGACCGCTTCTCACCATGTCGATAAATATTCCAGATTTGGCGGTGCGGGAAAATGTGTTTTCAACAACAGTAGCGATGGATACTCCAGATGTGAAGCAACAACCAAGCACGATGACAGAAAGTACACCAGTAATTGCAGGACGACATCTACCAAAAAGTATTAGTTTTCTATTCTTCGATTAAACCTCATAAGAAATCGTAGAAAACCAGTAATAAGACAGTCAGGATTGGTAGCTCCGACGACAACATTTTCACCTCTCACTCCTGGATTAGATTTGCGGCGGTCATTATCACAGGATACAACAATTACTCCGCGAAAAGAAGAGCTCACTGAGAAAATAGCATCACACGGCAACTCATCACTAAAAGTCACACTTGCCGATGGCTCTTGCCAAATCATTTCAGGGACTGGTTAGAATTCAAAGTCAGTTTTCTTTTCAATATCAGTAGATGCTCTTTTTCTAACCACGAAAAGTTCGCCTACAGAAAGACTCTATGCGCATTATAAGACGGACATTTGAGCTTGTTATCCAGTACTTTTCGAGAAAAGAAGCGCTGAAGATCTACTCCGACTGGCTTATTTACCGTTCTTCGTTTTCAGATAACCGGGCTTATACTCACTTTTTGGACTTTATACAGGAGTTATTAGCGGAAGACTCAGGAATGGATTGAAATCAACGAAGAGATCAACCCTTTTTTTAAATCTGAAAATCCATCGAAAGCGTCTGACATGCCAGTTGATAAGAAACAAACGAGACAAGCAGAAGAAATACTGAAAGTAGCGAACAATGCGCTAAAATTTTGGCCTCGATCTTTCGTCGAAAGTGTTCTACCGATAGATAACGACGAGTTCAAGCCTGAGGTGAAGCCGTCTGGGAAGCATAAAGAGTTCTATCGAGTGCTTTTCTTGGTCCAGGAAGAAATGAGCATATTGGGTTTCGAGGGAAAACGAGTGAAACGATTGAGAAAGTTGTTGGAGAAACTCGCTTATTCAGAAGACTTCCGGGAGCATTTCAGCGCTGAGAGAAAAGATCGATTAAAAAGACAGATTCCATCGAAGATTCCGAATGTTCAAGACTGTCTTCTAGCTCTCATGCGCAAGGAGAGTAAAATTATGGCTCTACCCGTCGACATCAATTCTCCACTGTTTCTCCTGGTTTGTCTTTACGGTGCAGCGTTCATGGGTTACGATCCTCGCCAAACACGGAACAACTTGTTAACCGACTATCGAGATTTCATTACGCTTGGAAACGCAACCGAGATACCAGTAGTTGCTTCTCAATATGGAGACAGCAAAAGTGTCAAGCTGAGATTTCTCGCTGATGTTTGCAGCATCTGCAGTCCAGCAGATTGGGACTCTTTTTCGCCAGCCATCAAACTTCCAATCAACATCCTTCTTGATGAAATCCGCGATCCAGAAATGACATGGAATTACAGTAGCCGGCGATTGCTGAATCTCAAATACATACTCGGCTTTGTTGAAGAAGAAAACGATCTTGAGCCTCTGTCTATCGATGGTGATCCTTCTTATCCTAAGGAAACTGTGGTTGTTCAAACCTGGGACGGAATGGACTGTCTCAAGCCCACAAATGACTGGATGATCAAATTGTTTCCGGAAGATCTTCGAACAAGTGTCGCCGCTAGTCTTTTAAACTCATCGCTCCCTGTTCTTGGCAAAAACGTCATTGATCAAGCCAATGCAGAAAATATGATGGCAAACGCGGAGCCTCGACTCCGCCAGGTCTCCCGTCGAACTGTAGCTCGTACTGTTGGCAGAGGATTAGCCACACTTGCTACTCATCGTCAGATGTCCCTGCAAAGCATTCGCTATCCGAAAATCGACCTGTCGATGCGACTCACTGCTGGTTTCTCCGATCCGAATCTTCTAGCCAACATGCCGACAACGCCAGATGGCGGTACTTTATGGGACATTTATCCTCAGTTCAACAATGCAGTGGCAACCACGCTTTCTCTAGCAGATAATTTGCCTTTGGAAGGCGAGGTACTGACGATTCCAAAAGGGGAAGAAGACGAAGTTCCGTCATGCCGAGATCTTGCTACACTTTCCGGCGCGATCTTGGGTCTTGGTCTTCGTGGGTACTTGAACAATGAGCCAAATCTCATGTATCTTTCCTACATGTCTGGTCCCTTCAGCCACATGATCTTCATGGCTTCCGCTGTCTTTATCGGCTATTGCTGCAATCCGAAAATGCAGGGAACACAGGATCTGGCTCTCACGAGACTTCTCTCCCTCCATCTTCCGTTTTTGATGCCCGAAGCCCAAGAAGAAGACAATCGAGCGACAATTTCCGTGATGATCCAGTATTCCGCTATTATCTCACTCGGCTTTCTCCACAAAAAATCTTTGAATCAACGGTTCGCCAAGCTCCTTCTCGAGCAGATCGACAGCTCAATGCCAAATGATAAGGATCATCCAAAGCATTGCTACCGAGAAGCTTACGCCACAATGTCTGGCTGCGCTCTTGGATTGATTTTGCAAGGAAGTGGACCAGAGTTTGATGAAATCGCTCAAGAATTAAGACCTTTGAGCGGCTGCGGTCCTGAAGTGATCGGAGAGGAAAAAGTCACCAGAACCAGCATCGAGGGTTGCAAAAACAACACTTGGGTAACAGCGGCGGGAGGTATTTCTGCACTTGCTCTTGCGTTCCTTGGAACCGGAAATGAGGTTGTAACTGATTGGCTGACTGTACCGAACTCGGATCTGGCTCTTTCAAAGCTTAGACCGGTCAATATTGTTCTCATGTCTACCGCCATCGGAATGATCAATCTCGACACGATCGAGCCGTCGGAAAATTGGATTGAGAGCTTGAAACCGGCGATTGTAAAAGAACATGGTTTCAATGAGAAAACCTTTGAAATATTTACAGATGCGGAGAAGACAAAATATCGACCCAAGCAACCGTATTTCAGCAAGATCAATGTTGATTTCCCTGTAAGTTTTCTAAAGATTTTCAATTTTTCATTGTGTATCTAGCATCGAGCTGCATGCGATGTTGCAATCACCAGTGGCGCTATTTTCGCTTTGGGCCTGAAATTCATGGGCACGCAGAATCAAAAAGCCGCGGAAATTATGAAAAAGACCGCTGAAAAGTGGCTGAAACTTTCAGTCATGTGCCATCCGGATCTTATGAGCTCTGCATTCATCCACCACTGTATTGGTACTGTTGTCCTTTCTTGGTCGATGGTGAGAGCAGGGAGTGGGGATGTGGATTGCTTGAGAATGTGCCGCCAACTCAGTAAGATTCTTCCAGAAGAAGTCAACTTCGGGTTGCATCTCGCGACCTGTCAAGCAATCGGATTCCTCTTCCTTGGCGGCTGCAAAATGTCTCTCAAGCGAGACCACGATTCGATCGCCACAATGTTCGTTGCCCTCATGCCCAAGTATCCCGCCTCCGTCCGCGACAACTCCCAGTACGTTTGGATCCTCCGTCATCTAGCCGCCCTCTGCGTTGAATTCCGCGCTTGCATCCCCCAAATGAGCGATGGTTACATTTGTCGCGACTCAACTGCCACCGTACTTTATAAAAACGGCGAGAAAGAGGTTGTAAAAATGCCTGGAGTTCTACCACCACTCGAGAATGTAGAAAAAGTGACGATCAGAGGAAGTGTTGGAAGTTACCAATGCTTTCCGCTTGTACTTCGACCAGAGCAGCTTCGAGAAGTGTTTGTTAATGATGGAAAGGTGCTGATGAAACGAGAATGCGAGGCGGCTCTGATTAAAGATCTCAAAGATGAGGTAAGACTTTTATGAAACGCTAAGTTCTAAAAAGTAAAATTAAGGCTAACCCGGAAGCTAGAAAAGAAAATATCCTCGAAGAAGAGAAAAAGTGCGATTGGTGGTTTTCAATGGATCACATCAAGAAGCCAGTGAAGGATAGTCGAGTGAAGCTACCGAAGGAATTTGGCGACGTCTGGAAAGAAAATCAAGGCTCCAAAGAAAGCGCCGAAGAAGATAAGAAGGGCAAGAAAATCCTGAAAGCCAAGCGACGAAACTTCGCGTCGTTTCTCGAATCAGTTCCTGAGCCAGCGATGCTTCAATCCGATCTGAGCAAGGAGCTGGAATCCATCATCAGGCTTGAAAACAAATCGCCGAATGACAACGCTTATTTGGAACTGTACACGGCGCTTGCTTATCAACCAAAAGTTCTTTACATGGACTTGCTCGAGCATGGTATGATCTATTTTTATAGAGCTGTTACGATTTTATATTTGTAGTCATCGACAATATGGAAGCCAAAAATCTTCGAAAAGGCATGCTTGAGTCGCTTCTCAAGAGAACAGAACCGAGCGAACAGCAACCCACTGCCAGAGAAGCCCAAATTCGTCAACTCGCTGCTATGTTTTCCGCAGATATGAAGCTTCCAGTCGAACCTTCGACGAAAGCAGTCCCGACGATTCCTGACAAGTTCTTCAACAGCTGGGAAAGCTTCAAAGATCGCGGACTTTACTAATTTAACTATTTCACTTGCCATTTATCAACTACTTACATGTTCCCAAATGAAAAGTTCAAATACAACACAGAAATCAAATCCCATTCTCTTCCTTTCGTTGAAATAATTAGTTTGAAAGCCCCAAGCCACTATAATCACTCAATAAAGGTGAGAATCCGCATCATCTGTTGTGACAACTTTTTAATCTTTCTGAACCTGATTTTGATAAAAAAATTTTTTGTGGGATATATTTTATACACAAGATAGAGAAAGAAAGTTACGGTAGATAATGCCACTAGAAGTAACGAGAGGACCAAGAATGAGGGGCAAGAGTTCTTTCGCAGCAGGAGCGGCGAAGAATTTGGGAATTATTGTCAAGACGACAGCTTCTTCCAGGAAATGGATTTTTTATTTTATTTCTTGAAATCAAGACAATGTGCTAAATATGTGGTTTCGTTTTAATCTCACTTTTCCTGAAACTCGAATAATGTTTAAAAATCCATAAAAAGCTCAAGTTATGGTTCCGATTCTTCCCGCCGCGACCGAATGCTCCGTCACTACACCTCCATTGCCGAAACCGGAGTTTCATTCAAAGACAGAAAAGCCCAACGATCATCAATGACTGTAACAGATGCAGAAGTCCAAGCAGCGTTACCGCCAACTCGCCTGGGACTGCGATCAACAATGAGTATCCCTACTCAAGTCGATTCGCGATCGTATTCGCGAAAAGGGCAAACGACGCAAGTTGGTTCAAATTTGACTGGATCCAATGTTGAGAAAAGAAGCGCGAATTATACAGTCAGTTCTGGTTATTCGGAAATTCCATCTTACATGAGCGACAAGCAGATACAACGAATCGCAAATGATCCGATTGCTAGTTTGAAGAAAACGAGTTTTTAAAAAGCAATAACGAAACTTTTTTATCGCCGAAGTTTGTTCTGTCCTTTGATTGGTCGGTTGGATGAATCAGTGATTTTGATTGGCTGAAATTTCGGACGAAACTTTAATCATCGATTTTTGACCTTTCGTCCTCTAATAGTGCTGAAATTCGTGTTTATCAACGAAGATGAATAACAGTCGCATCTAAAATTATCAATATTATCTTGATTAAAAACTCGTGACAAGTACGGCCCAGCGATTAAAGAATTCGCGAGCCGCAAGACAGCTCCCATCGCCATCGAACTTGAAGACATGCGCGCCGTCAAACAAAAGATGCGCGACGAGTACCAAACACGATTGAAAATGGAGTCGATTCACGATGAGGAGCCTAGGAGCAGTGTTGTCAATTCAACGTGGCGAGAGTTGGAAATTATCGTTTTACAAGTAACCGTGTTATGATATTTTTCTTAGACTTGGTTTGTTTTCAGAGGGAACAACATTAGACCGGTGGTAATCATTAAATTTTGAAACGTCGCTAGAAACCTTGTCCTTATCATAAATACTAAGATAGGTATGAAATGCGCATCTTTCAAAAAATTAAAGATTCTGATTGGAAAATGACGAAATTCGGGAAATCTGATTGGCTATTTTTCACAGCGGATTTTTTGACCGAAGATATGTCCTCTCGTTCGAAATCGATTAGCCAAATTCTAGCGGTAGATCTCTTCATTTGATAACTCTGCCAGCAGTCATTCCGAAATCGACCTTGGCAAAGAGGACTTCGAAGACTACTTTGCTTCAAAAAGCGCGGAGGAACTCCAGCGCGAATACGAAATCGCCTCTTTAGCTCGAGAAGTCAGGGAGAAAAAGGAAAAGCAGCTCGCTCAGCGAACGCCGAATGAAGAACTCGACGACTGGTTGTTTCCACGTGACTCGACGTTTATCAAAGCGTACTGGAAGAAAAACCCAGAAACGTTCAAGCGGCACACGTGCTCGGGAAACATCGATGTGAGGATGAAGATGAATGATGCAATTAGCCACGCAGCTGAAATCGGCGACACGGAGATTCTAGAGGTCCTACTCGATCACTCTGGCGTCAGTTCTGCCGAAGCAAGGATCGATGAAGCTGGCAAGCAGCGGATCATGGAGCTTCTGGACGGGGAAGACGCTTCAACAGGAATGTTCAGTTCAACAGCGCTACACAAAGCTGCTTATCGGTAATCCTTCAAGTGCCTTTTTTCCACTATCTCTCCTTCCTCCATTATTATCGAGACTACTTATGACGTGAAATTTTCATTTTCAAAAGTTACCAATTTCGCACATTCTAGCGGCAAGTACGACATGGTCAGGCTGCTCCTCAAACTCGGCTGCGATCCCAATCTGCAGGGAAAATCAATGGACACACGTGGCGGGGCGACCGCGCTGGATTCTTGCATTTTTGGACTTTCGTCAAGCGGTTCACACATTTCAAGGGGTACACCCTTAATACTTTCGTTGCCAACCGCTGAAAAGACCATTCCCCCTGACGTTGGAAAATACGCCACTGCCATGAATCGCCTAGATTACTTCGAGGACCATTTTAAGGTCCTCCTTTATCTAATAGGTACACACTCACTGTACTGTCCACCTTACAGTCAAACCTCAAGTGCAATACGCAATATCAAAACAAAGCCTTTTAGCCGGCGGGGCCAAACCAGAACTGTCAATGTGCAATGGTCTCCAGGGCGGAATCTTCTACCAGATCTTTCAAAACATTCTCGAAAACTTGAAGCCCAATCACATTCCGAGCATTTCCGCCAGATTACAGTACGACCTCGTTGTCGTTTTCGAGGCTCTATGGAACTGCGGGTAACCTATCTAAAATGGAAGAAATCCTTTATTAAATTCTTATCAGCTATCGAATTACAGAAGATGTCCTTATCGAAGCTGGAGAAGAGTATAACTGGGTGAACAGCTTGGAGATGGTCAAGAAGATGATCCAGGTTCGTCTTACATTGTTGATGAAGATGAGAAGTGTTTGATTTCAGGTCAAGGGAAGAGAAGTGATGTCCTTATCGGAACTTGCTCGCAACGCGTCAAGAGGAGTCTTGCGTGGTAGTCTCGCGATGAATCAAATTCCAAAGGTATCAACATACAAGCGTCTTTTCCAGGACAAAAAAGGGAGGGAGGCAATAATTGGTTACTCTTTTGATGTCTACATGTTAACTTGTTGTAACAATATGTATCCATTATGATGAAAACGAACTAGAACTTGGCCAACGTGACTTTGTGGTCAATCATAAACAAGGGAGGAAGCGCCTTCCCGGGCTGCGGACATACCTTTGGCCCCAAAGGCCCCAGAGGCCCCAGTTCAAACAACAATTTCATCAAGAAAGCGCTGTTGATCATTGTTTTTGTTCAGTGGATCCCGTACAGAATGCGCCGCTGGATCGCGTTTGGAGAGCTTTACGAAATTCCAATGTAAATTTTGAAATTTTTTACAGGAACTTCTGTTTATGTTGTAAAAAAACCTTGTTCAAAATTTTTGTAAATAAAGATGTTACAATCAAGTTTTTCAAAAGGGATTTTCGGCCAATAAAAATCCTTAATTATATATATTCGGAACATTCCTGGACATTCAGGGAAATTCGGGTACATAACAAGCTACTATCGACTAACTGAAGCAGAGTTTGAAATGCTCGCAAATGCTCGCGAGCGAAAAGAGCGAGAGCAAAAATTTGTCATTGCTCTGAGAGCAGGGGAGCGGGATCATGAAAATGAGTTGGCTCGAGAGCCAAAAGAGCACGAGCCCAAATCTGAACCCGCTCGCGAGCGCAGAGAGCACGAGCGCATATGTCGGCAATGCTCGGGAGCTAGACGAGCGGGAGCGGCTGCTCTCGTGCTCGCCATGGAATTGACTCACGAGCGGCTCGCGAGCAAAATTAAAAGAATAATTTTTTCGCATAATTATTCACTTTCATAAATAAATTTCTTTGAGGATCTATTTTTGGTGTTTTTGGTTTTATGTAAGCTTCATTAGGTCCGTAATCTCGGTAGCAGAATGCGAAAAGCCGAGAGTAAACAGATAAAACATGCCCACCGCGAGGTGCTAACTCCTGTGAGAGGGACTCATATGGAATTAGTCACGGGGCCGCCGAATCATTTGAAGCCCTAGAAAGCTGCTCGCGAGTCAGTTTTTTCAGCCCGAGAGCCGATCGAGCGAGAGCACAATTCGACCAGTGCTCGAGAGCCAAGAGAGCGAGAGCGCGAAATGAAATGCGCTCGCGAGCGCAAAGAGCGCGAACTCTGAAATAAATGTGCTCGGGAGCACAAAGAGCATCATGCTCGTGCTCGCTCGCTCTCAAGTGAGCCGCTCGCGAGTCACGAAAATTTCAAACTCTGAACTGAAGAACAAAAAAGAATTAAGTGAAAAACAAATTCACAAATAATTATTTTGTACATCAATGTCCTAATACATAAGCTCCTAATTAAAATCAAGTAGCCGCTTCCGGGCTTTCAATAAAGGCCAAAGTTTAACCCTGTTTTCCGTAACGTCTAACATGTTATCCGCCACAACACAACTTTACTAAGCCGCAATCTTAGTCTAATTAAATTCATCCCAAACTTTGAAACTTTCTTCCTCTTTTTACAAATTTGATCCTCTTATCATAATTTTATATCGAGTGTGTTTATGTGTCCTCCCGTGTTCGGCGCGATGGGGTAACATACCCCACCCCCAAGTTTTCGCGCATTCCTCGGTACATTTTCCGTAATTTACTCTTCCTGAATTGTCCGAAAATCCCCAAATTTACGCCGCTTAACTTTTCCGCGCGCTCCCAAATTTACTCTCGCGGCGCTGATTGGCTACGCCGGTTGACTTTCTGAGTGCGCAAAAGTCTTGTTTAGCTCGCTCCGGGCAAAGAAAGGATGATCTTTTATAAAAAGCCAGATGCCGTTATAGGGCAGCCCTATCTTATGTTATCTTGGATAAAATAATTGTTTATTATTACAGTGGAGATGGATGAGAAGTTTTTATTCAGAATTTTTCAGTCGTTACGACTTCTGCGGAGCAAAATCCTGACCTCAATATTTTAAGTTACTCGAATGGTATGATTTTTATGTGTCCAAGCCACAAAAAATTTCCAATTCTAGCGCATCAAGTGCCTGAAAACCAACTGTATTCGACTTCTTTTCACATGCTTTTAGTATTTGCCTGTTACTTATAATTATCTATTCTAAGTTGAGTTAAAATTTCTGTCAATACAACTTTGAAAACATGCACTAATAAATAAGTATTACTAAATTTTCTTTCGCGCCCTTTAATGAATCATTAGCATTGTCAACTTGACGCGCATTTCAGCGGGTCGCGAGTAAATTTGGGCGCACGCGGAAAAGTTAGGAGAAGAAATTTGGAAACGCGGGGGAACGCGAGGAAGCGTAAATTTCGGGGGTTTCGGAAAAGTTAGGAAACGTAAACTTGGGCGAAATACCACGAATTGCGCGGAAATTTAGGGGGGGGGGGTATGTTACTCTATTTACGAAATAATCTTTATCGGACATAAGCTTTAATATCAAATAGCGATGTATCACAACGTGCTTGGCGGTTAGTTCTGAATCATCGATCAGAAATTTTCGATTTTTACGGCAGAAAAAATAACGATAAGAAAAAGCGACTGATCCATCACGTGAGCGAGGAAGCACAAGGCACGTTCGGTTCCGCAAAATTTCGAAGAACTCTTCTTAGAGGAAAATGTCCACGAATGTCCCGAAATGCCCCCGAATGTCCCCAAATGTCTCAAAATGTCCAAAAATGTCCCCAAATATCCCCAAATGTCCCAAATGTCCAAAAATGTCCCGGAAAATGTCCTTGAATGTCCCCAAATAGCCTCAAATGTCCCTGAATGTCCACGAATGTACGGAAGATTAGAATTATCAAATCTGCAAATTTTAGCGTGTTTTATTGAGAGGGAAATTGAAAAGTGAAAGTATTTCTGAAGAATGTTGTTCAACAAAGAGCCAGGCCGAGTAATGCCAAGCTGTAAACAAAATTGATGTTACTGTTAGTGGCTTACAGTAGCTGTCATGAAAAGCACGATATGAACGGAAATATCTTATTAGAAAAAATTTCCAATAAAGCCAAAGTGCGAAGTTTTGCCATGATGGTATGATTGTACAAAAGTCTTCAGGACGTCGCGCAAATGGCTTAATTTAAATTTAAAAAGTTGCAACTGTAGTGCGAATTTACCCTTTTCGAAGATTGTGATGTTGACTTTGATGATGATTTTGAAGATGTTGTATTTGATCGGCGAGAATAAGCCCACACAAGTTCTCGATTTCATGCATTTCAAGATCGACTAAACTCTCTTTCCTAACTAAATCTAAAGAGGGATTGAGTTGTTGTTAGTGCAGATGTCCTAACGTAAGACGCAGCTGCTGTAGAAGGAATGAAGCTTGTAAATATCTGGATAGCCAGATTGGTGAAAATCAACAAAAGATTCAACAAAAAAGAACAAAATTGAATAAATCGGGAAGAAACGCATTTCTCAAATGATGTTTCTTGAAAATGATGTTCCTTCTATAAATGTATGGAAAACACGTCTCACTCTGTTTTATTCATAATGCTGTTTTGAAGTTGCAAAAGAAAAAAAAACACCGATTTTCAAAGCCTTTTTAGACATCGAGAAAACGTAGTTAAGTCAATTATTGATTGCAAAGGTCTTCAATAATTTTGATAAGAATTGAACTGAACTTTCAGCTGTTGAAACATTTTGGTCAGATTGAAGTGGCTTATGTTACGTATTTCGAAAGTTACGATCAGCCACCACACATCTAAAATAATAAACGGAATTATGCGGCGAAATTCGATTCATTTTTGTCATCAATCTGTCTTCTACTGTAACCTAGAAAGTAGCACAGTGAAAAACATGCCTTTCCTCCGGTGAAAAACATCAACGCTAATAATTAGCTTTCGTTTTAATTCAAAGCCCCTTGAAAACAACTCATTCGAAAATATTGACAGTGATGCGCTTTGAACATATTGTGCACCGTGTTCCTGCTCAATTTCTAATTCATTTCTGTGTGTCGCCCAATAAACGAAGCACGAAACGATAACGAGGTATAACAATGATAACGACCGCTTCCCCAGAATTTCGAAACACCAATTGGGAGAGGACATTTAGAGGGGTTTTTCAAATGAAGAGTTGCTACTTTTTCGATTCAGCCTCTGAAAATCAATTGGTTAATGATTTTTAAATACAGGAGGTAACATTTTAAAGGGGATTTTCGAGCGGTTCTTTAACGAAGAGTTAACAAAGTGACACCCTTAATTTTTTTTTCGATTTTTGAAGATTTTAAGCCATTTTTGACTCTTTCGGTCGGAATCTTGCCTGAAAAATTTGATCAAAAAATCCATTTTAGAATTTTTTGAAGGGAAAATTAAGGGTGTCACAATGTTATCTGTGCCATAAAAATCGTGGCTCGGAATGACTGCTATTTCTGCAGTTTAAAATTTTGCTCTCTTGGAAAAACAAATAAGCAGGTAAGGGAAAGTTTGTTAGAAGGAGACTCGGTGGAGGAATATTCAGACTTTGATGAGGGGGCCCTCCGGATGCAGCTCATCCGATAGATGCACTTCCATCGAGGAAAGAACTTCTGAGCTACCGTGAACAAATTTTCTAATAAAAAAGCTGCAATAGCAGAGATAGAAAAAATAAAGGATTTCTAAAGCCAAGCGAGGTGGTGATTTTGATGAAACTTTTATATCCGTGAAATTATTTTTTGCGAGGTAGTAAGTACCTAGGTATTCATGCGATTTGCGTGGAGCCGCTTGAGATTCATAACTACTACGTCGTTCGCTTTTAGGTAGAAACTAACTGTTTCAAAAGTATTTTCTTCCGTTACACAAAATCAATAATAATGAGGAGGTGCGAATTCTGCTTCTCTTTAAATCGAGACCCGCTTTTTCGTAAAAACACAAAATTGATAATTTCCATTATGCATCCGAAAGATGAGGCAAAAGAGATTTTGGTCTGTCTTATCGTTTTCAACATCGTTCTTCCAATCGTTCTTTGGTTTTTCGAAGATTTTTTCATCGGAAAGCAAGAAACCAAACGATGGAAACGGAGTCCAAAAGATCGAACAATCGAAAGAATGTATGATTTGGTCTGTATTCTCCTCAGAACTCTGACTATCGGTATCACTATGTTGTACTCAGAACATATTGTGGTAAAATTTAACATATCTTACGATGCTGATTCGATCAGCATTCGATCAGCTTAGCTCATTCAGCAAAATTTCCAGTTGAGTTTAAGCTAAAGCTAAGCAAAAAAGGCGAAATTTTCAACTCCTGGAAAGAATTCTTTTAAGCGAAATTTTCGCGAAAATTTTTGGTAAAAAGCGAAAGCGAAGCGAAGCGAATTGAAATTACAAAAAGCGAAAGCGAAGCGAAGTGAATTCGCTTCGCTTCGCTTCGCTTCGCTCATGAGCGAATTCGCAAAGCGAATCCAGACCCCTGTTACGATGAATTGAGATTTATTGACCGACTAATGGCCTTTTATTCAATTTGGTTTTTTATCTCAATTATTCGTTTCTTATTCTTGTTTGTAAAAGATTCCTTCTTCGACCTGATAATCCCTACTCATTATGTTGGCCATGATTAAAAACACTAAACTGACAAAAAAGGTCCTCTGATAAACGTGTTCGTTGTACTCATTTAACATCATCAATAAATCCCCATATCCGAAATTCCATCCGTGCCTCCGTTTCTCCCACGTGTTTTCCTGCCCTTGCAGATACCCCTTTTATGAAATGAATAATCTGCTCGGATTTATACAGGTATTAAATTTTATTCGACAAAGAAGGAGCAGGATTAAAAAGTCGAAATCTGAAGCAGCTCTGTTTTGGCGGATCGTTGTTGATAATTGGACGTCTTAAATAATTCGACGAGGAACGCACTAAAATGAGATCATCCACTCAAAATCGTACCTGATTGATTTCTCCAGCTTCTCGATCTAGATTGCATAGAAAAAAGCGGAAGAATTGAGTTTTGAGTTTTGAATTTTCAGACGGTGATCAGCGGGACTTTGCTCTATTCAAGAGTTTTATATAAGCGCTACATGCCATAGCATGTGGGAAAATGTTTTTGATGCAAAACTAGAACCGAAATTGAGGGACTTAGGTCTTTTTTAGAAGACTTTATCGTGAAAAAATGGGTCAAATTAAACTTCAATTCCTTCAAAAAACCTGTTGAAAAATAAATCAACTGTCAAATTTTCCCGATTTTCCGAGACCGCAAAAGTTCTTTCCTAGCACGTTTTTCGCGGTGTAAACTAACCTTCCTTACACCCTAAGAAACTTGTCAAAGAAAGTCGATGTTCATCAGTAATCCGCTTCTTTCTCAAGCCCGGTCGTTTAAAACTCGTTCCTTTAGCTTTTGAAGAAATTTCGAGGCGGATTTCGTGCTTGGCGAAGTATTTTTTCGCGGCTGATTGCTCACTGTCTTTTTCGGGGCGACTACAGGAGCTACAGGGGCTACAGGAGCTGGAGTAGGCGCAGGAGAAGGGGGTGAGAACGCTTTTAGGTCTTGTTTCACTTCTTCTAGAGCTTTTTTCGTGACTTGAAGTTGATCAGCTTTCTTTTGCTCCGGCTTTTCGAACTTTTTCTCGGCAGATTCGACCATTTTATCCTTCCGTTTTGTGATCATTTGTATCATTTGCGCGCAGTCTTTAAAAAAAGGTTGAAACTCTCAAGGTAAAATGAGCTGATACTGTCTTCCATCTTGATCAAATTTCAAAGAAAGAGACTAATTATTTTTTTCTAAATTTTGATCGATCTTTGTTGTTTTTCGTACCTTTTTCTATTCTAGTGATAACATCCTTCTTCTTCGCCGCAATAGCCGCTCGGGAGCGCTCAATTCTTGTAATCGCATTTTGCAACTCGCTAGCCTTGGCTTCCAGCGCTGGTTTGGACTTGAGAGGAGCAGCCGTAACCTCGGTCTGTTTCACGGTTAACAAACGTTACTTCCTCTTACAGGAGCCCTGTTATACATTTTTGACTAGAAATAAAGAGGCAAAATTTGGGCCCATAATTGTCGAAGAAAAAATGGAAAACAGGCCCAAAATTGTCGATTTTTGACTAAAAAAAAGGGAGGCCAATCTCTGATTGGCCAATTTTTTGTTAAAATTACCAATCTTGGGCCGGATTTTAGAATAAAAATCGACAATCTTGGACGGAAGAAGAGCCTTGAAGCTCGAATTTTACTGTAAAAGAAGTTGGAATTATGAAATTAATCATTGAAATTTGCGCCTAAATTTATTTGATTCGGCCGTGGAATAATCCCTAAATTTCTCCAGCAGGTGCAGTGAGCCACGAGTGGTTCCTCAGAAGATGAGCTCTTACTTCAACTAACAATTTGAGGTTTCAAGCGGAATTTTTAGAAGAATCACGTTCTCACGCAATTGGAAACTTGTTTCCTCTTATACTGTCTTCTTCCTACGGGGGAGAAAGAAATGGAGAAATATTTGCAATGGGATTAATGATAACGTTTGTAGCGAGGTGTTTTTGTAAGCAAAATTGATCGACAAAGAGATTTTTTTATTGAAAAAATGGAGAAAAAAGACGAAATTCCTGGTTATAAAGTTGAAGGATTTCTAGGAAAAGGAGCTTTTGGAATGGCTCTTTTGCTCTCATCTATTGATGGTAAATTTTGCTGATGATGATATTTGGGTGATGAGATTTTTAGACAAAAATAAAAAAGCGGTGGCTAAAAAGGTGACGATTCAGAGTCAAGAAGATCAGCATTTAGGAAAAAGGGTTGAAAATTAGTAGCCTCATCATCTTTAATACAGATGCTCCTTGAAAAAACGACTATTTTCATCAAAGTCAGGCCGTCTTATTCCTTAAAGTTTTTAAGGCTTAAACGCCAAAAAGACTACTTAGTAAATCGGCCAATCATTGATTGGCAATCAACTTGTATGATGAAAATTTCGCTATCAAGAGAAATGTCTGTAGAGTTTTCAACCTTGAAAAGCGGCAGAAGAAGCTCTACTCCTCAGATCTATCAACAACCCAAATATTGTCAGATATACTGACTTTCACATTGAGCTCGGGTATGTACCCCCCTTTTCCCTTCTTTTTACTGTCTTTCTTTAAACAGTCGGCATTGTTACATAATCATGGAGTTTTGCGATGGAGGAGATCTGAAGGGCCGAATCGAGCACTACCAAAAGTCCGGTGAAAAACTACAAACTGGCCGAAGCCTCATTTGGATTACCCAACTGGCTTTGAAATACTGTCACGAGAGAAACATCCTCCATCGTGACCTGAAGCCCGAAAACATTTTCGTAATGAAAGACAATCTGACGGCAAAGCTGGGCGATTTCGGAGTCGCTCGGAAACTATCGTTCGCCTGCCAACTCGCCAGTACTGTTTGTGGAACGCCGCTCAATTTCTCGCCAGAGTTGATTGAGGGCAAGCCCTATGCAAAGCCCACGGATATTTGGGCACTAGGATGCGTGATTTACGAGCTGACGTTTTTGGAACACCCGTTTTTGGGGCCAAACGAAACTGGGAATTTATTCCAACTTGGTCAAAAGGTATTTTTTAATAATTTGAGAACAAGGATGTGGCCTAAGTTGTCTGTATTTCAGAGATGAGTCATCTCTGATGACCTTGTTCATCCGTGATTCGGTAAATGTGTGGCCTTGTTCATCCTCAAAATTCCTGCATGTATGCCCTCGTTGATCCCGATGCAGCAAGTATGAGAATGAACAAGGCCACACATTCACATAATCACGGATGAACAAGGTCATCTCTGAAATACAGTGCTCGATTTCAGCGAATTCCACTTTAACTACTAATTTCATAGATTCTGGCCGTCAACTACCCCCGAAAAAACTGCTATCTCGGCCTCTTGGCTGACAAATGCCTTTCCCGAAAGCCCGAAAACCGCTTTTCAATCCAGCAAATCCTCGCCGACCCAAACCTCTCCCGAATCCAAGGCAAATTCAATCGCAACATCGAAACGTCAAAAATATACGTGTCCGAACTCATGGCCTGTTTAAAACTGAACTAATCGTAGATACGATCGTAATTCTTCATTTAATAAAATGCGTAATATTTTTGAAATGAACGAAAAACGCGTAAATCCCTCCAAAAAAAAACGGCAAATTTCGGCTTTAGCGTAACGACAAATACGCTGCTCGTTAGCAGATTTTCGAGGATTTATGCATCGTAAAATAATTTTTGGGTCGTTATTTTTTTGAACCGTTTTCCTGATAGCTTGAGACTCTTCGTTTGATACCGCCGTGGAATTCGTACTTTGTGATTGCTTGAGCCATTTTCATGTTTTTCTGGAGCAAGTCGATTCCTCCTTCGCCGTATTCGATGATGTTTCTTTCAGGATGGCTTTCTAGTGCTTATTTCACTTTAAAGCTAGGGTGGGCAAGATTATCGAAGTCAATGAGCAGTAGGGGGCGCTGTTTAGACCTATCTGAGAGTCGTCCTGAGCCAATCAGAGGCCGGTATTGCTTCCATCAGCCAATCAGAAGCGAGCGAATCCCCTACAAACCCCTTCAACCTAACCCTTTGACCACCCTAGTTCTAGAGCTTATCTTCTATCTCAAGATACACGGTAACCGCTCTAAGTACCGTATCTCCCCCTCAATCAAGTATAAAGCCACGTTCCTACAAGTCGGACAGAAAAACTGATACAGTCGCTTTTGCTGTTCTTCAGAAGCATCTACAACGCGCTTGATGCAGCCTTAGAAATGGGTTCCTTCTGTATGAAATTAGTGCTATCGTAATATCGTGTGCACCTCGTTACGAAAAAGGGTAACTGTTAAAATAGCTTAGATAAGGACGGCTCGAGGAGATTAAAATGCATCTGGAATGAGTTATCCGCTCACGCAAGGGGGCTGATTACATTATCCGAAACTCGGCAAGAAATCTGCAGGAATATTTCATTTTCATTTTACAATATTTTACTTGAAAATTCTATAATCAGTGGATTCAAATATTCAAGTTTAATGAGCGTAGCGAATTTCGAAGAAATTTTTCATTCATTATTTTTGATAATAAGTGATTAAGGACCCCCCGTCAGCTTTTTCCTTCGAAAAATTGAAATTTTTAAAAGCGCCATATTTTTGGTTCCTAATGCGTCCCCAGGTTAAACTTGCCTCAAAAACTCGATAAGAGGAATTTTTCATGAACATTTTTGCTGAAATTAGCGCAAATTCGTCAATTTTCGGTGAAAAGTCCAATTTTCAAATGCGAAGGAGTCGAGATAGACCCACAAAAAATGAAGCCTCAAAATCGTTTTTCACCCGTAGAATCCATTTCCGGGGTCAAAATTTTAAAATTCCGAAATTCGTTTTTTTTTTGTAAAAAGCTGACGGGGGGTCCTTAAAGATCTAAGAGCATAAAAGCGGCTTGATCTTTTGATAAGTAATTAAGATAAAATAATCAAAAGAAACATGTGTATGTAATTATGATTAGACATCTGTTTCCCGGATGAAGAGTAGATTTAAGCAACAAGGTTGAGAAAAAATTCAGAAAATAGAATAAAATGCAACTTTTATGAAGAAAATTTAGTGATAAAACGTTCTTGAGAACTTTTTACTGCTAAGTATTTTTTATTCTCTACATAATTTGTTATCATCCGAGAACTCCTTTTGCCGGTGATTGACGATCCTGATGATGATTAAAAGAATACATCAATTATAGTACCTCTATAATAAAAAAGAAAGAACCTTTTCCTTTACAAAAAGTATGCCCGCACGGCAAAAACAGCGGTTTCGCATACAAATCTAAGCAAACAGGGCATCTCAAATCAATCGGAATCGAAACATTTTTCTTCAATTTTCTCGAGTGCGATCCACAGCTATTCAGATCAGGAGAAGCAGGGCCAGAAGAACTTCCAGTTTTGGGCGCTCGGTTGGGAAGAGCAGCTGATTTCGAAGCCGCTCCAGAGGAGGCGGAGTTGGAGCCGGACGAAGATGGAAAACGAGAGAAAACAAGGGTTGCGTCTTCGTAATTGCTGGCTTCGGCAATGTCGGAAGTTGACTTGGAGAGGTTGCTTCGCATCCGCAGACCTTGGGTGTCTACATCCAACTCGCTTTCTAAGAGAAAATATTATTCAAAAAGCGAGATGGCTTGATGAAAGGGTTGAAAAGAGAAGTTTCTAAAGAGGACTTTCTTCCAGCAAAACCTAATTGATATAATTTGTTCCTTAGCCAATCAGAGCCTTGATGGAAAATTTTCGTTATCAAGAGGATTTGCTGTAGCTTTCTTGAGAATTTTTTTGTTAGAAAAAAGCTGTAAAATTATCGCTAGAATTTTAAAAGCGTTCGGGTTCTGTCCCCCTTTTTTCATTAGAAATTTTAAACGGGATTGATTCAGGTGCGTAAATTTTCCTTTCTAAATCAAATTCTCGCTCAAAATCAACCTCCATGCGAGATCGATTAATTACGAGCAAAATCCGTCTCTCCGATTTGTTAGAGCCGTTATACGATGAGATTAGCTCAAGGATAAGTGCGGATTTGATTTCAAGCTTCATTTACGAAAAAACCGGGAAGAAGACTGTGAGTTGAGCGACTGGAGGTTTCCAAGCAATTGGCTCAGAACTCGCCCCAGAATTGAAAGCGGTTCCAGCGAAATTCTTATAAAACCTCTTGAACATTTGTTATTTCGGGATAATGAGGGAAAGGGTTGCGGCTTTGGAGGAGCTCTTCACAGACACGTAAGGATCGGTTGAAACGGGATTTGTGCAGTTTAGGAGTAATTACTTCATTGTCGACTAGACTGTCTGGTAGACATCGATATCGAGGCCCACGATTGTGAAAGCAACGAAAAAATTGCTCAAGGTCAACGATTTATCAATTTGAATCTTTCGTGCAGCGCTCTGATTGGTTAATGTCGCGGTATCATGATAACTCATGATTGATAATCATGAGCGCCTTTTTCAAAGCTCTATCGACAATCTTGGACCCAAAAATCGCTCAATTTCTTGTCGACAGTCTCCAAAAAAGCCTATTTATCCGTGAATACCCTCTTCTTGATTTTTTGATAACAGGCCTGAAAGACGAAGATTTCCGTTTCAACCTTTTTTTTCTAAAAGAAAAAACACGTTACGGAAAAAAAAACGCTCGGCGAACGCAAGCACCATAATTTCTAAAACAGTGATTTGTTACGAAATGAGCAGGGCGAAACAGCGCTGCACAAATATCGCGGCCCGATCAAGCAAAAAAAAGCGCCAGGTTGAAAAATCGAATTTACGAATTTATTCGGGAGGTTTAGAAAACGCGCTGAGAAAAGAAGAAGCATTAAATTGGTGAAATCATAGAAAATACTAAAATAAATATTCTTTTAATCCCTTCTTATGACTTGGCGAATAAACGACGGAGAATTTAGCAAAGTGATACCCTTAATATTTCTGCAAAAGAAAGATCGATAATTTTTTTTTAAATAAGGGCCCCTTATTAAGGGGGTGTTTATTTTAAAAGAAATTATAAATCTTTCTTTTGCAGTAATATTAAGGGTATCACTTTGTTATTTTATTCTCGATCGTTTTTGATGGATTGTAAGAAGGGATTAAAAGAATATTTGTTCTAATATTCTCTCTGATTTAACTAATTTAACGCTCTTTTTCCCGAAAAGTAAGGGTGTCACTGTGTTAACTTAAGTAAAAAAAAGAGCTAAAAAATCCCGTTTCTTGATGTCCTACCCCTTAATTTCACTAGAAATTAGTAAAATTACAGTTTTACAAGGCAAAAACATGCTCTTGCATCTTCATTAGTAGTAGCTCCAAGAAGCGTCGTTTAAGGTTATCAGTCCCAGCTCCTCTTAAAAATTTTAAATTTGACAGTCGAGCATGTCCCCCTTACGACATCGTGTTCACGGAAGACGCGGTGTTCTTTTTGGTGAACAGTTTTGGCCTTTTGATTTTTGAATCCATTACGCAACGCTACGTTTTTTCGTACCGAACCCAAAATGGCAAAAGTTTTAACGCGAATGGCAAATTAAATAATTAATTGGATCAAGAGCAAATGATGAGTTTTCAGTTTTTTAAACAGCACAAATTGGACGGTCCATTTCGTCCAAATCAAAATGGCACATTCAATTACTGACCTATCATTTCTTTTTCCTTGTAATTCGGTGTCTAATTTTCCCGATTTTAGAAAGACTTTTTTTTCGACAAGGACGTGCCACGGTGGCAGGGTGCTTGTTTAGACTCTGGAGTCCAGAGTCTGGACGGGCTCTTTTTCTCTTGTCGAAAAAGAATCAACAAAAAGCTCCTAAATTGGCACCCTAACTGCGGAGACCGGGGATTAGGCAGGCTTTGGAGCAAGGGCTGGTTCAAGATTTGAGGCGTTACTGTATCAATAGTCAACAAAATCGGAGGAACGAAAAGGCGATATTTTCCGCAATAATTCGGTTAGTTTAACACGTAAATAATACTATTAACGACGACTATACTCTTAAACCTGTCCCCTCGAACTTCAGGGCGGCTTTTTGAAGCTCCTAGAAAAATGATCGTTTCTCCAAAATTTTCTTTATCGAAACCACAAAATTGTGAGGAGGAGCGCATAAGAATTTTTGATAAAATTTCAAGGTAAAAAAATCACGAAAAAGTGGGTCATCTTTCAAGAAATCCCCATTTCCCAATTTTTTTTTTTCCAATTTTTGGGCTGTGTTTATTTCAAAAACGCGGCCGCAAAGTGCGAGTTGGACGCTGGAATTTCATTTATATAAATTGACATCAAGGCGGCGGTGGAAATTATATCTTCTAAACCGTAAGAAATATATTTTGTTTTACGTGTTCCGCTGTTAGAAAACCCTCCACCGGCGATTATGAGAATTATTAAAAGCAAGTTTTACAAGTGTTGGTATTGAAAATTTGATTGTTTCTGCTAAAAAAAAGATGGTCGATTAAACTGTCAATAAATCATAAAAAACTGCTCTTCTGTGAGTTCCGCAAAAATTAATCAGTTCAAAAATAGATCGATGATCACGTTACATCCTCTAGAAATAGATACGGCAAGAAAAATGACTCTTTTCTTGAAATCTGAATTGAGCAATTGAAATCATTTATGAATTAGTTTTCATCCAAGTTTATTTTAAGAAACCCGAGTTTCGACATAGCTTAATTCTATTTCGAAAAGTATGATTGATAATGACACAAGAGCGGAGTGGAACTGACGGAAAAAAGTGTCACGTGAGAAGGATTTCCCCGGCATAACTCAAGAATTTCCAAGTGGCATCTGGAGAAAAAGCTTCGGTCAAAAATCAAATTCTTCGGTAATTCGACGCTGAGTCGACACCCTCGACTCGAAAAAGGGAAAAGCAGAGTTTTTCGAATTAACCTGTCGGCGCATATTTACCAATATTTTGTCCAAAATTTCTTCATCCTTTTTATAGTTTCCCTTTTCTGGTGGGATTACAGTAATGGGAAACATGGTAGTGGGAATTTAGAAAGACAATGATTTCATAAGAAATTGAATCATTTTAGTGTTTTCCCGATCGAGTACCGTTGGAGTTTTCCGCCTTTGGATGAACCGCGGCCAACTCAAGAGCCGCCGCGCTCTTTCCAAAGAAAATTTTAAAGGGCTTCAATCTCCGTTCAATCTTTTTTCTTTTTTTTAGAAAAGTCCTCTACCCTAATTAACGAATTCTTGTTACTGTTACCTGTTCTGTGAGAAATTGAAGAACATGTTTTTTGATCCTGAACCCATTCTTGAACCAGTTCTAGCTTGTTTTTGGGCTCTTGAATTTTGTTGAAATCGGCAACGGAAAACGACTTGTTTGAAGTTGAAAATGCAGCTGATGATTGAGAAATGAAGAAAATCTGTTGTTGCTTTTGAGCCTTGTTTTGCGGACGACTGTTGGGAAGGTTGGCCAAGCGGGCGGTGGGAGACACGGAGCGGGAGGAACTTGATGGCACCACGGAAGCTCTAGAATTTTTAAACGTTATACACGCCCAGTGTCAACACATTTCGCATAAGTTCTGTCATTTTTAGCATTCCCAAAAAGAGCATGAAAAAAAGAGATACCAAAATAGACTTTGACATCGAAGAATCCTACTCATTATTCAAAATAATAATCAAAACTATAAGCCGCAACTAGGCGGATTTTTTAAACTGCATATTTCAATATTCTTATCGGCTCAAAAGTGCCTCGTTTTCTATTGAAAAGATTATTCTTATTCAAAATTTAGCCGCTAGCAGCTTTTTTCTTAGACATTTTTAGCTGCGCGCGGCTCAAATAAATATTTTCCAAGCGACAGAAATGGTAATAAAAAGCCGCGCGCGGCTAATGAAATGTGTCAAAAAATTACCTTAGTTTTCTGGGAGCATCTTTATAACTGACATGTGCTTTCTTCTTCTCCCTTTGCCTGAAGCGCGTGTATCGCTTTATACTGTTGACGACGTATTGCTCCGAAGAAGCTGGAGAGGAGAAGTCAATTTTGACGGGCTTGGCAGCTTTGAGCACCTCGATCTTCACCATGTTGGAGGTGGTGATCGAATTCGCGGAACTAGAGACCGTCTTTTTCGTGTTTTCATAATCGTGCTTTTACGAGTTTCTTTTGATACTGTATAAAGAAGAGAACGTGTTCCAGCGGTTTTAGTAAGAAGCATATTTACACCGCAGCGCGTATATTTCCAACCCAACTGGTATATTTTCTTTGTTCTGCGGATTTTCCGAAGAATTTTCTTTTGTTTAGTCAAAGTTTGAAGTTAACCCAGCCGCGCATTTTGGCTCATTTTTATCACAAAATGTGCTTTTCTTTGGCAAGAATTTTGCCAGGAAAAGACTTTGACCTCAATTTCTCCAAAATCAAAAAGCCGCATGCGGCTTTTTCTAAAAATTTCGAGTCAAAAATAAGCCGCATCTAAAAACCTATCAAAAATTTGGAAACTTTGAGCCAAGGGGTTAATTTTTTGTGTTTTTTTTTATTCAAAAAGGGTCTTTATTCCACTACGGGATAATTTCTTATTGGCTTAGATTCCTCCACGTTGCTCAAAAAAGACTCGATCTTTGAAATCTTTTCGATTGACCTTCGAGTTGCGAAAGGGATGAGTTCCAGCTGCATCCGATTTACGCAACTGAGGAGCGCGCAAGCGGTTTAGAATCGAATTGTACCAGAACATGAGCTTTACGGCTCACTCAAAATCTCATCCCGCGACAATGCAATAGGAAATCGCGGAAAGCACGTTCAGAAAAAAGGGAGGAAACAGTAATTACAAGGGAATCTCTCTTTGGACTCCAATGTTTGGAGAGTTAATATTATTAAATTGAATTGAATTTAGCGCCGGCCTCTGTGTTTTGATTTGAGCTGTTTTGTTCGTGAACAATGGTCAATTACTAAAAAATGATGGCTAAGGTTGTCGATTGAAACAGTGAAGTTATTGGCAATTAATTCATTTTGTTTTAACAACAGTTGAAAGCAAGGAAAATATTAGTAAAAAACAGGGACACATGCTATTTCTTTGAAACAATGAGAGACCATAAATAAGCCGCCTCAATGTTTCCAACCAAAAAAAATTTTGATCTCACAGATCGTCAAAATAAAGCTCAAGATTTACACGAAAAGTCAAGTCCACTATCTTTGTTTTGAAAAAACGGCAAAAGTATTATTTTTTATACGATAAATTCATTATTGCGACAGTAAGATGTCAAGTTGAGTAAGATGTATGATATCAAAGATAGCCTAACTCATTTTTATAAAAATTAATAATTTCTATCAAATAAAGAAACATTCCTGTCCAATTTCCGAGCTCGCGCTAGAAATATTGCTCCCCAATGCGGAATCTTCTTCATCAGTCTCTGAATTCTCAATCTTCAGCCACTTCAGCGGCTTTGTTTCCTTTTCCCTTCCTAACATCTCGCTTGATTTCTGTTGGATTTCAGAAATGCAATTTCTCTCGGTTTATTTTCAAAAATGCGAATTTAGACGTATCAAAATACGTTCTCTAAAAAAGCCGTTTTCTTTTTCGATGAAAATTCTCGATGGAAAAGATGTTGAGAAATTAAGGAAACGCGGGATCATGAATTCTCGCGGCGGCGGCTCGTGAGCGCCATCCAAAGCGCGCATAACGGCGCATGCCGCGGCTCTGTTTGTCTGCAAATCACTTGAAGCTGTCGATTTGGAACAATCAAATGAATACAACGGGCGATGATAAAGAAGTGGTAATTATTCGGCCAATTATGATACTCATGTACTCATTATGATTTATAAATTATTTTGTTTCAAAGTATATTTTCAGGCTCTAAAATCATGTAAACCATTTTTCGCGGGTCATTTTAAATGATTTTTAAGTCATCGTAGAATTATAACGGATTAATTGTAAAAACGTCATCCGGCTATCGGAATCAAATTCTTTTGAAGCCGTGGAGAATAACCGTTGACGCTGAAATGATAACTGACGCAAGGTGATGAATCTGGATATTCTTATTAATAAAGCAGCATTATCAATCTTACTAAAGTCGTATAAAACGACCGCTACAACCCGAAGTTCGTCAGTTGAAAAAAAATGGAACGACAATTGAGACTTTTTGAACAATCGCGGCTCAAGAAAGCTGAAGAATTTCTGGAAAAATTGAGCGAGAGACGGACCGATTCGGCTTGTCGAAAAGCTTTGCGGAATATACAGACGACTATTCGAAGATACAAGCGTTCTGGTCTCCCCAACTTCGACATCGATCGCCTCGGCTGCTTCGTCGACATCATCATTCAATCCGTCATCTCTTTTGCCCTCTACGCTCGGGTAGGAGTCGACAAGCTTCGTGAACGATACGGCCAAGCAGCATTCGATCATATTCGGACAAAATGCAGAGATGCTCTTTTGACCTTCTGGGAAAACGGAGCTCTTCTGGAATCAAAGCTCGACGAAGCCCTGGACAACGGATGGAACGACCGAACCTTCATTGTTCTTCTAGCGCGATAATTTAACTTCAAAGAAAGATGGAGGAACTCACGTTGCTCTCCGCCGCATAATTGTATAGATTGGTACTTAGAAGCTGAGATTGGCAAGATGTTCCCATCAGAAAAAAGCTCCATCAGGCGGCTGCGAGTTAGCCACTTCAAAAACCTGAAATTTTCACTAATAGCCTCTTCTTTCCTGCAACTTCGGGAAAGTGATATTCAACACTGGACAAGATAAACAAAACTTCAGCGAACAAAAATTTACTGTACTGTTCTGAAATAAGAAAAAAATCGAACATAAAGAAAAATAGAAACGAGAATATCAGTTTTTGTGTTTTATTAAAATTCAAAAATCTGCTCAACGATAGATGAATCGGAGCATCAAAAACAAAATTCTAGTGATCTGGCAGAGAAATTTAGTCGAAGACCTTGAGGATCTTGGCAGGAGTGAATCGAGTTCGGCAGGTCGGGCAGTTTTTCTGTTGAAGAGCAGCGATGCAAGGTGAGCAAAAGTGATGGCCACATGTAATGAGGATGACTTGGGGATGATTGTTGTCGTAGTTTTCGAGGCACACCTTGCATTTGAGCTTGTCATCCAATTTAGCCTGCTTAACAACAACCATGTCTTCTGAAAATATTTTTAATTCAAGCTAACTAGTAAAAATTTCTTACCTAATTCGTCATTATCTTCCTTCATCGCCTCAGTTGAAAGAAACAAGTGACGTTTTTGAACCTTCTTGCGCCAAATTTTCTTCTGATCAAGAGCTTCATGAGCCTCTTTCGACTTCTTTTTCGCATCTTCGAGGGCTTTATCGGCATCTTCTGCGACTTTTTCAGCAGAACCTTCTTCTTCTCGGGCAGTTTCGTATTCTTTGCTGACAATCGAGAGAGTCTCGTAATTATCTACACAGGATAGTTAAAATTTCATATCAAGTGAAAAAACTTACGATCCTTCCACTTCCAGTCGTTTGCTTTTTCACAGCATGCTCCAACGAAATATTCACCAAACGAAAGTTGATCAGTTGTGCATGCTCCCACAGGACATTTGAATTTCGCATCAGATGGTTCGAACTTTGGCGGCTGATAATATCCAGTTGACTGATTGTAATAACCGCCATTGCGGTTGTAAGAATTGGATGTCTTTTTTTCTTCAGCACATGATCGGCAATAATAATGTCCGTTGATTTTGGCAAGCGATTGAGGAAGCCTGAAAAGAAGATTCGGAAATTTACAAGATGAAATGTGAAATTTTATAAATAACGAAAATATGATAATACCTGTTGCACTGGAAACATTTTCCTCGTGAACCAACGCTTGCGACTTTTGCAAAATCAGCTGTGAAAGAGATATTTTTTAGAAGAATCTTCATTCTCTGTAAATCGAACAGTATTGGCAACAATCGCTAAAAATCAAGCGCGTTGAAGCTGGCCTAACTTTCCCTTTTTTAGCCACTCAGAAGCCGACTTCCAAAACCTTGCTGACTCATACCAAGATTTTTACCATGTGATTATCAGACTGCGATTCAGTCGAATTTTTATCTGTAGTCAATCAACGAGAAAAATATTTAACAATCAGCGATTTTAATGAGTTTCAATTCTTTTTCGGAAAATTGTGAAAGTGATCATACTGAGAATATTTAGCACGGCTAGAATAAGCAGTAAGGTTAGTAGGTTTATCGAATTGCTAATGAAGAAACAGACTGCACTTGAAAGAGCATCCATGAACTAAAAAAACGACTTATGATGAAATTCTTGATCTAAATTTTGTCACCTGTTTGAGCGCAAAAGCAGAGGTCGTCTCGGTCGAAAAACCTTCAGTTACAGAAGAGAAGAGCACATTCTTCAACCCACCATCGCCAAATCCCATCAGAAAAGCGATGAGAATCGCAACATTTAGATTCGTTGATCCAAAAATATTCCAATCGGGCAGATCTTCTGTCGATGTAAAATTGGAATCGTGAGGAAAATTGACAGAAGTCAGAATGTACGAAACCAAGTGCAACAACAAAAAGCTAGAAAATATTTTATATTTTGAAATTCTAGTGCCGACTAACGTTATAGCGATGCTTGATCGATTAAATTTGTCAAAAAACTTCGATCCAAAGACAAAAACAGCGCTAGAAACCAGCCCTCCGATTCCAGTCAACAATCCAGTGTAGCCAACTTGCGCGCTAGAATCTTCGAGATTTTTGGAATTCCCGACGACGGTCGGGTAAACGCCACTGAGAAAGCCAAAGTAAAAGCCGGAATAGATAATGTAGGGTGCGAATAAAGCCATATTTTTGGTGAGCAAAAGCTTGAAGGTCTTTTTGATGGTTCTGATGAACTCGAGAAATTTTTCGCTGAATGGTGTTTTTTCTTCTTTGTCTTCAATTTTCTCCGGGCCGCAGCATCTCCCCCTCAGAAACAAGAGCAAAACGCAGCCAGTTGAAGCTAGCACAGCGAAAATCGTGAAGATCGTAGTTCTCATTTCCGAGCTTACATATTTCTCCCCTTGCCAAGCGAACATGATATAAATATTGCCATTGATCATGCTGCAGAGAAAGAATGAAGAGAATATCCCCGTATTTCTGGACATCAGTCGCTCGGTCCCAGACTGATGATGGAGAAAATCACCTTCAGCAGTCCACAACAGTGCTCCTCCAGCTCCGTTCAAGACTTTCAATCTGGTCGATTACTGTTTTTACGGTCAAAGGAAGATCAAAATCGACCGTTTCCTGAGACGGAATAGAGAAAAAGCGGAGTCGGGTTCAAAAAGACCAAAATATAAAGCAAGTAGGTCAGTGCCGCAATGAACATTGTTGTTTTATGCCCAAGTATGCCAACAACTCCAGGAGCGATAAAATTCGTTAGGGCGAAGGAGACATAGACGATCGACAATGAAATGTATCCATCGCCAAGCAAGCCGTCAGCATATTCATTTTGTATCATACTGTACGTTTCATTCATCGAATTTTCTTGAAAAAACTCATTGAAAAAAGGATGAAGACAACAAAAAGTACCTTCAGAATGGTAGGTTAGCCAGTAAGTATCGTTGAAATGCAAGAAGTCCTCATCATTCTCATCCAGTTCCTCCAAAATCTCCGTCTTCAACGAGTCCGTCACATATTTCCCGATCATCGAAGTCGTCAAAAACGCAGTAAACAGTAGCATAAAGGCAAACCCAAGCAGCACAACATTCACCAACTTCCATTTATCGCTCAATCCCTGCCGCTCTTTCTTCTCCTCATTTTCACCAAGAAAAATTTTCTCTTCCATTGTCGACCTCTGACTCACCGAATTTTCGCCTTGGCAAATAACAAATACAAAAAAGCTCCCACCAAACTTTAGCTTGAAATTCCCCATCTAGAATTCGCATCTTTGCCTGGGGGATGAAAGAACTTATAATTATGAAACACGAGTATCGTTTATTTTGTTTGCTAAAGCGGCAGAAAAATAAGGAAAGGTTTTTTTACATCATCATAAAAAGAATAAGCAAAATTGAACTTGAAGAAATAATGAAATGGAAACTACTTTTCGACGACGAGGATGTGTTTTTCGACAGAGGAACGCTCTAAAAAGGGGATGAACTCTTTTGGAATTGAAGGGAATGCTCACCATGGGTTTTTTGATATTGGAATAGACATCGATTGGTTTCTTTATCAGCTCTTTATGTAACATGCCAGCCATGAGGCCTTGGAAAGCAGCGTTGTAATCTAGTGCCACTTCATTTTGGATATAGTCTTTTCGGTCGTCCTTGAAGTTGTCTTCTGAGTCCGGCCCGCCCACTAGCGCTCCCTAGAAAGCGAAAATTATTCTTTGAAATCAACCCAAAAAACTTACGAGCAACAAGTTTGGGTTAGCATCATTTCTGTTCAAATAATTATCTCCACAGGGTTTTCCCGGGCCAGGACAAGAAGAAGCTCTGTGATGCGGCCTCGTCGGGTACTTCTTTCCGTATCCAACGACAAAGCTGCCTCCGAACTTGTTCTCTCCGAGGATGTAGTTTACTTGGTCAACAGCGAGCTTAGAAATGCTATCCGGGCGGCTTGAGTACTCCGACGCCATAAGACAGAGAAACGCTAAATTCTTTGTTTTTATCCTCGCAAAGCTGTTGATTTTTTACCTGAATTAGCCGCATAACGAAGCGGAGCCCATTTCATGACAAAAAGGAGACCCTTCTCGGTGAATTTGGCGTCGCCCTTATCAGGTTTTTTACAGTAAGTGTGGAGAGGCTCGATGTAGTTTTCGCGAAGATCGTCTCGGGTGACTTGAGCGAGGAGGAGTTGGCAGCCGAGGACTTTGTTGTCCCAACTGAACTGATTTGCGAAGCTTTAAGGAGGTCTTGGTGAGATTTTAAGGGAGAGAGCGGGAAAATGATTGATTTTTATTTTACAGCGTGACACCCTTATTTATTAAAAACTGATCAATTCAAGACCTTTCCTTGAAGAAAACATTCCCCAGTTGTAATACCGTTTCTTCGCCAATTCATAGTAGCTAATCTTCCCTGTCGCTCGGTAAAGCCAAATGCCACCCCAAATGACTTCATCCCTGTAATCAGTGGACTTGTAATAAGTCCCCACTTGAGGCACCGAATCTGAATATTTATCTCCAGTTCCAAAGACCATCGACTTCTCGGTGTAGCTCATGAGTGCTTCTGCATATTTTATCATTTTTCGAAACTCGGTCGTTCCAGAAGTACGATTTCGATCTTCGTTCTTGAATAGTTCCTCTTCCTCTGCTTTTTTGTACACAAGACCCATCGCAGCAAAAGCCGCGGCGTAGTCAGCAGCAATGTCAGTTCCTGCTTTTTCAGTGTCGACTTTGTAAACAGGCCTCGGCATTTCTTTTCTGATGTTTTCCGGGCCGTTCCAGATTCCGTGGTCGAACTCAGGATCACCGACGAGGACGTAAATTGCTTCCACGATGCCTTTGTTGTCAAGAATAGTCGCTTTCTCGAGCCAAGCACTTCCCCAGAGCAACAAGTCGAGCATGTTGTCCATCTCCTCCGCCGCGACATAGCTATCCCAGTAGTGCAGCGCTCCCCAAGCCAGAGTCGAGAGCGAAAAACTCAGCGGAAAGCCAAATTTCAAGTTATCTCCAGCATCGTAATATCCTCCCGTCAAATCGACATCCGACCCGTTAACTCCCTTCCCGAATCCATCCCACAAGCAGCTGTCTTTTCTCCAAGGAATTCGGTTCTTTTCCGGAAGTTTTCCTGAGCGCTGGGCTTCGTAGAAAAGGATCGACTTTTGGAGGATTTCTTTGTAGTTGTACTTGAGTTCTTTGATCTTGGAGTCGGGGAAGGGGGTTGGACCGACTTCTCCGCAGGTGGTTTCTGTTCCATTTGTGGTGGAGTTTCCGCCGTCCAAGCATTCCTCCAGTTCTTCTTCGTTTTCCACGATATTGTCTTCGAGCTCTTCTCGTAAACCTGGAACCATACCAGTTGGTTGATCATCCTCCTCTTCTTCGTCCTCCTCATCATCTTCCTCCCCATCCGTTTCAACCCCATCAACGCTGTCCTCTCCCTCTTCTCCTTCTTCCCCACCTTCTTCATTTTCCTCTGGCGGTGGAGGGGTTCCAGGGTCGTAGGAGAAATTCGGATCCATTTCGTTAAAAACAATCACATCGTTAAACTTCAAAATCGCCTTTGGAGGTTTATCTTCCCCTTCAAACTTCGCTTGAAAACCGATATCAGTATATTCCCCTCCTTTCAGCGCCCCATTCCACTCGAGATTCTTCAGCGTAAAAGTGGTGGTGATATCTTTGATGTCGATCTTCTGGTTCTCTATATTCGCATTCCAGCAATCGAAACCGGCCAATTTCGTGCCGACAAAGGTCAGTTCTATTCTCCAACCGCTGGTAGTATTGACTGACCAGGGAACTTGAGCATGAATTCGCCCTTCAAAGCCCCCTTCCCACTCATTTGTCACTTCAAAGGTCTTCTTATGGACATTCTCTTGAATCTCTTGAGCCTTGACGAAAACAAGGAAGAATAAAAAGCGTAAAACGCTCATTTTTAAAACTTGTGAAGGCCAAATCAACGAAAAGGCCTTCAAGCTCGGTAAAAAAGGAATCTGGTTTGTCTGATTAATCCAAATTTCAAGGAGCTGTATTATCGTACTAAGGCGAGTTTGCAAGTCCTAGAGCAGCCCGAGGGCAAATTGAACGTGCTCCAATAAAATGAATACCGTCGGACACTTTTTCGCAGATTATTTTCACCGTTTATTGGTACCAATCAAGGCTCGATTTACGGAAGAATGGTGAGGTTGTAAATTTGAAGTATGAAATGATACAGAGGAGAAAACGCAGAGGAAAAGGAATGATCACTGATAAGAATTTTCCCGGCAATTGCCAATAAACGGAAACTTGCAACTCTTTTTTTTCTTGAGCTTTTGTTCTAACTCCTTGATTTTGGCCTCATGCTTCTTTATTTGAGAGGATTTTTCGTTGATGGTTTGATTTAATTTTTTGATATTAGACTCATGTTCCGATATTTTAGCGGTTTTTCTAGTAATGATTGCGTCTTTTTCATGAACAGCTCTTTCTTTGCTCTGAAGATCTTGCTCTTTCTTCTTGATAGTGGCAGTCATTTTCTCGATTTTGTTTGACATAGGCGCGATGCCTTTGATGAAGAAGATGTTCCATCTAACAAAGCCTCCTGGACCTTGAAATTTCGTCTCTACAAACTGCTCTCCATTGACATCTCTGCTCTTGATATTCTCTTCTCTTGAAGCAACATTTCCTGTTCTCGGGCAAACGTTCTCAGCTGTCGCAGTAAAACTCAAATCAGTCCCTAAAAACTCAAAATTCAAAAAAAGGAAAAAAACTCGCCTCGTTTTGAAATAAAAAGCTTCCAATTTTGAAAAGTTCCATTTCTGTTTTTGACAAGCGAAGGAGCTCGAATTCGCCAGTTTTTATAACTCACGTCGAAATTTTTAGTATAGTGAAACTAAATGTTAGAATTGAAAGAGAAATTGATTTAATATCAAAGAAATTTACTTTTAGATTAATGAATTTGAGACCATTTTCGAGGGCGTCAATCAGGATTTCTTTTTTGAACCTTCGGTCGAGAGAAAAACATGTGCGCTCATCTTCATGATCTGCGCCAAAATACTGACCAAGCCCAATAATTTTCAAAAACTGAATATTTTTCGACGGCAGCGAAAATTCACTTTCGTAAATTAAATTCTGCAGCGCTTCTTCTCCTTTTTGCTCGTCAGAAGCGCGCCTTAACATTCTTTCAAAATCTTCCTTGATTTTTTTATTTGCTTTTCGAACGCATTCTTCGTAACTGCTTTCGAAGTCGACATCCCACGGAGCAATTTTTGCTTCAAGTTGGCAAATAAAATTTCTGATCGAAGGTTCTTTTGCAAGAAGAAAACAGTTTTCAATTCGATTTTCTGGCAGCTTTTGAAGACAACGGCTGATAAGAGAATCGCATTTTGGGAAATTTCGAGCTGGCGTCTCATAGCGCGCTTTCATATGATGAAAATTTTCATAACATGAAAAAGACTAGTTATGGTTGCATAATTTGATTTTACAACATTCCTTCACGTATTTTTTCAAGCAAAACATACTCTTTCCGATCATCGAAGGGATACTTCAAATAACTGATAATATAAATAATAACTCCAACAGCCCAAACATCAGTTTTTTGACTCACGATTTCTTCTTCTTGGTGTTCTTGAGACTCAGGCGTCATGAAGTGAGGAGTTCCTCTTTTTACGGTCTTTTTGGTTTCCATAGTTTTTGCTTCGAGAATTTAACATATCTTTAGTTCTTCGATAGATCTTTTTAGTAAATTCATTCCTGCAATATCGAAATCGCCGATCAAGAGAAGATAATTTTCACGCATGAAAATATTTTTGGGCTTCAGATCTCTGTGAATGATTCCTTGTTCGTGAACATAAGCCATACCATAAACAAGTTGGGAGACGAGTTTCAGTGCTTCTTTTTGATTCCATGAGTTCGGAGTTCTCGCTTTAGTTTGAATCAATTCTTCTAATGTTCCTTGACTTCCCCATTGCATCGTGAATCCATGATAACGTAAATTATTGTAATCGAACTGAACTTCTTCGTAAACTCGAACAACATTTTCGTGCTTCAATTTCTTCATCAGCGTGAATTCACTGTCCCTCTGTTTTTTGTTAATAACAGCCTTCAAAACCACACAATAATGATCTTTCAGAATAAAAAATTAAATTATTAACTTTGTGTATTCCCTTTACCGTCACAATCCATTTCCCAAAACAATTTATTCGGATCATCTCTGTTCGAATTCTTGACAACGCAATAGAACCGATATTTTCCAACATTTTTTCCCATTCTCTAAATTTTTCAAAACCAAAAACAAAAAGACCAAAAACTCGAACTCAGATCTGCTCAGCCAAGATTATAAAATTCAAGATAGTCCCGTTAATATTTGCACTATTCATTGGCAAATAATTGGTACGCGTTAAAATCAGGAATTCTCCCCGTGAACTGCCCTTTTCGCATTTCCGTTCTAGCGTTGAAGATTCGTACTCAACAAAAACAGCAATTGCTTCCGGTGATTCACGTCACTTGCTTATCAAAATTTCATCTGTGGTTTAAAACAGAGCATTCAACTTGCCAAAAAAGCAATTTTCAAGAGCTCAATTTTTATAAGTTCATCTCGAAAATCATGAAAAATTCCAAATGAAAATCGAAAAACCGCCTTTTTGCGCTCAAAAAGCGCCAAGTTCAGGGCTTTCCAGGTTATCCAGCGAAAATAAAAAGAATGATGTTGAAAGAGAAAGAGTCTAAGACCACTTGAAGGGTTTCTTAAAAGCAAAAGTCTAAAAGTAAACTTAGCCACTTGAAATTTTGAGCTCAAAGACGAGCACGTGTGAAGACACGGGTTCCGGATCTTCTTCTCAAGAGGCTGCGGAGATTCCTTGGCAAAAAGTCTTCCTTCAAGAAATCCCGCTCAAGGGCCGCTAGAATCAAGTTCAATTTGAGCAGGTTAATTTGAAGGAGTGCGAACTCGACAAGTGATGATGCTTTATTTTGAAGAAAAATAATCAACCGAAACTTTCAGGTGGCAGGATAAGCATAAACAACGTCAAGTTGGAGCCTTAAACTCGGGAGGGAGGACTTTTTCTTGGAAGAAAAGAGGCCTTGGAAAGAAAAGATATTTTTGATAATTCGTTATTTTTTTCTGAATTTTGAATGATCGATTTTGATTTTTTAATAAAAATTTTTTATTTTATATAAAAAATTACACTTTTTATTGTTAAGATCAAACAGAATCAATAGTTTTAAATAAAATTATAAATAATAAGAATAAAAAAAAATCATTCAATTTTTCTTTAAAAATAAAGCTAAGAAATCGAATTGAAATTTGAAATAAAGGACGATTTTCTCCATTTTGATTCATTTATTTCGCTTGATTTTCAAATTCTTTTACCCATAGTAATTTCAGAACAATTTCAAATTCCAGCGCCATTCTCAGACTTTGCCTCTCGGGCAGATTTTCTCACTTCTCGGATGATCTCTTCCACCTACTGACTCAACTTCAGGAGCATTTACGGTGCTAAAGCGCTCGAGTTTGAACTTGATTAATTCTTGGCATCATAAATTCCTTCTTTCCTTTGTTCTTGAGCAGTTGAGCGTTTCCATCCGCCCGTGCTGGCGGATTTTTCTGGCGTTTGGTGGCGCACCTGGCGTGTCCTGGGGCCGCTAGCGCTCCAAAACTCAAAACAGAAAACGGCTCATCCGCCTTTCTCAGCTTTTTTCACTTGGCCCCTGTCTTATCCAAAGAGATACCCCCCTTAACAAACAAGTCGTATAGACTTGCAGGGACAGAGATATTCCAGTATGCTGAGCAGAATACTGGCGTTCCTGGCGCTTAGCGGCGTCAGGGCCCAGGACATCGACTTTGCCCACGAAAATGGCATCATTCAGCCGAAGAGTTGGAACCTCGCAAAAGGTAAAAGGACCCCTTATTTTATCAGAGCTGGGGAATTTCACGGGTATCAGGGGGTGGATGGAACGGCGGCGCGAATTTGAAACCGCCCGGTCAGTCTTGAGCGGGTAATTGCCCTCTCAAATTTCCGGAATTCAAGTTTTTCGGGAAATTGAAATTGCGAGATTTTGATTGATGAGTGTTCTTTTCTGAACGGGTTGGAAATTGAAAGGGGTGGGAAATAAAGGCAGGGGGATTCAGAGATTGTTGCCAAAACAAAACTTGCGGGAACGGAAAAATTCGAATTTTGGCATGAGTTTTCGTCTTTCTTGCATAAGGTGATTAGGAAAAGTTCATGTTCAAGTGCCAAGAAATGCGGTTTTTTCCGGCTTTTGGGAAAGTTTGAAGTTTTCCTTCGCTAATGACTGTTTTGAAGAGTTATTCTAGCGTTTCAAAGTTGAACCCTACTAGTTGGTAATTACAACCCTTTTTCTCAAGTTCGAGTTTTTAGTTGAAACATGTTTTTGAAAAGCAACTTTTTCGGAACTTTAAAAACTTGGGTTTATTTTCGCTACATTCTAGTGACATCAATTTGGCACCTTGAAACATATTTTCAAACTTTTCGAAGCTTGAAAATTCGAAAATCTTCTTCGCAAATTTGAATTTGAAGGCACCGAATTTTTGAAATTCGCCTAATTGGCAGCCGCACGTGTCGTTGCTTTTTTGCTGGTTGAATAATTACCGCTTGCGAGAATGCAAAAACTGGTAATTAACGCGTGGTCAAGGTCGATCTAAAATTTTTTTCGGCGTTGTATTTTTCAAAAAAGCTGGTCGATATGAGCTAAGAAAATCGAATATTCTAGCGCTAGGGTTTTTTCCTTCGAATTTATCTATCAAAATAGGGTCGAAATTTTCGGTTTGGGACCCAAACTTTGGGTTTTGACCCCATATTTGGAAAATATGGGGAATTTGAGCCAATCAGAAGACGGTGCTCTTTGTCCAAGGCAATCAGAAGATATATAACCCCCCCATTTATTGGGCCGGTGAAAAATTTGGGTTTTGGGGGGTTATATAGCTTCTGATTGGCTTAGATAAAGAACATTGCCTTCTCATTGGCTCAAAATCCCCATACTTTCAAATTTTTCCCTTTTCCGACTAATATTATCCAATCAGCAGGTTGGAAGGAAGCTGACTCAAGAATCATCAGAGTACGATTATTCGTAATCACAATCGTATTCTGGCAAGTTCACCTGGTTGGCCGTAATTATAATATTCATAGGTGGTCTTTTCATCGCTACAATAAAAAACTAAACTGCTGAATAGTTAAGTGGAAGAAAAGCTACTTTTAGTAATATCGCCAGGTGTTGCTTTTTTCATCATAAAAAGCTCTGAGAGAGGCCCTTTGCCCTTCTCAACTGCTCCTGGCCCCGGCTGAGCTCGTAAAATTTTAGCGGCTTTTTGATCTCGCCAAGTTTACGGCTCCATCGCTTGATTTGAAGCGAGTAATTACTCAAAGCGATTTTGGCAGCGCCGGAAAGACATCAACTTTCCAATTCATCAAGTTTAAAAATAAGGGACTCGTACTTGGAATTGGAAAATGAATGATTGAAAAAGTTATCATTAAAGGATTTGGGAGTTATTTTCTTGATTGATTGATGAAAAATTTTTGATCTTGGGAATTTTCGTTTTTATTAAATTTTCTTTCCGAGCCAGTGATTTTGGATGGCAAATTTATAAAAATTTTGCGCACTGGCCTCCTGCCAATGTGAAGGCCTTGGTAAAGACGCCTTTGTTGAAAAACTTTTTTCACAATGGCCATTTACTCGGATTCAAACGCCGGACGGAGCACTTCAGCTTTGCGCAAATTTAACGAGCTAGTACCGTTTTTCCCCGGTGAAAAGTGCATTTTGAACTTGAAAATTCAAGAAAAGTAGACTCGATTGTTCTGAGCCCCCCAAATTGGAAAATAATGACAGAAAATTGGGCAAAATTCGAAATTAACCTTGATCCGCCATGTTTAATTCCGCCTCTAGAATCTAGACACTCGCGCCCGCTAGAATGATGTCACCTTGATAGCACCGGCTATTTTGCCGACATAACCGGAACTACCAATTGCCCAAAACATAAACCGGCGACTTCAAAGTTTCAAACGCGCCCATGCTAAAACCCATTCCTAAGAGGTATTTATCCACCCAGATAACTAAGTACAACAAGCGAGCTCGATTTCCCAGGGACTTTCTCACTCTCTCTCTCTTTCTATTCAAAAGCGCCCTGCCCTGGAGCGTGTTTATTCAATTTTTTGTCTAAAAAACGGAATGATAACTCAAGCTTGAGCCCTGGCACTTTTCACAGACGCGTTTTTTCCTCAAGTTCATCTGAGGAATTTGAGTGTGACGCCCTTATTTTGCCCCTAATTAAAATTTTGCCCCCTAAACTTTCATTTCAGTCGCAACTGTAACTGCCAACGCGACTTGCGGAGAAGACAACGCTGATCAATACTGCACTCTTTACTTCAACACCTGCGGAACTTGCATCGCCAACGGCAGAGATGGCCACCCGGTGGAAAACGTCGTCGACGGAACTGAAAGTTTCTGGATGTCCCCTCCTCTCAGCAGAGGCGAGCAGAACAACAAGGTCACACTCACCTTCGATCTCAAGCAACCCTTTCACATTGCCTACGTCGTGATCAAGTACGCAATCTCTCCGAGAGCGAAGACCTGGGTTTTGGAACGATCAGTTGACGGAGAAAACTGGGACGCGTGGCAGTACTTTTCTCAGGATCGATCGCAGTGCCGCACTTTGTTCGATAAAGTTCCAACTGCTGATGGAGAGTACGATTCCGACAGCGATGTAATCTGCACCGATGAATACACCGAAATCAACCCGGGCCAAGGCGGAGAAGTCGTCGTTTCATTGGTGAATGGTCGACCATCTCAGGACTCTTTCTCCACTTCCATCGAGTTGCAAGAATTCACCCGAGCCACGAAGATCCGAATCCGTCTTCTCGAGGTCAACACTCACTACGGTCACTTCATGTCTGCCGGCGACAACGATCCAAAAGTCTTCCAGCGTTATTTCTACGCGATCAAAGACGTCGAAATCGGCGGCCGATGCGTCTGCAATGGCCACGCCGACAACTGCGTAGAAAAAGACGGCGAGTACCACTGCGAGTGCCAGCACAACACGACCGGACGAAACTGCGATCAGTGCGCGGCGAATCATGTTCAGAAAAAGTGGCGACCTGGAACTCCTGGAAACCCGAACGAGTGCGAACGATGCAACTGCAACGGACACACTGAGACTTGCTTTTATGATGAAAATGTTGATGCCAACAAGCAGAGTATGGATTTGGCCATGAACTATGAGGGCGGTGGAGTGTGCCAGAACTGCGGAGATAATACTGAAGGAAATAACTGCGAACGATGCAAGCCTGGATTCTGGAGACCTCATGATGCCCCTCTTAGTGATCCTTGCCTTCGTAAGTTTTCAGCCAATCAAAATGGAGAATTTTGATAATAAGCGAATCAAAACCACTGATTTTAAAATTAAAAATAAGCCAATAAGATTCGTCTGCTTTTTCGAAGAGCTTTTTTTGGCTCAAAAATTTGATCTTGACCCCCATTCTTGCGTCGGCAATTCATCAAGCTGCCAATAAAATCGACTGCGCATGCATTATGCACCGGGTCTTGCTTGCCATGTCGGAAGTCATTTCCCACGTGAGCTCTATAATTAGCCTCCTCTCGCTCTCACACGTGACCCGCGTCCAGCCCGCGCTCGTAAATTCTAGCAGGGCGCACGTGTGAGCCGAAAAAATGGCTAAGTTGACCGATTTATAATTATAATTGCGCATAATTGTAAATTTAACCCTCCTTTTCTAAAAATTACCAGCTGAAAGTAATCCTCTTTTCTTCTAGCCTGCGACTGCGAGGAAGCCCATTCCGAAGGAACCTGCAATCCACACACTGGACAATGCAACTGCGCTCCAAACTACGGTGGAAAACAGTGCAACACTTGCGCGCCCAAGATCTTTTACTATCCAAAATGCGACCGTGAATTCCGTAAGTACTCTTCCTTGATTCCAGAAAATCTCCAAAACGAGCGAACTCGCTCCTTTGCCTTTTCTCGGATCAAGTGTGAATCAAACTGAAATTGCTGATGAATAGCTCTGACTGTATAAATAGAACTTCCTGCGGGTTTTGACTACAGTAGCTTCCCAACTGGTACAGTACACGCGTAGTCTTTCGTCAAATTTGGCAACAACTTTCCGTTTCTCAGCCAAATTTCTTCATAAACAACAATTTTTCTCTTCGCCTTTTTTGAAAAATATATCGACTTTGATATTGATCTAATTACCCACCAATTAACCCATCGTAACAATAACCGTAAATGAGAAAGAAAAAGTCGTGACTTTGACATTTGGGGAAATGTCAAATGTCATTGGCTTTTGAACTTCAACCTTGAAAGGGTTTCAATTTACGCAAAGACGTTTCATTTTCGACATCGTTAAAATAAGGGGCCTCTTCTTGCTTCCGGGAGGAAGTCGTTAAAGAGCATTACCGGGTGGGAAGAAAGGGTTGGACATTTAATGGACAAGAAATTCTGTATAAAAATTATGTAACCGCATCATGAGAACAGTTTGCGGTATCTTAGGAAAACAAAAAAGAAATACCGACTTTGAAATTCATCCTCCGATTGAATTTCCCTAATCCCATCTTTTCTTGTTTCTTTTTCAAAATCTCTTTCAATAGACCTTGAGATTTTGCCCATTTTATCCCCCGAAATCATTCTCAAACTGATTCTAGAGTGTGATGAATGCTCCGAAGCCCTCCTCGACCGAATCTTCCCCGAGACTGACAAGGTCACCCAGACCATGACTCAGCTCAACAACGTCATCACTTCCAAGCTCACTCAGACCAAGTTCGATACTCTCGCTCAGGGCAAGGATGATATCGAGCGATCAATCTCTCTCATCAACGAAGGAATGGATCTCTACAACAACCACGATGCCAAAATGAGCTTCTTGCAAAAGGACATTTGCGGAAAAGACGGTGAACTAGCACACTGGGTTTCTGTCTTTATGGCGACCAAGGCTGCTTTCAATAAAACCATTCAAGGTAATCAAGCTTCCGCGAACCCTTTTTCATCCTTTTCAGACGGCAACAAGCTCCAGCAAGAGTTCGAGCAACAAGCTATCCGAGCTGAAACAATCTTGAACGATTTCAAAGACGTCCAAAACATGTCTCCAACTGAGTACGAGCGAAGAATGAAGGACGCCCGACGAGAAGTGCAGGAGCTCCAGCAAATCTACGCTTCGAACGTCTACTTGCCTCTTTTGAACTCTGCCGAGGCCGAGCGAGATGAAGCCGTAGATCTGCTCAATGTTGTCAAAGAGCGATTCGGAGGTGGAGAAACAACCGGACGATGCCATTCCAACCACCAGCCAGTAGATTTCTACAGCCAACGACTTCACCCAGCAACAAAGGATAACTTCAAGTTTACACCTGGAGATATCAACGCCATCGACATCGATGGAACCTACCGACCAGTTGCTGTTGAAGAGCCAGATTACGACACTTACGATTCTGAGGACTACTCCGTTGACGACTTTGAAGATGACTACAGTGATGATGGTTACGATGTTGACGAAGATGCTGTTGTTCCTGATGTCATCGATCCTGAAGATTATTCTGATTACACGTAACTTGTTGTTTCTGAAACTTGTACTTATCCTTCTTTCTAGCGAGGATGTCTATGAAGCGCCAAAGAAAATCGATCCTCTTGGACTCGAACTCATCGACAGCCCCTCAACTTACGAGAACGCCCGATGCCCAACTGATAAACAGCTCGCTATCATTCCCGATGAGAACTCAAGAACCATCGTCGAGGAAATTCTCCGCGGCAGCAATGTCAAAGAGGCAATTATCGGCCTCAAAGCTACTGCTTCTGTTCCTCCAGATTCGTGGAAATGGGTAAGAATCGGCGTTTCAAAACATTTTTCAAATCAAATTATAGGAATCTCCTCGATGGAGAAGCATTCCCGTCGATATGACAATGTTCGCTGAGCCTTCAAATGATCCGACGAAGAAGTGCGTCACAATGACCAAACGAGGTTTTGTCGCTGAGAAGTGTACCGATGAGCTTGAGCACTTTGTCTGCCTCGGAAAAGGTAATAATTTCATTATTTATGCTCATAAATCCAATCTATCCTAGATATCGATCAGAAATGGCGATTCTTTATCGAAAAGAACACTGATGGCCTCAACTACAACGGCGCTCAATTTGCTTGTAACTCTTCTAGCATCCAGGGTTCGCCCAGAATCGGAGCAGTTATTCATATTCCAAAGACTTTCATGTAAGATCTTCTCATTTTTATGGGCTTCAATAAAAAATTTTTCAGGATCATGAAACGATTCATGGAAGACCAAAAGCCTCCCGTCAACAAGGCATGGATTGGTCTTCGATCTCATGATGCCATGGCTGATGTTCGATGGCGATGGGCCAATGGAATGGGCTGGAACTCGGCCCTTCTTGACGCTGTTGACATCAACAAGATGAACAAAGACGTTGTCAACGACGGTAAAACTTGCCTCGCTGTCAGCCAAAACAATGGAAACGTAAGTCAACACCAGCACCCGTCAAACTCTAATTGATAAATTTAAGATTGAATGGAAAGCTGTCCGATGCGATGAGCCAAGACCATACCTTTGTGGTCGAAACCCACCACCAAACTCGTATTCTCCAGCTCTTTCCCGAAGCAAGCGAAATCTGCCCGTTCTTGTCAACTCTCTCCGTCGAGTCACTAGAAACTCCCTCGATGATCTCAACGCTGTCCAGGACCGACCTCAGTACAGCTACACTGAACTCGCTCCCAACAGTAATTTAATCATGGTTAACGATTATCGACCAGGTGGTGACTACCCTCTCACTTCCAACCTCGTTGATCAACTTGAATGCGTCGAATACATAACAAACAAAGCTTCGAGCACTCACAAGAAGCTCTCCTCGCTGGAAAACCGAATCCACGACGCGGAAGACATCAACGCTGAAACCGGAGCTCTCGTAAATAAACTCGAAGAGGATCTCAAAGAAGTCTATGACGACATCGAGCTTATCCACGATGTCAACAGAAACATCCAAGCGGGTTTTGACGCTAATGATGACACTGAGGATCTTGCTGACAGCGCCAGTGCCGCTCTTGACGAGCTCGAAGACTACGATTCGATCGACTTCCGAATCCCAGAGATTATCGAGCGAACTGAAGATCTCAAGGACCACGACTGGCCAGAAATCGAAAAGCAAGTTGGCGATGCTCGTCTTCGAGCAAAACTTCTCCACGACAAGTATCTCGAGCTTCTCAAGATCTTCAGCATTGCCGATGGCGCTTGCACCTACCATGATAACGGAAAGGTCACTTGTGACGATGTTCCCGGTCTCCACAACTTGGCCGCCATTCTCTACAATGCTGCGAAGATGATCGCCGAGGGTGAAAGGGCACTTGAAAATACCGATGCACAACTCAGCCGATTCGATGGAAACCGTGACATGTACACTGAGCCATGCGATGCCGGAGAAGCCCCAGATTTCAGCTCCTTCGAACAATTAAACAAGACCTGGCACGGAATTCAGGAAGATATTGCCTTCCTGGACCTTGCTAATCTCAAGGACTACACGTACACCGACGAAGATATTGCTCGACTTGATGCTATCGGTGCCAAGATCAAGGCTGTCTATGATGATCTCAAAGACATCTACCGAGGCAAAACTCCTCCAGATATTGCTGAAGGCGATTATGCCAATCTCTGGGGCTTGGAAGGCGCTGTTCAGTTCATGAAGAATCCTGGCTGCTGGTACAAGGATGAAGTTTGTGAGTACGACGTTACTGATGATGTTGAGCTCAAACAATGGTTCGACAAATACAAGGAAATCATAGACGACGCTATTGCCAAGGCTGAAGAGACTCTCAACAATGGTTCGATTGTAAACACGCTGAGCAGTGCGCGTCAAATCTACGATGGATATATCGCGCCAGAACAGAACATTGCCGCGGAAGTAGGCGAGAGCCTTTCAGAGCTGGATGATCAAATCATGGAAATCCAACACTTGATCGAGTCGACAAAATCTCTCCTCCAGCGAGTTCCACTTGAAAAAACCGCGCAAAAACTTTCCGAGTCTGAGCGTATCTCGCCAAGCGTCGGTGAACTTGCTGACAGCCGATTCCACTTTGAAATCGAAGCCAATGTACGACTTCAGCGAGGTGAAAACAACATCCTTTCTTTCGGAAATGATGACTCTTTCGTCACCATCGACACTGAACAAAAACATGCTGTGGCGACTTTTGTCAATGCCAACGCCGAGTTTGAGCTCCGATCAAGCATGCCAATCAACAACGGATTTTTCTACAATATCAAGTTTGCCAAGATGGGTCGACGAATCGAGCTCATCACTACTTGCGCTCAAGATGATTGCGGATCTGCCGATGGTGGTGCTGATGGCGATCGAGAAGATCAACGTCGACGACGTCGTCACAACCGAAGAAAGCGTCTTTCTCGACGAGTTTCTCGCGCTGCTGATGCTAGCACTCCCAGTGTCATGTTCCTCGACCCCGAGTACGCTATTTGGGATGACTTCAACAACAACAACAAGCTCATAATCGGTGACTACGGCGATGAAGCTATCTTCGGCGGTCTCCAGGGAGAACTCAACGGTGTCAGAATCAACGGCCGAATGGTCTACATCTGGGACTTGGACATCGAAACAATGGAACCAGAGGACAAAAAATTCGACATTGTCTCTGATGCTCTCGTCGAGCCAGCGAAGTGCTGGGCCGATAACAACGGAAAATTCCGAGACCAGGAGGAACTCAACAGCCTCGACTGTCCTTGCCTTTCCGGCAAATCATCTTACTTCGAGATCGAGCAAAAATCAATTGATCTCAGTTATTTGAGCAAGATCCGTGGTACAATTCAGTACACCGAGCATGGCAACGCTGATAACTATGTCGTGGCCGCGCTCTTTGGTGGAAATTCTTACCTCCTCGTTGAAAAGCGAAATACTGTTTTGACGCTGAGAATTGCCACTGGCTACAGAGAAGATGCTAATGGAGATCAAGTGGTCGATCTTGACTTTGACTACACTGCGGAATGGGATTACTCGCCATCGACTTTTGATGATATCAGCACTATCCGATTCGGCTTGCAAAAGAAGGTAAGATCAAAATAATTTTTTCAAATATCTCTTGAATTTATCAAAATACTCATTATTTTTCAAGAGTTCTGGCCCTGCAGAGATTTACGAAGGCAAAATTCTCCAATATTCTGATCTCTACCGACCATCAGCTGAAAAGCTTCAAGCTCTTGACAAAAAGTTCACCTTCACCATCCCCAAGTTCCAGTTCGACATTTTGAAGGACGATCTCGACCAGGAATCGATGTACTTTGGTGGTATCCCACAATACCGACTTGAACCAAGAATGAAGAGAGTTCTCACCAGACTCGGTCTCATCGACGATCTTGGCCAGGGAGGAGTTCGAGTCAAGTCCATGCCTGCCTGCTTCAGCCGATTGAATATCAACTCTGACGATATCAACAAGAAGGGCGAGAACAGATTCGTCAATGTCCTCGACGGCGCTGGCATCTACCGACACAACCGAGAACCGGACAACAAAGATATCCGAGTTCAAACCGGACGCAACTTGGAATCAAACACAACAATTGCTCTTCCTGTCGGACTCAATGCCAAGGAAATGGTTGGAGACAAAGAATTCTCTTTCGGTAAGCAAAATTCAAATGATCGATAGGCTAAATCCTTCTTCAGGTCTTTCGATTGAGTCGCTATCCGACGCTAGAATCTTCAAATTCGCCAACGGCGAAGTCAAGGTCGAAGATGGCAACCTTATCTTCGACATCAACTCGGTTTCGTACAATGGTGGCGCTGTTCTTGCCACTGGTGATCCCTCCTCCACGGTCCTTGTCATCATGAATGTTGTTGGTGGAAACACTGAACTCTTCATCCTCGGCGAAAAATCCGATTTCAGCGCAGTTGCTGACGGTCAAGTCGCTGACTTCTCCGACATGGAGCTCGGTGGAACTAATCCTGGCGGCGAAGCCTTCGAAGGAGTCATTCTACAGCCACGTCTGCAGACGATTGGACAGTCGCAGCGATACTTGAGCAACTTCAGATGCAAATCACCGCGTCAGAATCCAAAACGAACACGACTCCAGCGCGAGCAAGACGACACTTACAATTGCAACAGAATGCAGTTCAACTATTATTACGAAGAATAACTAATCGAATTAATAAACTAACTGTAACTTACTGTACTTAATTATTTTAGGACCTCTCTCTCTCTCTAACCCAGCCTCCTTCATTCGACTAGCTCCAAAATTATTGCAAAAAAAAAGTTCAAATCCCAAGTTAAATAAACTCCAAAGTAACATAAAAAATCGTATGATGAGTACTTTTATTAAGTACAGTGTCGGTTTTGAAAGATATTTACAGTTGTTCGAGGTCAAAAATGTGTTGTTTTAGCTTTTGCTTTTCTTTCATTTTCTGCCCAAAAAGTCGATCATTTTGAAAAAGTCTTCGTCCGAGACGTCCTTTTTCTCAGTTTCTACCAAATTTTTTGGGTCCATGTTTTGCAACATCTTTGAAAATTCCTCATCTGACATGTCAGAAGTGACAGTAATCACAGTTTCCTCTGGCTCGGAGTCTTTTGTCTCTGGCTCTAGAATTTTAACAGATGGAGCGGCCTCCCACTGGCTGAATTTCATCATTTGCGGTTGAGCCTTTTTAGCTTTTGACGAGTTTTTGCTCTTCTTTTCCTTCTTGGACAATTTCGGCATTTCAGTCGTTGTTGTTGTCGGTCGAAGAGTTGTTCGGACAGCTTGATTTTTAGCGACCTCGAGTTTGTCTTGCTCGATAATTTTCATCAGTCGCTCGAGTTGAACCTTAGCGGCCTTGTTTCCCTTGGCTACTTGTTCTTCAAGAAGCTTTTTTCGCTGGAGACGGATTTTTCGCTGCTGCCATGGTGGGAGATGAGCAAGAGGGCCTCCTAGGAATGGATTTATTATCAGAATAGATTGCTGGTTTTTTACCTTTTTGGGAAGGTTGCGCAGTAGTGGTGGCTTTGGTTGTCGTTGTAGCTTTAGTCGGAGCTAATCCGCCCATGACACCGAAAAATCGCTCGTCCGCCTTTTTCGAGTTTTTCTTTTCCGCCATTTTCTGATAGGTTTTGTGGACATTTCCATCCTCATCGACGTTCAATGCGAATCGCATCTGATCTGGCTGCTGTTTCTTCAGTTTTTTCTTGTCTTCCTTCGCCGGCTTGGTTGTAACGGGAGCTTTGGTTGTTTTGACGGTTTCTTCTTTTTTGATCGAATTCAGGAGGGCAAAAAAGAAGTCGTCCGGGACCTTTTCGGGAGCCTTTTTAGTCGCTTGAGGGGTCTTTTTGGGCGCTTTTGTTGCTGCGGGAGCGTTTTTGAAATTGCCGCCGATTACATTTGGTCGACCAGGGCCAGAGAATCGAGGAAGATTTGGTCGAGCGGGCTTTGTTGTTGTTGTGGTTCTCCTTGTTGTTGGGACTCGTCTTGTTGTTTGAGGAGCTCGGGTCGTTGATGTTTTCTTGAGATTGATGACTGGATTGAAAACTCGATCGGAATCTTTCTTTTCTTTCTTCAATTCTTTCGACTTTTTCGAAGGTTTTTCGTTGTAAGTGGGTGCTCTGTGGAGATCTTCGATGTTGCTGAAGTATTCAATGCGCTTGGCAAATCGGTCTTCTGCTGCTTTCATCCAATGATCTAAAGGATACGCTAGAAGAGCCAAATGAATCGGTTTCATTACCTGGAGGATTCGCGAACTGGTCAAAGAGCATAGCTTCTTGCTTGACTTTCTTCTGCTCTTCGAAAACCCATTCAGTGTAGTCAGTTGGCTGCCATCCCTTCGTGCAGTTGTCCTAGAAATGGCGTTGATAATTCGATCAAGAGAATAAGAAAAAACCTTGAAACAACAGTTTCTGCAGACAGAAACATCTTCTGTGTCGGAGTAAATCTTGCAATTGTGCATGTGAGAGTCCTGAAGATTGACTGGGTTTCCATCGATTTCCCAGAAATTTTGTTTCATGTTGTTGATGCAGGCGACCTTTTGCTGACATCCAGAGCGCACTTGACGAACTAAGATTGGATTATCTTTGTTTTCTCATTCGAAAATGTTTTATCAATCGGTGAAAATTTTGATCCATTCCTTGAGGTCCATTTTCGCTGTTGATGCTTCCTTCAAATCTCACTTCGAGCATGCAACTTTTTTCTGTCGATCCACAAGTCCTGACTTGTCCCATTCGGTAGCACTCTTCGTACGAGTTTCCAGAGCATTCCAAGCATCTGAGATTTTCCTCTTCTTTAGGGAGATTGAGTTTTTCCGCGAATTTCGCAGCTAGATCTTCTCGTCCAAGCTCTAGAAAGAAAATAATCAACGGAAAAAAGGGGGAAAAACTTACTTTTACCCTTTTCAATCATATCTCTGAGCATAGTCTCGCTGTTCAAGTACGCTGGATGTTGCATTTTCTTTGCGAACTGGCCAAAGCTTGTGTTTAGTTCGTTTGGATCGACGACGAATTTTGGGTTGCTGATTGTGCCTTGTGGGTATTCAGGTTTTGGAGCAGCGTGGAGCTTCGCTGTTTGTTTTTTATTCTTCGTCTTTTTTGACTGCTTTTTCGTTGTTTTTTCTTGCTTTGGGGCTAAAAATACAAATAAACATTCGATTTTTTAGAAATAAAAAGATCGATTGACCCAGAAAATAGAGAATTTTGGGCTTGGAAGATGAACTTTTATCGGCAATTTTAGAAATTAAGAATCAAATCAATCAAGATTTTGTACCTTTTTCAAGATTAATCGTCAGCGCTCCTTCATCCTCTTTCGGTATCGTCTTCGCCGCTGCAAAAGCAGATAAGCAAACAACTTTTAAAATCCTCATTTTTTAAAAAATATAATTTTTTTGAGCTGATTTGACTGAGATAAACCCTTCAAATCAACTTCAAAGTAATCATCCCTTATTATCGTTTTCTTATATATATCTGGCTTTGTTTACATTTCGACAAATATTTCCAGCGGATGGAACTAAAACTTTACACCGCGATTGTTTAGCTGGCGATTTGCGTTGTCTGCTTTTTTCGAAGGAAGGAAATTTGATTCAAGTAAATATTCAAAATGCAGAATTTATCCCAATTCTTTGCTTTCATCCTGCTTATTTTTAAAAAAAACAAAGACAAAAAATGCTAACGGGGAATTTTATTTGTCATAATTTTCGGTGAAAATTTAAATTGACAAAAAGTAAAAGTAAAAGTAAATTTTCACTGGCTATATTGTGAATTGATTAAACGTCTAAGGCGGTCCGTCTTTAAGATAATCCTGTTCAGAGTTATTTTTGAAGCGAGAATTTCGTTTAGGCTTTGAGTAATCTTTGAAATTTAGAAATCATTTAAAAATATTCAAAATAAATAAGCTCTCATTGAAAATTCTAACTCTGTTCCTGTTGATCCTCAGTGAGGTTATCGACCCAATCGTAGAGCTTGTCAGTCAAGTCCTTGAGAATTTCTTGCTGCTGCTGATCGAGAGAGTCCCAGAAAGCCCCAGATTTTTGTGAGGGGAAATCCGCTTTCACGGCTTTAAATTCCTCCGATAGCCAGTCGGTAAACCTTGACCACTTGTCAATTTCGGGCATCTTAAAAATCAATTTTTTTATCTGGTGAAGAAAATGCTTCGAAGGTTGATTTTATGCGCCAGAAACAGGAAGTGTCGTCGCGGTTTGGAGGGCTTTTGATCACGTATCTGGCGTTTCCTGTCTATTTTTCAACCTTTATGCGCCATAAAATTTATGGACTCTATAACGCTGGCTCGAAATATTCATATTATGAAGCCAAGAAGACTAAAAAAGGGGGTTGCGTCAGGAACCGACAAAAAAATTTGACAAATTTTGCGTGGGCGGCTACTCGGATGCTTATTGGCCGGAGAGCTAATTCCAGGCTTCTGATTGGTAGAAAATGTCCACGCCAAATTTGTCGAATTTTTTGTCCGTTCGCGACAACTCCCCGAAAATAGACAGGAAGTACCGTCATTGAGTTCGTGAGGGTTGAAAAATAGACCGGAAATTCATGATACACGTGATGCACTGCCCTTTTTCACTGGTATCCAGATAAAATGTAAGTAAAATTATTAAAACGTATCGAAATCCTGCCGTCAATTATCCAGTCAAAATTGTTACTTGTTCTTCTTGTTGAAAGCTTTTTATTTCAGGAGATTTAGCAGGGGTCTGCTGGGGAAAATTGGAATGATGAGATTCGTCAGAAGCGCGTAGCTTAGCACCCTGAGCCCTTTTTACACTTGAGGATGATCCTCCCGAAATCCTGATTTTATGCGAGGGATGTTGTAAAAAGAAAGTTTATTTTTTGAAAAGATGCAGTATAAAAGTCTAGAGGAGAAAAAGAAGCAATATGTTCCGGGCGGAAATTTTCTCGGCCTCATGGTACTCGAATGCGATTAAATAATTGAAAGAATCTTGTTTTAGCGGATCTTTCAAATGCTTGTTGGATGCCTGGCATGGTTTGTCCCGGGAATTATTATAATGGAGAATCCGCAGTTAAATCCGCTTTATGGAACTGGCATCTTCTATGTAACCAGCAAAATACTTTTTCAATAGAAAACAATTCCTAGACATTCGTTCTCGCTGGAATCATCAGCTGGCTCCTACCCTGCTTTAAAATCCTCTCCATCGTTCCGTGGCCAATTAGCGCTGGTCCAGAATCAATGATCTGCCTGATCGCCGGTTTTTTCTCGGTCTTGTCCGGCATCGCCATTTGCATCGGCCAGAATGATATTCAGCCCTATATTCTCAAAATCGCCCTTGGTAAGCCTGAAGAATAAGAGTTGATAAGATATATTTCTAGTGCTCAATGTGATTCATTCGACGATTTTGTACGGAACTCCTGTTGTGATCTGCAGCCAAAGTGCTTTTAGATTCTTTTTCATATCCGATACTGAGTAAGCGGATAATTTTCTCGGGACGTTTTCACGACGATTTTTAAGGGTAATCCTATACATCGGCGCGGCGCTGCTCGCTCGATCCGCGCTCCGCCAGAACCTATTTTTCACTAGGCCATAAAATTCGACGGGAGTAAGATTTTTTCAAAATTCAAAAAGATTCGTAATCCTTAAACTCTCTTCTATCGCTCTAGCAAAAATGAAAAAAATCGGGAACGAGGAACTATCTGAAAACCGCCGGTTTCCTTCAAAAGACATTTACCGCGACATTTCTCATTCAAATTTCACGAAAATCAGATGGTCTTGTAGAGAATCGTCTGCTCTACAATTCCTCTGATTTACATTTTCCTTTAACGTTCTCAAAAATTCTCGATGATAGTTTGAAGAGAGTGCTATTCTATTCTGCCGGAGCGCGCCGTGAGAAATAGGAAGAAGAGAGGCGCGAGGAAGCATAGCGCTGTTTTAAAATGACCATATAAAATTATTGAGAGCGCAAAAAGAAAATCTAAATCAGAGGAATTGTAGAGTAGACGATTCTCTACAAGACCATCTGATTTTCGTGAAATTTGAACGAGAAATGTGGCGGAAAATGTCTTTTGAAGGAAACCGGCGGTTTTCAGATAGTTCCTCGTTCCCGATTTTTTTCATTTTCGCTAGAGCGATAGAATAGAGTTTAAGGATTACGAATCTTTTTGAATTTCGAAAAAATCTTACTCCCGTCGAATTTTATGGCCTAGAGAAAAATAGGTTCTGGCGGAGCGCGGATCGAGCGAGCAGCGCCGCGCCGATGTATAGGATTACCCTTAAGCCTAACGACCATGCAGGCTTTCAACAACATGGAAGCACGGGAGCGCTACGAGCGAGACATGGAACGAGCGAGCATCGTCAAGAATTATGAAGTTTCTGAAGACAACCACGGCCAATCCTTGAACATTTCCTCGGCTGGTTATAAAAAAGTTGTGGTAAAGGCAGAACCTATCTTTGAAGACATGAACGAATAAAGACAAAAACGATATATCAAATAGGTGACAATTTGTTACTTGGAATCAGAAGTTACTGTAGATTTTAACATGGAACATGTTCAATAAAATAAGAATATGGCGATATACAGCGAAACTACCGCTAATCAAAACATGTGTCCTAATTTGCAAATGAATCACGAGCGTCGCTACGCAAGCTAAAATGTTCTTCTAATGTTCAAAAAATGACTGGTATTTTCGAAGTTGTAAGCACAAAGTGGGATGTGGCTCGGGGGTTTAATCTTCAAACCACCACCTTCTTCCGCTTGTCAAAACTTACGCGTGAAGCCTAATGCAGAAAGTCAAATTTGAACGAAAACAAGCTCTTTTTGAAGATAAAATCTTGTTTCCAGTCCAGAAGTTCCAAAAGTCAGAATAGATTATGCAAAAAAAACAAACTGATTGTTTCGTTATTTTTAACCTTTAGCCACCTGCGAGCCCGTCAACTGTCAAGTTGTTTTAGAAAGCAAATAGAACTTCAATTGTGTGTCTTTAAAATTTCCGCTGACACGCCAGTTCTTATACGAAGTATTCTTCCGCTGAACATCGGATTAAATTTAACGGTTTACGGAGGAATTCACGATTCCGCGCTTATTTCCAATGATTCTTGACTTTTTTTTCAATTTTTGTCAATTCTACTAAGAATCTATCTTTTGAATTGAATATTTGTAGAAGCAGGAGAAATGTCCAGAATAATCTTATATAGTGTTTTTGATAAAGTTCATTCTTGAGCGGTAACTGACACCGAATCTCCGTTATGAGAACTCAGGTGTCGCTGCGGAGAGGCGACGCCCAGAGTACTTCTACGACGCGTTACGTTTTCTAGCTCATTTTGACTTAGAGAAAAATGAAGGTAAAGTCGAAACTGTAGAGATATTTTTAATCGACAATTTCTAGCTCTCAATTTTTCTCGTTGCTTACCAATCCGGCGAAGCGATCTCTTGTGGGGATCTATATGATGGCACTGAAACGGTTGAAATAACTTCCCCAGGCTTTCCTGGTCCCTATCCGAGAAGTGATGGTTGGGAGGATATAACCTGTATCTGGGCGATCGAAAATAAGTGCAATCTCGGATATGAAATTATCCCCCATCATTTCGATGTGGCATATCATTGGGGCTGCAGAAGAGACAAGTTAGATATCTGGACATACGATTCGACCGGCGAAAATGAGACGAGTACATTCTGTAATAGGGACCAAAATGGTAACATAGCAAAGAATGGCCCTTTGGACTACACCTACATCGTCGAGTCAGGCGATGTATATTTGAGACTCACTAGCGACTGGCGCAATAAAGGATTAACAAACACTGGTTTTCGTCTAGAAGTTCGGCCTATTCGTGATCCTTTCTGTAATCCCTTCGTAACGGCACAACCGGGATCTTGCTTAGCCTCGGAGAAACACCCTCGAATTGCTTATTGGGAAACATCAGATATTTTTGAGAAAGCAGTGCCTTATTCTGAGTACGATATACTGACATACGAGTTTTTTCCCGCGGACATCATTTCAACTGGCGATGATCTTAGAAAAGAATGTCTCGATCGTTGCGTCGATTCTGCTGGGTGTTTCAAAGTCAAGCTGAATCCAGAATCCGAAGAGAGCAAATGCGAACTTCGTGGACATAATCTCACGCCGGAAGAGGGTTTAACTTTTGCAATCAATGGCAAAACCTGCGATACTTTGCCTCAACAGGCATGGGAAGATAGAGCAGGTGTTTTCACTTTCTCTTGCCTCTTTTCAAATATTGAAAACGTTGAGCAGTGGTTAGAATATCTCATCAGTCAAAATGGAGCATATACTAGCTGGAATACGTTTTTGACAGAGGAAGGGGTTGTCAAATCGTCAAAATGGACGTTTGGCATCAACAAGGATAAAACCAGCCCTGATGGAACTTGGTACGCTTTCAGAGCGAATGTTTACTTCAGAACATTCGTGACAGGTTTCAAAAGCGCCTTGGAAAAAGATCTCTACATTTCACTCGCCGAAGCCGCCACTGAAGAATTCATCGAAAATCTGCAAATCGGAGATGCGGAAGTTCTCGAAACAACCGATCCAATCATCGAAGTGGAGCTTCTCAAGGAAGGTATCGATCCGCCAAAGAACGCGTTTGGCTTTGTCTTCAATCGAATGGAAGAATTCATGGCGAGCGCCGTCGAAAACACAAAGAAAAATGCGAACAAGAAAATGAAAATGATCAAGAACCGGTTCAGTTGGTTCACTGACTACTCAGACTCTCCCTGCCAACAATACGCCGGCGATGAGCCTGATGCAGGTATCGATTATGTCCCTGCAACTCTGGATGTCAACGATCAATGCGCTAGCGTCGCTTCTTTTCATCCAGCTCTAGTCGGATACTTTGAAAATTTTGTCTGCCTTGATCGAGTGGACCCGAAAGCGCGAAACATGCGAAGAACTGCTGTCAAACTCGGCCTTGCGAAGAAGTTCTTCAACAGAGTTTTGAAGAAGATGTCTTGCCCTCAATCAGTCTGAGCACCAAAAATTCACAAACCTTTCTGATTCACTTGATTTTTAAAATAAAAATTGAAAAATTACAAAAACAGAGTGGTCTCCGTTTGCCCAAATCGCCGTTTGCCCAAGTCGCCGTCTGCCCAAGATCGCCGTTTGCCCAACTTGGGCAGACGGAGACTTGGGCAAACGGCGATCTTGGGCAGACGGCGATCAAATTGAAAATATAATCATAATTCAATTTAAAGAGATTAATTCAAGGTTTCAGAAAATTTATGAGCGCAAAGGAGACTTTGATTTCAGTTTATAATTACTAAAATCGGGAAATTTCTCATCTTGAATTATGAAATCAAAACCACCAGGATAGGATAGATTTGAAGTGGTAAAGTAAAATCGCTAGTTTTACGTCCGAGGCCTATAGATTGAGGAAACGATGGATGCCGCATCCAGGATGCGCCGAGTCCTCACAAGCGCTAATCCCCAACTTGGTTGAATTGATGGTTTCCAATATTACTGTTTCTTGTGATTCATTTTCGGTTCGTTTTATTTTTGATGATTTCAAAAAACTTTTTGTGGGGCCGGAAATCGTAAAAACTGCAAGTGCAGTTTTCTTCAGCTCGTCAAGACGAGTCGAATGATGGGTCTAACTCCTGATAACTCTAAGGATTTACCGGTTTACCGGCTGGTTACCGGAAAATACGTTGTCACCGGCCGTTTTTGTTCTAGAAGTGATAGACTAATGTTTGACACCGGAAATTGTTCCTTACAGTCAGTTCTCTTGCAGCCTTAAAGATGAAGGTTGTATCAATTCTCTGAAGAGAGTTATCACTAAAATACTATTTTTTGCGAAAATGGGACTAGAAATTAGGAACGTGCAGCAACAACAAAATTTTAGTAAAAATTACTGTTTTTAGTGATAACTCTCTTCAGAGAATTGATACAACCTTCATCTTTAAGGCTGCAAGAGAACTGACTATAAGGAACAATTTCCGGTGTCAAACATTAGTCTATCACTTCTAGAACAAAAACGGCCGGTGACAACGTATTTTCCGGTAACCAGCCGGTAAACCGGTAAATCCTTAGAGTTATCAGGAGTTAGACCCATCATTCGACTCGTCTTGACGAGCTGAAGAAAACTGCACTTGCAGTTTTTACGATTTCCGGCCGCACAAAAGTTTTTTGAAATCATCTTTGGAGCTATTTCTGATTGAAACTGAGGTAAAACAATCATTGTGAGTAGTGAGAAAAAGGGGAAAACTGATGAAACTCTTCCCAAAACCTCCTCCCAGCGAAGAGGAGTACTCAGGCTTGATTTACAAAGATCAAATGCACAATCTTATGACAACCGAATAACGATCCAGTCTCAGTAAACCGGAGCCTTTTTTCTTCTTGATAAACTCGTCCGGGAATAGTTAATTAGGACTTTGATTGAGAATTAAGCGACTCTCATAATTAGACCATCCATTACGAAAGCTCTTCTTTATCAATGTAAACGATGTCATTTCGGAAAGCTTCCGTAGAGTCCACGATACTGAATTTTTCATTTCGTCTCTTATTTATGTGTTTATGCTCAAGAATTTATTCGAAAATCGGATACAACTATTGAAAAACAATATTAGAAAATTGTGGTGCTTTTGTCAAGAATTCACGGATAATAATCGTCAAAAGACATCACAGGACAACCTTTGTTTTCACCTGAAAGTCTCTGCAAATCAGACCGCAATCAGCAGACTCAGTGATGATAATGACATTGTCGCCTTACTTCTATCATTTCATGATCAATCAATTTAAAAAAAATTCACATCGCCGTTTGCCTAAGATCTCCGTCTGCCCAAGTTGGGCAAACGGCGACTTGGGCAGACGGCGACTTGGGCAAACGGCGACTTGGGCAAACGGAGACCACTCACAAAAACAAGCTTTTTTTTCAAATTTCATTTCCTCTGAATAAAAAGTTCTTATTCATTAACAAGCAGTTATAAAAAGAAAGTAGCACTAAAAGCCAAACTTCTGTCGGCTTGTTGTGTGATAAATAAATCTGCTTGCCATCGAAGGACCTCTCCTCGAACTCCGACGACTTTTGACTTGTTTTGTATATGCGTAGTAGTTATTGCCAAGCCTGTTGTATCCTATCAAATCCGCCAAGGCTCCAAGAAATAGAATCGAAAAGATGAGAAAAACTTTCATAATTTTAATTCCGTCTGAATAAGAACAAGAAAGAGCAGTTATAAATACACAGAATTACGGCGCTATTGGGTAATAAAAATAAAATAAAACGTGCCGATATATGCGCAAATAGAACGATCAATTTCGGATTTAGGAGCGTAAGACAGACGGTGTGTAACTTTAGCATAACATTGTTATTTTTTCAACTCAATCAATCAAATGATTCAGAAAGAAATGAAGAGAATCGGACGCCTTTGACGCTTCTTGCTTCAGATTTCCATCAGAAAATGGACCATTACTGTAATAACTGACAAGAAACCGTCTATCAAACCACGTGATCTGACAAGTGCCAAGTCCTAGCCGTCCAAGATCATAAGTAGATCGGCGGCCCCCGGATCGGAAAAGTGCAGATCGGATTAAAAAATAATGGACTCTTATTGTATCTTTATACCCCCGGATAAGCAGCAGTATAGATATTCAGCGCGTCTTTAAAAATCGCGTAGCCCCTTTTTTAAATTACTTCATAAAAGAAAAAGGAATGATGATGCTTCAACAGGTAAAAAGAGATCGAATTCTTTTTCTTTCCTTTTTAAGCTTTTAACGGGCTTTTTCATGGTTATTATTGGTAATACTTCTGGCTATGCTCTCGAACAGAATTACAAGTATTACGATCCCTATCGCCCGGTTACTTATCAAACAAAGCCAGGATGAGAGATTCAGAATTAAAAATAGTCAGTTTTGAGCCTTGAAAAACTCTCAAAATAGCGATCATTTGTCGAAGACCTCCGAAACACCATCAATTCTGCGGACAATGAAGATACTTCTGCAGACGATTTCTTGGCGCAAATTGGCTTCAGCAGCTGAAAAACTAGTTTAGACTGACTTTTTTTACTGTTTGCATTTATTTTTGTTTTCTCGCAATTATAACAAGTTCTTATCGCAAAGAAAATCGAAAGAAAATCGATAAAAATCTCTTTCAAAATGTCTGATAAAAGAAATTTCGAACGGAGTAGCCAGGTGCAGAAGGTATGAAATCATTAGAGGCAAAAACAAATAGATCTTCTCCATTTGGCGAATGACTAGCATCATAAGTAAAGTCCTGAACTTGTATGCCATCGATGCTCATGATGGATCGGAGTGTCGAAGAACCATCAATTTGCCTGACTTCAACGGAATACGTATTCCACTCGCCGGTATTGCAAGAAAACTTGTGGCTCATTTGATCGTCAGAATCATCATAAGTGGTAACGAAAAGAAGAGAATTCTCTGCGGGCATTGTGTGAACCAGAAACGTTCTAGCGCCAATGGTTCCTGTATTTTCTCCAGTAGTCACGTGGATGATATTATTCCAGTTTCCATCTGGCGCCATGTTGCAAAGAATATCGACGGAGAATTTATAGTTCAAAGTCGAAGTCACGGTCGCAAGTTGATTATTCCGGAGAGGTGTCATGTCCGTTCCATTCACAAAAGTCTCGCAGTTTTGAAGCCCACAGCATGGATCGTGGCATTTCCACAAAATTGAGCACTTGAAAAGAAAAAATCCATTATTTTTAAAAAACAAACCTCGACAGTAAAAGCAGTGGCAACGTTCACTTTCGTTGAAAATCTTCTGAATCTAAAAGAAGCAGAAGAAATCAGTTCCCCGTTTAGTTTGAGACCGTCGTTTGTTATCGCCCCGTTTTGAAGCACCAACACTTTTAAAAGCTACTCTTTCGCTTTGTGTATTTAAACATCTCATACTCAAGAATAACTCTCCTGTTATTTCATCAGAGGTAACATTACAGTCGACGAGTTCTTGGCTGAAATTGGGATCAACGACATCTGCTTTCAACCTCAAATAAATACTCCTTGTTGATCCCTTCTGTACAGGCCATCTTCAGTGATCTCTTCGATTGATACGTTGACAATTGAACCAAGGCCCTCGCCCCCTTATTTTGCTCCAAAAATGAGTGAACAAGAAAATACTTCACCTTGAATGTCAAGAGTCACATTTGGTGAAACAACCGGTATTTTTCCATTAGAGCTCAAAGAAGAAAGCAAAAGCGTCGGTTTTTCAGATTTGATTTCGATACTTGGCTCACAGAAAATTCTTTCAATTTTTTGGGTGATAAAGTCGGTTCCATCTACTGTTACTGACTCAACAATTGTTGAAGTGTAGTTTACTAAATTTTAGAAATAGACGAGAATTTTCCCGAGAAAAACCTGAATTCGCGTCGGTGAAATTATCAAAGCATTTTGAGTATTCCAAAAGGGCAAACGTCGAAAGTTTGCAATCAGTGGATACTGTATCATTCACATGGCTTTTGTTGACCATGAACAAATTCAGTAAATTTGCATCGATGCTACTCGAAGTAGAATTGTGACACTCTGAATTCTTTTTGCTGAGTTTTGGGCAGCCTGTATCTCTCTGTTATTCCTCTTACCAGAGTGAGTAAAGCTCCTGTTTCTTGGCAATCGACATTGAATAAACTACAGCTGCTTGCCACTTCTGTAAAAAGAAACAAGAAGATCATCTTTTGCCGCTTTGTGAAAATCTACTGCCAGCAAGAAAAACACAAAAACTATAATTATATGTATGCTGCATCGTAATTTGGACAAGACAAATGACATCTTTCTCCTTGTAAAATTGCGTCGAAAAAGAAGCCGGTTATCATTTTGGTATTCATTGAGCCATGAATGGAAATAAACTTTGATGTTTCAGCAAACTTTCTATGTCAAACAAAACTTCTTTCGCTGCAAAATCGTTCTTTTCGTTGGTTTCGTTACGCCTGGAGTGTTGAATCAATATTCAATAGGGGCCAATCAGAGCAGGTGTGATCTTAACTCGCCCCAGGGAAAGCCTTTTCTTCTCGGAGGAGATTCGATAAATCCGTTTTTTTTACTGAGAGAACTTTAAGAGAAGGTAAAAACAAAATCACTTTGATTGACCCAAAGTTGTCATAAATTATGATTTTGAAAATTAATTATAAATGATGTACTCAATTTTAGGCCGTCAAATTGAAAGTCCTAAAACTAAAGGATTTTAGACTTGATTCCTTGCTTTGTAATTAACTAATAAGAAGTAAGGATGACAATAAGGCTTGACATTTTCGTTCACATACAATCTAGCTTATCTTAAAAAACTGCGATTCAAAACAATTTTCAGAGAAGAAAATTATTCCGAAATGAAGAATATCATGCTATTTATGCTTTCCTTGGTTGGCCTCACCCTCGTCTGGCTCATTCTACTAGCATCCACTGTATCTTTATCAGACACGAGATCGTATGAAGTTTCCAGGTCTGTTCAAAAACTTGAAAAAGAAGAAGCTTTGGATGCAAGAAAAACAAATTCTTCAATTATTCAAGCGCCAAAAGAAATCGAAGAGAACCCGCGAAAAATCAAGGAAGATCAGCAGAAAATACGGCTGGAGAAAAATCGCGCTTTCTGCGAAAACAAAAAGTTCCAAGATTCAAGCAAATTTGAATTGTATGGAAAGTCGTCTGGAAATGTTGGCTTCAAGGAAAAGAGTTTTCAATTCTGTTTACAAGAAATTATACTTATAAATCCTTTTTTCTTCCTTGAAATACCTTTTCTGAGACCTGTCTTGTTGCCAAAGCTGCTTCTACTTCCCTGTCGATGGCGTATCTTTTAGGCAAGGACTCTTTTTCTTTCAAATATTTGCTTGAAATTTTTAATAATTTGAGTATTTAAGGGGGTAGAAACAGCTTTTTTCCGAAGAAGGCATTTTTTGACCGGCTCTACAGACAAGAAAATCCTACATTTTCAAATTTTCTCTTCAGGTTTAGATAGATACATCTTAGATCTAGGAACATCTGCCTCAAAATTTGTTTAAGTCATCAATTTTTTCAGTAAGCGGGCTCAGAAGCAGCTCATCTCTCCGAAATTCTCGATTTTCGCCAATTTTGAAACACGAATATTTCGAGTCACCTGTTAGTTAAGCAAATTTCATTCACAGTTATGTGAAGCTGAACCCCTTTTCTAGGAACATTTATGAGGAATTTCCGTTAGCATAAATAAATCTTATGTTTTCTTTTATGTAGCTACAGTCCAAAATCGAGAAAGCTGTTTCTACCCCCTTAATTGTTTTTTTCAATTTTTAGAACAATTTGTTTTTCTTTAAAAAATCAATTTTTTGGTTTTTCTTTTTTTTAATTCCCAACCCGGGATAATAAAAAGAACAAAATAATTTAATATTTTTAAGTAAACAAATTTGTTCTAGAAATTTTTTTATCAAAAATTTTTTGAATCCTGAAAAAGCAACTGGTCGACTTGATTCATCGAAAAAGTTGACCTTGGAAGATGTCACATCTGGCGACGAACGTTTCAACCGAAAATGCGCAAGTTTACTCGACGGCTGCCTCGTCAAACGCTCGCCAAGGACAGTTCCCATTTCAGAACGAGTGGTTTTCGTTCGTGAACCGATGCAGCGTTTGTACTCTGCGTACAGGGACAAGATTGCGAGAATCCGCGACAGGGCTGGGTTCAGTTTGTTTTAGCCAAAATAGGGAACGCGCATCAAAAGTTCAAACAGTTCTAAATTCCGCACTGAGAGTTCGTTTTGCTATTTTCATTATTTTGACCTAAATAGAAAAGGGCGCTTAATCCAATCTGAGCCTGGAAAAAGAGAATGGTACTACGAAAAATACACGCGTTTCATGAAACCAAATGCTCCAGCTACAGCAGAAAAAGCGATTCAAGCGAATTTCTCCGTCACTTTTGAAGAGTTCATCAGTTGGATGGTAAACAAGAATCAATTTTCTGCAGATGCTCATTGGAAACCTCAATTCAAAAACTGCCAACCCTGCCATTACAGCTTCATTGGTCACGTGGAAACGATGGCAGAAGATCTCGACACTCTCTTTTCTCGATTAAATGTAAATTTAACTTCTTCGGACGTTTTCGCTCATTCGGATTCTGTCAACCCGCATCGAACCTCGAAAGATGACTTTACTGAAGCAAAAACGAAAGCAGCATCACTAGGAGAGATTCTTCGCAAGTTGCCGAAAAGCCACCGCGATGCATTGCTCTCTCATTATAAAACAGACTACGAGGCTTTCGGTTATGATCTACCGGATTATTTTCTTTAGAGTTTAACTCAGAATTAGAATATCAGAATTTGGTGCTGAAAAGAAAACTTTCTTCCAAAAATAAAGTTCTGCGCTATTGAAAAGCCGCGCGAGCTCGGTGCGGGTGGTCCCTTAAAAGAAAAACTTCTTTATGGACAAATCAGTAGCGTGGGAAGACAAATACTGTAGTCGAAACATACTGTGTTATCAGAAAACTGTAAATGGGACATGATTTCTATTATCTGTGCTTAATAAACTATATTTTTGATACGATGATCCTTTTAATTTCAATTTAATAAGCTAAGACTTGTCTCTAGAAGAGTTATTCTTGCTTTCAGTGAAGGTTTTTTCTAAGTCTAAGAGAAGTTGCTCTTGAGAAGAACAGGTTTGTTTAGTAAAGTTAGTTTTCTTCAACTTTGGTAGCGCTCAATTTGAGCTAAAAGTGATCTTAGATTAAATGTTTCCGAAGAAGTTATCTTGTTATGATTATTTATTGAGGCTTTTAATAGGAAGACATTTTATCAACGAATATTTTTATTTGACAAAGCTTGAGTGAATGATTAATTTAAACAGAAGATTTACTCCATCTGATTAAAAATAGTACCAAAGAGAATTAATAGCGTTTTTATGAAGAATTTCAGAAAAAGAAAACAAGGACTTGGTGAATGAGGACGATTGAGAAATTTATTCTTTCCTCTGTTTTCCTTACTCTTGTTTGGCTCATTCTTCGGCAGTCATCAACTGTATATCAACTGTCATCAGATAAAGATCTTAACTCTCTTCAAGAAGAAAACCCTGATGTCATAAATGAAGCTCAAGCTTCTGACAGAACGATTATTCGAGCAGAAAAAGCGGAATATTTGTCGAAAGAAATGAAGGATGATCATCTTGAAATGAGGCTCAAGAAACATCGTGCTTTCTGCCAGAAAAAGAACACTCACGCGGCGAATTCTCGTGACTCGTTGCTAGACTTGTATGGAAAGTCATCTGGGAATGTTGGCTTCAAGGTACAAGGGTTTTAATTACAGTTTCGCTGCTGTTTGGTATTTCTTATGTGATTGAAACCATTTCGAAGACGTGTCTAGTAGCCAAAGCTGCTTCTACTTCGCTGACCACAGCGCTTCTTTTAGCAACCGGTCGACTTGATTCATCCAAAAAATTGACGTTAGATGATGTCACGGCTGGTGACGAGCGTTTCAACCGTAAATGCACAAGTGTACAAAACGGCTGTCTCGTCAGACGGTCGCCAAAGACAGTGCCAATTTCGGAAAGGATCATCTTCGTCCGCGAGCCAATGGACCGTCTTTACTCTGCATACAAAGATAGAATTGCCAGACTTCATGACAGGCCCGGGTTCTGCTTTCTCTTGGTAGCATGTAAGCCTTTTATTGTTGAAAAAGTCGAGCCCGGTGGAAGAGATTGGTACTACGAAAAATACACGCGTTTCATGAAGCCGAATGCTCCAGCAACGGCCGAATTGGCGATCAAACAAAATTTCTCCGTCTCTTTTGAAGAGTTTGTCAGCTGGTTAGTCTCAAACAACAAGTTTTCCGCCGACATGCACTGGAAACCTCAATTCACGAACTGCCAGCCCTGCCAATACAGCTTCATCGGTCACGTGGAAACGATCGCGGAAGATTTGGACGCGCTATTCTCTCGTTTAAAAGTCTCAAATTTGACTTCTTCGCACGTCTTCGCACATTCCGATTCTGTCAACCCGCATCGAACATCCTCAACGAAGAACAACTCAGCAAAAACAGAAACAGCGACGCTTGAAGAAATTCTTCGCAAATTGCCCAAAAACCACCGCGATGCATTGCTATCTCATTATCGACAGGACTACGAGGCTTTTGGATATGATCTGCCGGATTATTTGCTCTAGAATTTACAAACTAGAATCGAAGAAGAAAAATAGTAAAAACCACTGTTCGATAAATAATTGTCAAAAACCGCTGTGCAAAAAAATATTTTTAAAAAATTTCTAGAACAAATTTGTTTATTTAAAGTTTTATATTCAATTCTTTTTTATTATCCCGGGTTGGGAATTAAAAAAGAATTGAAAATAAATTTTAAAATAAACAAATTTGTTCTAGAAAATTTTAATTTAACAATTGACAAATTTGAAAATGTCAATAAATAAAATTGTTGTTTTTCAGTTGTAAATAATTTTATTACCTTTCTGGAAAAAAATGATAAATACAGTTACAAGCAAATGAAAAAGCCCCTTTTCAATATTTTGGAGTTTTTCAATAAATAAATCCTTCTTTCTTTCTTGCTTCAGGAGTAGTACAGTAAAACGCAGGAAAGAGCGAGTTGTCTGGTTTAGGTAGATAACGATTGTGGTTAAAAATATGTTAATTCGCTTTTTTTTGTCTTTGAAGAAATGAAACCCAGCAAGGGAGAATATAAATAGAAGCTAATAAAAGTGCTATGTATATAAAATAAGATTAGCGGTGGCTCAAGACGGTCGTAATGATGTTTTGTTAGCTGGGAGCGGCGGCGATGCCCGAATCGACGGACTCAGCTGTCTAAATTGGATTGTTAGCCGAGACACGACCTTAGGGGATCCAACAACTGCTGGCTGGATGGACCGCTTTCTGTCCGATTTCGTAATTCAGTGGGTGCGAAAAAGGGAGGACAATGTTTCAAGTGGTTTACCAATTATTTGGTATTTTTATGCTTCGATGGGTTAAAAATGAAAATTTTGACCTAGATCAAAAATTCTAAGCTGGCCTAAATCTGTCAAAATAACATTGATTTAGCGCTGTGAGCAGTTTCCTGAAGCCTAACATCCTGTCACGTGACAGCCCAGTTTCATCCTTTTCGAAATCAGAACTTACCCTGAGGCAAGCTTCTGTCCTGCTCGAAAGTCTTGTCTCGTTCTCGACGCTCAACAGCCTCGTTTCCTCCACGTCCGGTTCATCCCTTTGCGTCTCATGAATGACAATAATCGGCTCTGGAATCGGAGGGAGCAGCCACATGTGGATTTTCTTCCAGCTCGATTTGATGATTATAATTACAAAGACAATCGAGCCGACGACGATGATGGAACTTGTCAGCATTGCCAGGTCATTTTCCATGTCATTTTTTGTCCCGTTTCGCGGGCCACAGAGGTTGAATTTTTCGCAATCTTCTGGCGCTAGAATAAGGCTATTCGTGGAGAGAATAAAGACAAAGAAAAAAGGGTTGAGATGTTAACTGCCGCTTTTTGACAAGTTTACATGTTTGGGGTCAAAATAACGATCTTGTACATTTGAAGGACGAACCTTCCTGACCCAAGATAAGTGTAATCTATCTCTTGGGCCTCTCCGCAGACAGGTTTTTAACTGTCTGTTTCTGAGATAATCCAATTTAGCTGAAGAAAAGAAGACTTACCTAAGGTCGGTGGAAGAGTTGTTGGTTGACTAACAGGCATAAGAATTACTGGCTTGGAACAGGGAGACCATTCCTTGAATTGGGTTTTAGAGAAGAATACGAGGCAAAGAGAGCTACTTTTCTTATTGAGTCATCCTTGCGAACTCGGATGCAGAGCTCTAAGACCTCTGAGTTGGGAATATCGTTGAGCATAATCACCCCTTGAAGGTCCTTCTCGTAGCCGATGAAGCGGCGCGTCAGCCCGGCCACTTGGAGATAAGGTTTGTACAGGAGCTCGAGCACCAACTGGTCGCCGTAGAGAATATTCAACCAGTGGTTTCCGCTGTTGCTCCATTCCAGACGCACGCGGCCGTCGATGCGCGAGGCAGCAAAGTCACGTGGCGGCTCTTCGATTACCACTGAAATTTCAATTATGGTCGAGACGCACTTGTAATTGATCAAAACGCAAAAGCGTTTTTGCAATAAACTTATTTTTCGATGATCAAAAAATGATGACCGAGGCGTTTCTTGTTCTTTAGAATAGACACGGAGCACAACACCCTTCCGTCTCCACTTACAGTATTTGCCGATATCAAAGTCTTCTATTCTCGCTAGCTCCTCCCCGTCAGAGCTTAGCCTGATTTCATAGTTGGAATAAAAGTCCGTCGAGTTAATTGTACACCCGATCTCTTGCCCGGTTGACAGACTTGGGTCCAAATAGCACCGCTCGTTGACGCTAGAATCGTGAGTTTTTGTACAGTAGACGTCGGGGAGAAGGATTTCGCGGGACCATTGGCAGCTGATCTTGTGCGGAAGCCGCGACCAGCAGTTGAAACCTGGATCGGGTGGCTCTGGGTCTGGTACTGTTCGTTTCATTACTACTGGAGGGGATGAAGCTGGGCCGTAGAATTCTAATTATAGAGAAAAAATTTGAAAAAAATGCTTTTTCGAGTCAAAAAAATGTTTTTTCGAGTCAAAAAATGATTTTTTGCATAAAATTTTTTTAAAAAAATGGCTCGAAAACACAATTTTCGAGTCGAAAGAAGCTTCGAAATAGGATTTTTATATAATTTCAGCATCAAGTTTCCCTCTGTGAAATTTTTCTTGAAGTCAAACTACGACGGGCTCGGTTAGTAACAAAATATTTTGAAAAAACTTAAAATAGCCTTCTGTCTGTATTTTTACTTGAATTTAGCTTCATCCCTGTTCCTGAGTTGTAAAAAATGGTCTGTGTGTTATGCCAATTGTGCCGTGCTTCATTTTCGTATTTTTGACATGCTCTCTATCTTTTGGGTTATCTCTGGGTCTATCGCGCTGGTTTCTGAGAAAGAGTGGCTAATGCGTGGGGATGGAAATGAACGGTCGGGAGGATGCACCTGCCTTAGGCAACAATCTGAAACTCAACCAAGACCGAAGCCAAACGCGATTTCACGATGGTCGAATCAACTAACGACAGCCAAAGCTGACTTTTTCGAATTTTCAGAATAGTATTTTACGAATTTGAGTTTTTAGAGAAAGCATATTTTGAATATTCGCAAAAATATAAAGAGACAAAACCAAGGCAATAAAAATTAACCCTAAAAATATGCCCTCATTTGCCAAACTTTATTTAAGAAGAAAAAGCCGCTCGCGGCTTTTTGATTCAAGACATCCAAAAAGCCGCGAGCGGCTTATCGTCTGAAGATGACAAAATTTAGCTTTGCCGAAAATTTGGCCACTATGCGTCAACGGGTTAAATTTGAGTCAAGAGTTAAACACTTTAGTTATGGTTTTTCAATTTTATTACAAAAAAAAATTCAAAAAATAAATATACAGTTAAAAAATAGAAAAAGGGATGAAGACTGTTTCATGTAGTTTGATTATGATCGGGCTCGGAATCGTCGGAGTTGTCGGTATCTGGATTGTCCATCATCCCGCTGAAAAGTTCAATGAGTTTTAGATGGCTGTGGGTTAAAAAGTTTCTGCTGATAAGCAAAACGGATAGATATGGGCTGAGCTGCCAGAATCGAGCTTTGGCACTTGAATACTCGTCCGGCAAGGACTTGAGTGTTGAGTACGTTCTCCTGCATAAAATGCTTATTTGGCATTTTTCATCTTTCTTATCTTTTTCAGAGCTATTTTCACGTGATCTCACCTGATTTGGTCATCCTTGGCTAACCAGTCAAAGTCCTCCTTTGAAAAGAGCATGGTGTGATGATAGGACATTTTGTCGAAAAAGTTGATCACGGACAAGATCGTCGTCTTCATATAAGCATCAATTTTGAACTCTTCGTTTCCATCATTCTTGAGCCACTGTTTGTACAACTTCCAGTCCTCCTGAGCTGTTTTGATGAATTTATCGCTCGACACGTAGATTGCTTAAAAAACACCATGTTACATAAGACTTATCCTGTCTTCAGCTAAACAACCTGATAATATTGCGTCGCGGTCTGCCTCGTCCTTGTCTGGCTCCGTGGCGACATATTCCCACGAGTACTTTAAATATGCTGTTTCTGCGGTTTTCGAAGAGTTAAATTTTTTTGGTGCTGCCCAAAAGTTTCTGTTGCAAAAATAGATTAACTCATTGGTGCAGAAAGCCATTTTATTGGCGAAGCGAAAGATCGAAATTCGATTAAAATATAGAAGACAAAAGCCGCTTGCGGCTTTTTCAGGGTTTCCATTTTGAAAAAGCCGCTAGCGGCTTATTTTCGATTTGCCAATAAAATGGCTAAAAAGCAGCGATTGGTTAAGATCAAAATTCGATTGAAATATTGAAGAAAAAAGCCGCTTGCGGCTTTCTCAGGAACCTAATTTGAAAAAGCCGCACGCGACTTATTTCCTGTTTGCCAATCAAATGGTTTAAACGTAGCGATGGGTTAAGGCTGGCTTTAATTCAGCCGGGAAATGAACTTTTTCGATCCGAAAAAAAAGGAATTTTTAAATTTTGAAAATATGTCAAAGAAAAGAATTTAAAAATTTAGAAACCGCTTTGCTAGAAAAGGATGCTTGTCGTACTGAATTTTGAGGAGGAAGAGCATTTCCGGCCAATTGCGCCAAATCATAGCGTCGCCGAGCAGTGAACAATTGCGCACTTCCGGAACAGTGTCAGCGCGGTAGTCAAAGCGCTTGACTAAAAGTTGAAAGATATCGTGACATTCGGGATGCTGGCTTAGACGATCTTTTTTAAAGGTTGAGTTTTGAGACCGCGATTTTCGATGCTTCACATTTCGGTCTTCTGTTCAACCCTTTCCTTGAACCATGTCAATACAGTTAACGTAATCTTCCCACAACTCAGTAAACGCTTCTTCCGGAAACTCCGGCGGAGCATGTGGCTTTTCCTGCTTGTCTGTCAGATACCTTTCCATCTGCTGCTCAAGCTCTTCGATGTTTCCATTATTATCGACCGGGCATTGTTTCGCGAAAAAGTCGATTGTCGCGCCTTCTCGTAGAAGTTGCCGGACGACTCGATATTTTGGCTTTCCAAGAGGGCCCATTGCGCGGAATCCGTTTCCACAGGCTTCGAATAATTTTCTGTCTAGCTCTTTCTGATTTTGAGTTCGCGAATTTTAAGCCTAAAAAGGGCCAAAAATCCGGTCAAAAATGACGAACTTTTCCTGTTTTTCAGATTTTCCTTTTCTTATTCGTTTTTGCATTTCCCTCCACCAATATTCAGTACTTAAATCCACTTAGCTAACTGTACTTCGGCCCTGTAACTTACCCGAATTTGATTTCGAATAAAACCGCGACGTTCCGATGCCTCAGCGCTGAGACCTTATATCCAGTTCTCAGCTTATGCGGATTATTTTGCTCCCAAATTTGAGCAATATCCTGCATGATTTTTCAAAAATTATTTTTCAAAACTGAGGAGCCCCCATTTTTCAACCCTGTCAACAAGAGATGTTCTAGAGACGCTCTCGAAAAATGATGATTTTATTGAAAACAAGGAAGAGTACATGCAAAAAAATTGTCAAAAATTGGTTCAAAAGTTAGTCGCGTTTAAATTCTTCCCAAATAGAAGTGATGGATTTTGCCTTGTCAGATTTTTCGGATTCTGGCTGGGGATCTTCAGTTTGCTTTTTCAGGAGGTAGGTACAGTAAACAATGTAGAATTGACGGAGAAAGAAGAGCACCAACATCGCGATAATGTATTTTGCCTTGACTTGTCCGACTTTTTTGGTTTATAAAATGATTTGAAGCACGATAAACTTATAACTGCCATAAGCTCATAAACCGTTCCTAAAATTGGCGACAACAAAAAGCAGCAACCCAGTTCTCCATAAAGAACTCCACTAAAAATAAACTTTCATAATCTGTCCACAAGACCGAGTAATTAATTACCGAGTAGAAAGGGTAAATCCAGCGATTGATGGTGGCTCACGAGCTTCGTTTATTTGAAACAAATTAAATTCCAATAATGCCCTGAAAAAAGAATAGCACGAGATTAATTGGATAATTCCTTACTTGAGGATGGAGGGAATGGCATTAATTGACAGTTGTCTGAGCATAACTGAGCCCAAAATAGCGTCTTTATCGGCCAAATGGAGGTGTAGAAGCCGAGAATACTCGCTTAAATACATAATTAAGGGTATACTAAGCGATAACTATACCTAGAGTGGTCACCAGATTTGTCCGAAAAGTGCAAGTCGCTCTTATGAACCGCTAGCTCTTGGCAAGTGAAATACAGCGTGAAGAGATGGAGGAACATCCCAGTCGTGTTGATAGTACTTTCTCCAGTCAGAAAGGTCTTGAGTTTTTGCTTGACAGATCCTCCCACGTGCCATTGCCAAAGAAATACGTACAGATGGAATCCGACGCCGGAAATGAAGAAGATATTCGCCAATCCGACTGAAAAGGGGATGATAAAAGAGGAAAAATAGAATTTGAAACTTACTTGATACAGTGCCAAATCCTTGGACAAGATTTAAAATGCCGAAAAACGCCAAACAAAGGTTGTAAATAATCCTGACTGCGTGAAAAGCGTTGAGAGAACAGTTACTCCAGTTTGGTTTGAGAATGACTTTGCGATTGAAAGACTCGGTTTCGGCGTCTTTTTGCTTCTTGAAAAAGTCGAGCGTGGTTGAGTAAAGAAAAGTCGCCCAGAATTTGTGGAGGAGAATCCAGATGAAGAAGGAGAAGATGCTGAAGATGAAGCTGTATTGGTAGATGACGTTGTAAAGCGTTCCTAGGCAGGAGACTGGTTTGTCGCAGATAAAGCCTTTGCATCGGCTGCCTCTTTTTGAAAGGTTTGATGACTTTTGTTAATTAAAAAATAAAGGCCTTTATCATAAAGGCTTTATAGAACCCAAAAGCATCGGTAAAATCAAACCTTTCCTTATGTCAGATAGAAATTCCAACATTTTTTCTCTAACTGTACTTTCTTCAAAAACAAAAATCATGGTCCAGTTCTGATTCTAGAAGCAAAATATACAATAGACATTAAGATAATCTAAGTCAGGAGTCCTTCTTCCTTGATTTCAGCAATTCATCGGGGTTCTGTTTCTCACTTGCCCCGCGTGGAATTGAAAATTTTCATTGAATTATGTCGAAAAAGAGAGTTTTTAGACCTATTATTATGAATCATATGCTTGAGAGACCGAGATTTAGTCTTCATTTTTCAACGAAATCTAATAGCAAGGAACTCAAGCAACAAGTCGGCATGCTAGTAGGAGCCCCTTTGTCTAACGATTCTTTGAAACTTGCGCGAGTTGAATTGAAATCGAAGATTGCCTCCATTTATGCCTTCCATCAGAAGCAGCCGGTGGTCCATTGTTCCCCCTCTCCACTTTGCTCCCGTCAAGTGCGCCTTTGTCCCGAAAAACTTCGCAAACAAAACCACCATGTGGCCCTTTTAATTTCCGTCGGCGCCTAAGGGCACTGCACTCCTCGCCTCGAGTGCCTAGGCAACGCCGTACAGGCCCGTTGCCACGAGTGGCACTTCCGTAAATACCGTTCCCAGCGAATTCAAAACCCCGTCAATAGAACTTTGATAGCCTCGGGAGGCAAACAGAACACGCGCTTTTGTGCACACAAAATCGATCCAATGCACCGCGTGATTTTCTCAAAAAATAAATGACAAAAAGAAAATTTCACACAGTAGCGGCATACAGGTGCTGGCCGAAAAAGAAATCGATATGAAAATCAGCTTTCAGGCGTGAGAATTCGCCACTCTTATCATTAAAAATTCAGTTCTAAGCCTTTTAATCTCGCTATTTTGCTATCGACACATTTTGAGGTAATCCTTGAGTACCTGTTTTCGAGGAAGAAAACTGTAACGAAGAGTAATTTTCAATATAACCATCAATACTTTCACTATAAGATTGCACATTTGTCAATCAGTGATGGTTACTTATGCTTATATAAATGCCTTAAGAAAGCGAAATTTCATGTCAAAGTTCATGTAGGTTAATATTCACTTTATCCGTCATCTTAGTCCTCTATGATTCCCAAATTTGTAGCGTAAAGATATTGAATAAGCACTGACATTTTTCTGACCTCATTTTATCTTGATTTATTCAATAACCGTCCTCAAATTAATAAATGATGAGTCGACTACTGATTCATCCAGTGTTGTTTTATTCATTTTACTGTAGCAAACTCAACTGTAAGAAAAGGCCATGTGAAGAACTTTGTTGAACATACCAACTTCGATTCATCTCAAGAAGAACTTCACTCCATCGGTTGCTACGGCTTTGGCAATTGCCAGTCGGCGACCTTTGAAACGGTCTCCATGGTTTTCTATTCGAGGGTCGCGCGCCCACAGGTGGCGCCGATCGCGTCCCTCGTCGCCGTTGCCTCCACTGCTCGATTCATTCTACTTTGCAGCTTGTTACGCAGCGGATCAAAGTTTGAACTCTCTTCTTTTTCATCATGCGAGAAGTTATTTCCGTCCATGTCGGCCAGGCTGGTGTCCAGATGGGTAAGTTCAGAGACATTTTGAGGACTTTAAAAATCAAGTTCGATAATTTTTATTTTAAATTTTTCATTAAAAAATCTTAAAATTGATCGTTTTGTTAAGTTAAATTAAAATTTGATCATCTAACCTCTGATTTCTCCTGTGAAAATCGCTATTTTTGTTGAACGATTTGGGAAATACAGTAATTTGAGCATGAGTAGTCCTGGGCAACGGTTATCGATTTGAATCACGCCGCATTTTAAAAATGCGCAACCAACTGCCCCAATATTAGCCAAGTCTCAAGTGCACCATTCTCTGCCCCGATCACGTATTCTCCGAAACAGGATTTGACTGTTTTATTTAGGTAATGCCTGCTGGGAGCTCTACTGCCTCGAGCACGGTATCCAGCCCGACGGACAGATGCCCTCCGACAAGACCATCGGTGGAGGTGACGATTCCTTCAACACCTTCTTCTCCGAGACTGGCGCTGGCAAGCACGTCCCACGAGCCGTCTTCGTCGATCTCGAGCCCACCGTCGTCGATGAGGTCCGAACCGGCACCTACCGACAGCTCTTCCACCCCGAGCAGCTGATCACTGGCAAGGAAGATGCCGCCAACAACTACGCCCGAGGTCACTACACCATCGGTAAAGAAATCATCGATCTCGTCCTCGACCGAATCCGAAAGCTCGCCGATCAGTGCACTGGTCTCCAGGGTTTCTTGATCTTCCACTCCTTCGGTGGTGGTACCGGATCCGGATTCACCTCCCTCCTCATGGAGCGACTCTCCGTCGACTACGGCAAGAAGTCCAAGCTCGAGTTCGCCGTCTACCCCGCTCCTCAGATCGCCACCGCTGTTGTTGAGCCATACAACTCCATCCTCACCACCCATACCACCCTTGAGCACTCCGACTGTGCCTTCATGGTCGACAACGAGGCCATCTACGACATCTGCCGACGAAACTTGGACATCGAGCGACCAACCTACACCAACTTGAACCGACTCATCGGCCAGATCGTCTCCTCGATCACTGCTTCCCTCCGATTCGACGGTGCCCTCAACGTCGATCTCACTGAGTTCCAGACCAACTTGGTCCCATACCCTCGAATCCACTTCCCTCTCGCCACTTACGCCCCAGTCATCTCCGCTGAGAAGGCCTACCACGAGCAGCTCTCTGTCTCCGAGATCACCAACGCCTGCTTCGAGCCCTCCAACCAGATGGTCAAGTGCGATCCCCGACACGGCAAGTACATGGCCTGCTGCCTCCTCTTCCGAGGTGATGTTGTCCCCAAGGACGTCAACGCCTCCATCGCCAACATCAAGACCAAGCGAACCATCCAGTTCGTCGACTGGTGCCCAACTGGTTTCAAGGTCGGTATCAACTACCAGCCACCAACCGTCGTTCCCGGAGGTGATCTCGCCAAGGTCCAGCGAGCCGTCTGCATGCTCTCCAACACCACCGCCATCGCCGAGGCCTGGGCTCGACTTGACCACAAGTTCGATCTCATGTACGCCAAGCGAGCCTTCGTCCACTGGTAAGTCAAATCTTTAAAGACTGTTCATACTCCTCTATGTCTTCATTCATCTAACCAATTCCTCCTAGGTACGTCGGAGAAGGTATGGAAGAAGGAGAGTTCTCCGAAGCCCGAGAGGATCTTGCTGCCCTCGAGAAGGATTACGAAGAAGTCGGAATCGACTCCATCGAAGCCGAGGATGGTGAAGAAGAAGAATATTAAACACTTCAAACTTTCCACAACCCTTATTTCTTACAAATTCCTGCTGTGAAATAAATCATGGTGGTTATTTTTCCACAAAAAACAAAAACGAATAAACTCTCGTTCTTTAATTTATTACGCTATTCGATGAACAACCAACGAAGACAGATCTATTACCGGTACTGGCATTCAAAATCGTATAATTGTTCCATTTTTGGCGGTCCGTCAATATTCGACGAAACTGGTATAACTACTGAAGAGAGGAATTCGTATGATGAATCAGAATCTTCCCCCTCGGTTTCTTCGTCCTCTTCCGCGGTCCAGTCGTCTTCTTCGGCGAAATCTTCTTCCTCAACTAGGGTTTCCTCTTCCTCAGCTTGGGCAGGCTGTTCTTCCTGAGTCTCCTCTGCAGCTGAAAATTGCTGATCCATTTCATCGTCCCATCTCTTTTTCACAGCTAGAAAAGCGTAAAAGATACTTTAGTTTAGATGAATATTTCTTACTTTGCTCAGCTATTTCAATGAATTCGTCCAAAACTTCAGCCGTAAAGTTGAAATCACGGCCTTTCTCTCTCATCATTTTTCGCACTTCTTGGTTTCTTTCCTTTATGAATCTTTCATCGTCCTCCTTTTTCTGTTGCTCTACTTTTCGTCGAATTTCTTCTCGTTTTCGCTCGTTCTCGCGGCGGAGGTCTTCCTTGATTGCTTCTTGTTCTTGGAGTTCCAGTTGCTTTAGGGAGATGCCTCGGACTTCTCCGCCCAGTTCCATTCCGATGTAGTCAACAAACGACTGAAAAGACAGGTTTTTATCTTTCTCCGAGATTTTAGCTCACCACTGGTTTTTTCGACGATTCCGGCTGTCCGCGATTTATTGTCTTTGCCGCCCGTTTTATCCACGTGACTGTATCTTCCTCTTGAATCTCCTTCTCATCAACCTTCGGCCAAAGCCCCTCGACAAATTCCTTGACATCCAAGTCCACGAGAACACCGTTTTTTTGCGCTTCGTCGATCACTTGAAAAACTTCGAATTCAAGCGCCGATCGCAAGTTGTTTTCCGTTTGCGCGCTGATGCAGTTGATGTCTTTCAAAACGGTGTGGAATCGATTCTTTAACCACTGCAGTTTTTCCTCCATTCCCGCCTTTTTACCGGTTGAAAATATGAGCGTAGGCGGGAAAATGCAGCCACCTACGTCCGCTCGCTCAAAATTTAGACCGGCTTCCTTTTCAGATGGATAAACTTCACCTCTTCTCGCAGCGTTCTGAACAAACTCCTCCATCATCAACGTCACCTCTTTGATGCTTTCCTTCTTTCTTTGTGCATTCGATTTCATCTCCGTTTCGGCCATTTTCACAGCCTAAAAATAGACAATTGATTCTTCTAAAACGTTCTTGTCTGGTAGCTTCTTGTCTGAAAATAGAATCTCTGATCTTACCTTTTGCACCTTTTCGAAATCCATCTTTTTTCTCTCCACGTTTTTACTCTGATTTTGAGATAATCTGATTGGAGAATTCCACTTTCCCACGACGACAAAAATGCCCGCACGCTTGTTTTTGAATTTTCGTGGGCGGGCACTGTAACTCAAATTTTTACAAGTTGAGTGCTAGTGTCAATAAGATGACCTCTTCTTGGCGTTTTAGTGGAGAATTGTTGGGTAGGCAAGGCTTTTCAGCAATCTTGAAAGTGGATATGAAAGATTCTAGAAAAGGCTCATCTTGGAATCAAGTCTCGTAGACATAGACTGGTAGACAAATTTATTTTCCAACACAAAATCAGGAAGAGAATTGAAATAGACCTTTTGATCGATTAATTTATTTTCTTCAAAATCAAGTTTCTTTTCAGTTATCCTTTTTTGTCGCTGTCATCGTTGTTTTCAGAGTCCGATTTCTTCAGAAAGAGCAGACCGACAATCAAACCAACGAGCAAAATAAAATTCACGACGATAAGAATTTTGCGCGTTGTACTAATTTTTGAAACTGTCTCTGTCATTTTTGATCTGTCAGAAAGAGGAACTCTCAGGAAAGAAAATCAGTGTAATAAAAAGAGTCGTCAAAAAGCTCAGTTGGAAAGCAGAGCGTTTGAATGAATAGAGAAATAACAGTATCAAATGATCTTAGCCTAGTTGTTGTCTTCCCGTCAAATTTCAATGAGGACGCATCATCGGTCCTCAAGGGGCTTACCGTTATCAGTTCCAGCAACTCACAATCTCGAGTGGATTCAGTTTACGAAAGAACCCAGTTTTAACGCGCTTTGGGGGGATTTTCATTTTTGAATTTTCTTCTCAATTTTCATTGAGTTCATAAATGATCATTTTCAACCGCTAAAAAACAACCCCCCGCCTGTCAATTTTCGTGAAATTCTCAAGGTGACCATAAGGGTGCGTTTTATGACGAGCGTTGGAATTCCGATAGCATTTCAGTCTATAATTTGAGTGTCATAATGCCGCGTGTTTTTTTACTCTTGAAGTTTGCTACCCGAGTTTGTTACAGAGTATTTGCTCCGGCGCGACCTTCTTATATGAAAAATATGCGCGAAGGTCATTTCCTTACGTCTCCGGTCCTCTACCTGGTCTCAGGGCAGAAGTTTATTACCAAAGTACTTCTTGGACTAATGATGTGTTAGAAAGTCATAACTAAGTGGTCTGGGTTTATTGTTACTGATGACAAAGGAGTTATTGGTTATGGAAACGTTGATTTTAATAACACAGGTTGCGTATTTAATAATTTGTATAATATTAAACAAATAATATTTATATAATTTGAGCCAAAATTTAGCCGACTTTTTGCTGAGTGCCAATAAAAAGGCTCTGACAGATTCGAGAAATAAGAAAAATACCAAGTTACATGTAAGATGTGATTTATTAGTAAGGCGGCTGCAGAAAAAATAATTTTAATGAATAATGCACAGAACTCATTTTTGAAAAGGTTGTTCTTTTCTGCGGGATTATTAAATCCGATATTAGTAATATCATATTACTATTAAACCGATTCTTCGTTGCCCATTGTGTAGATTAGTCTTGTGCAAGAATAACAGCAGTATTCGAATATTTCGTCCGAATAGCAGATATGTTCGTTCCTTCCAACTTGTTCACAGAGGACGGAACTGTCGAAGCAAGATGGGTCGCCTAAAAAAATATGATAATAACCCTTTTATAACTGTATAGCGCGTCAACTATACCTATGTCTGTTCGATTTTTGTTTTCGCCACTGAACACCTGAGTTGCGTTATAAAATATTGAAAACTCCTGAATATCCGGAATGCCATTTCCGTTTTCATCTTTTTCGTCGTCTGGCAATCCATCACCATCATCATCAATGTCGAGCTTATTAGGGATTCCATCACCGTCGTTGTCTTCATCTATATCCGGAATCCCGTCAGCATCATCATCAATGTCTTCTATGTTTGGGATTCCATCACCATCGTCATCTTCAGAAGCATCAGGAATTCCATCATTGTCATCATCCAGGTCTCTATGATCGGGAACACCATCGCCATCGTAGTCCAAAGTTTCGAAACGATAACCTCGTGTTCCTAACACTTTCATGAATTTCAATCAATTTTGAGTTCACCTCGTTGTAACTCTTGGAAGTCATTAAGGCCAGCTATGCCAGAAAGCATTGCTAGAAATAATCGAGGCCAGATCATTGTCGAAAGAAAAATATAAGTAAAATAAATATATGAAGTTAAGTCTCTGTTTCTTCTTTCAAACTAGGCTATCGCAAGTTTATTCAGTAATTCAAATTATTTGTTTGCTTATTAAACAAATCAAGATTAGAAATCAAGCTCAGCGATTGTTAATGTGCTTAAATAGCATTTTTACACTCCTCTTTTTGAGTATCTTATAATCAAAAACTCGCCCTTGGTGATCAATTTCGGGGAATACAGTATTACTAATACTGCTAATTCATCGAAAAATCCAGCGTATTTCTCGTTTTCTCGGAAAGAATTTCGCCCTGTCAAATAAACTCATTCAAATAGCGGAATGAGCAAAACATGCATTCCTCTGCATGTTTCCCCGTTCATTGCATAAGGAGCAAGAGTAACAAGCCGCAGAAGTAATTACAAGAGCTTGAAGTTTCCATGAAGTTTATGGCCAAAACAATCGACTTACTCGTGGGTTCTTTGGGACACGATCGGAATTGTCGAATGTTCGAGAACGGGATAAAAGGTGCTCCGAACGAATTTCAAAATCTCTTTATCTGGGCAAGTTTTTTTTAATTTGCTTTAGCTTTGCATGGATTTTCGTACGAATGAAGTATTTATTTTTGCAAACAGTAACCATCAGGCACAAGAATTGCATATGGGTTCCACCAAGAGAGGAAGGGGGAATGGTCAAGATATTCTCCTTCGATCGAAGTAAAATCTTCATTGAACGTAAATTTAGTCAGTTTTTCCTCTGTACCACCGCCGATAACCATCACCTCGTTATTTGGAAAAAGAACGGCTCTTGAAAACACTCGTCGCGACGTCCTGAAATATATATAGAATAAGAATAAATTTCACTTATCAAACCAAGGAACTATGCCAATATTAGTCCATTCATCGTCGAACAGTCGCCATATTATTCGATCCGATCTAATTGTATTATTTCGCGCTTCAAATGATACATTTACCCAGTTTCTCCAGGGAAAATAACAACTCCAAAGTCGCCCCAAACGGACGAGTAGGCATATAGAAGTTCATCTGGGAATTCAGGAATTTTCTCATCAACTATCCACCCATCAGTAGCACTAGATTTTGATTGCGATGTTGATGGCAAATGGTAGAAGGGGGTTATCATTCAAGATTCCCCTAACCCTAAACCTTATCCGGGAGGCTACGCCCCCCGGGACCCCCCCACCTAAGGCCTAAGCCAGTGGGCTTCGCTCCCGGACCCCTCTTAAGAGTTCACAGTCCCTGGCCCTAACCACTAGCCCTGATTCTAGAGATACTGGATGGCTCCAATCATAGGCTCGAATGATAGCCCCTCTCTACGTGGCAAATGGCAAACCTGTAGCGTTCTACTAATAAGGACTCGCCTCCAATTAGAATTGGATTTCCTTTGTAAGCTGGAATATGGCCACCAATTATTTCATGGCCGTAATTTGTCGATGGTAATTCTTCAGATAAAAATGCTGAGCCATCATAACTTAAAAGAATTTAACAAATAAAAAATTTGCATCATCAACCCTTGAATATGATTGTTTCCATCGTAAAGCATGATAAAAGCTTCTGGGTCTCCGTCTCTCGGCAAGTATCCAACGGATCCATAGAAGCAATCAAAATAAAAACTCACGCCTTCAGCCTTTTTTATATCGCAACCATCGAGAACATGCGTTGCATATTCAATCGCGTTTCCATATTCATCCATTACCCATCCTCCAAATAAATAGGTTGCGCCTTTGTATAAAATTGAGCATCCACTTTCACCAAAAAATCTGCTTTTTTCTGGCCCATAATTTATCTAGAATAATTTTATTGAATCATCAACTGATTCTGTTAGAGTAAGAAAGCAATACTTTTAAGTCTTGAGTGAAGATGTTGAAATTCGCAAGTGCATGCTCATGCTTCAAAAGAGTTGCAAATTTGCTGAGCTGAGTGAGCTGAGCTTGCCGAGTGAGCTGAGCAGTGCTCAGCTCAAACAATTATCACTTAGCTCAGCTCAGCTCAGTTCAATGATTTGAATACAATTATACTACAAAAAATCAGTAAAAACAGCTCAGCTCTGCTAAATCAGCTCCGCTCAGCTCTAATTAGGGTCCGCTCAGCTCAGCTCAGCTCAACTCTCCTAAACAAAAGGTCTGCTCAGCTCAGCTACGCTCAATGATCTCTGAAAGGGCTAGCTCAGCTCAGCTCAGAGAAATTTTTACTCAGGTCAGCTCAGCTCAGAAAAATGATCAAAATTTGCAACTCTGCGCTTCAGGGGATACTCAAAAGGGTCTAAATTTATAATTAAAACCGAAGTGAGCTTTGAGCATTGATAATTCGGGCAAGGACATCCATCAGGGCATCCTTCTTCGCAAGGACAATTCAAAATGTCCTGCGAGTACTGGACGGTACAAAGAGTAACACAACTTGAGCTTCCTCCACAGTTTTGAATGCATTGAAAGAGCTCATTTTCGAGTTCCGCAAAACATTTCAGATGATCTTCATTTTCTTCGGGAAAAGCACAAATACTGCAAACGTCGGCTGGACAATTTTCGCATCCGAGAATACAATCAGCATGGCAAGGACATCCATCAACACAGTCAAAACCTTCCCGGATACAAATTCTCTCGCATGCAGCATCGCCAGGGTTGCAGTCACCAAAACACGCCAAAAGGTTGTTTTCGCAGTTTGTTGAGCATATCTCACCAAGATCAAGATCCGTGCAAGTTTCGTTCAATCTCGCAAGGTTGTTAGAAAATGAATCTTGAAAAAAAGAAAGCTCCATTATTGATTTGAATTTATGTTGACTTAATTTTGGTGCACTTGGGAGCAGGTGATCAACTCTCAGAATAATCAGCATTTCTCACAATTTACAGATCGTGAAATACGAATTGATTACAAGCTGAAATATGGGTGTTATTACATAAGTTTCTATTCAAAATTTAGCAAACTCAATCATCCTCATTCACCCAAAACACTTAAAATTAAGACACCTTTGACTCCAACTTTTTTCACATGATCTTGCTTTTTTCCAATAACAGCGACACACCCTTAAATTTCTGTAATAAAATGTTGTTTGTTTCTACAAGGAGGAGTAATTTCGCTTCAAATTTTCGAGTCTCAAGGATCAGATCATGCCGCAATAGCTCAAATTCCAAACACAAATTTGAAGAATGAAGAAGTCGAAATTCAAGACTTCACTTTTTGTTTTCTAAAACGGAGTACTCGGAGTACTCTTCCCCCGATTACTGGTCATTTTGGTAGCAGCACGTTCTAGTATATAATCGCCGGGTTTTAGGCTCAAAGAAGCTAAGCCCTGAAATAACTTTTTGACGTGGTGATTAACTTCGCTCTCCTCTTAATCAAAATCGATCTAAAGCACCGGAACTCCTCCTGTCTAGCTTGTCTAAAACGCTGAAATTTTCTAAAAAGTCCTGAAATTTTTAAATGCTAAAAAGCATGTTGCCGAAAGATCAACTGACACGTTTAGCCACGTGATGAACAAATTAGGCACGGGACAGAATTTTCGCCTAAATGTTATGAAAACACTAAGTCTAATTCTTCTAGAACTTACAAGTCATAATCATCGTTTATTATTGGTAGAAATATGAGTTTATCAGTTAGAAAATTGAAATATTATGGGAAACGCAGGTGCCAAAGTTTTGGTTTGAAACTTCTTTAGTGCATCATATTTACGATTTACTTTTTCGTGCTGAATCATCAATGATGATATAACCCTATTTTAAACCGCAGATAAGAAAACGCCGAGGCTAAGCCTCTCCCTCCACCAAGATCGTCATCGCTTCAATCCTTCGGAGAAGTTCCACTGAGCTCTGCTGCTGCAATCCCAAAACAACAACAACAGCAAAAACGAGAGAACAAGCGATTTCAATCTAAACGCTTCAAACGAGTTCTTCCTCCATTTTAATAAATTATCATAAATAAACAGATAACCATTTTATCTTAATCTGTTTAAGCTAATAAATGCTTTGAAAAGAAGACCTGAGCATGTCATTTCTCTGAATGACTCTCGATCTCAGCTTTTCAAACGATTATTAAACATCCGCTTTTTTATTCTTATTCAAAACCATTACAATGAGTTAATTTAATGAGACTTAGCTTTTTACGAGCGGCAGCCCGAAAGATTTCCTCGCCATTTTATAAAAGTATTTTCGTATTACAAAGATGTCAGGTTCATCAATTATGTCAGAAAGCTCTCTTGGAAGCTACAAAGATAAAGAGTTCCCAGGCCTTCCAGGAGAAAGAAAATTTTCAGGACTCTCGAAAATGGAAATTGAAGAAATCGTGAATGCCAGAGTAAAAGAGCAAGAAAATCATTTCTCCGAAGAACTGAAGGATTTTAAAACGGTGCATCGTATTAAATTTGAAGACATCGAAAATAATCTTGAAACAAAAGATAAAAATTACGATATTATAAGGGAGGAGGTGAGTCTCCAACTAATCGAATATGAGAAATACAAGCAGTCGATGACGAAAAAAATCGACAATAAAATTTCGGAGTGCATAAATATTCTCACAGAACAGAATAAAAATAGTGAAAAGCTTCGCCTCGAAATTTTTCAAAAAGATTTAAAGAAAATGGAGTTCGATGATTTACAAATGAAATTTAACAAGGAACTGAAGGAAATGCAAAAACAAATGACGAATCAATTTTTAAAATTGCTTGTTTTTTATAATTTCTTTCTAGTTGCGTCTTTCTTCCTCTATCGAAATTCCGAAATATTCGTAGAACTAGCAGATTCATTCATGATCAAATTGAATTTTCCATTTTTATTCATTTATCACGCTTTGAGTAGCCTTATTGCTATGATTTTTTATTTTCTAAAATTATTTTTTATTTATTATACAATTTATTTTTTGTGTATAAATTATGTGTATAGTGATTTTGAATCAATGAAGATAGATAATATCAATGTGATTTTTGCATCAATATTCTTCTTTGCTTCTCTTCTTTTAATCGGAATAGGCATCGGAAAAGACTTATCCAAGTGAAATATTTATATTTCATTCTGTCATTATGATCATTGTTTGCTTCAAATAGTTTCCGATAATCAAATCTCCTTCCCTCTTGGCTCTTTTTACGTTATTGCTAATTACTGTCGCTGAGTTGAATAATAAAGTTCACGCGTGTCTAGCTCTTCTCCCCTTCCATGAAAATCGCTTTCTCCCGCTTTTCTCTTAGATAATTTATTGAATTCATTTTCAACCAAAGTTTGTACAGGTTCAACTCCGTTCTCATCTTCTCAGCCTCATTTTCCGCTTCGTAATATTGTACCAAACATAAAACACAGTAACAAACACAAAGATCAATCCCATTCCAGCCCATTTCCACGCAATAAACGCTAGAAAAAAAAGATATAATTAAGTTTCGTCGTGAAAATCTCTAATCTGCAGCTGCGAGTTGAGAAATTTTTCGAGGTTAGCAAGCTGCACAAGATGTTTTTTAGAAAGATTGCAAAGAAATAAACTTGATTTTCTGAAATAATTTATACAATAAATTAAATAAAATTAATTTCAAGCAGATCTTAAATAAAAAACTAGAGGGTCTAAAGAGCTAAAATGAAAAGCCGCGTAGCGGCTTTTTTATTAACGAAACCGCACAGCGGCTTCGCAAATGGTAGAGTCTACATCTTTTATTGATTTTCGCGCAAAGCGGCTTCGCAGAAAAATAAGCCGCTACGCGGCTTTTCATTTCAGCTTTTTAGAGTCAGGGTTCCTGAATAGATTGCAGAGCCGATTCTCATTTGATGATTTAAGGGTATCAAGTTCTTAAAAAAAAAGCCGTGTTTTCCCATTTATCTACCTGGAAGCAAGTAAGTATATCTCACCAAGCGAGGTAGTTACTTATACTAAAACACGTTTAAAATGCTTGTCTCTCAGCGATAACGTTTAAAAAATCCATGTAGAGCTTTTAAACACGCGAGATTAGAGAATTCGCAAACTTGTGCTCGGCGTTCTTGAGCTCGAGATAAATATTTTTACAAAATTATTTCATGCTATCTTATCTCACGTCGCATGTAGCTTACAGGCGACTTCTAGCTATTACCTTTGTATTCCCAGTTGTGGATGTCCTCCATAATCCCCAAATTTTCACGAGTAGCCGAATCATTTAACCAAAAAGGCATCTTTTTAACTATTTTTTTCAATAATTTGCTGGTTATTTGGAGTTTTGGCCGAGGCAGATTGAACTGGCGTCCTCTAATGAGCTTCACGTCGAATTTATTATACAGAAATCTTCTTCGGCCGACTGTAGGGAAAACAGATAAGCCGCGGGAGTAGAGACAACACGGGGAGAAAGAAGAGATTATTCGGAATTATTTATTCCTTGCAAATAAAAAAGTGCAATATTCGGGGAAGCAAACTTTCTCTTTATCGTTGGGGTATGTTAGCCTGTTAATGATAATGCTCTCATCATTATTTTCACAGTCAGTTCTATTCTTCAAATGAGAGAAAGAAGCGAAAAAATATGGGCAATTTTTTTGATTATTTTCACTGGGATTCTAATTTCGATTCCTATTAATAATCATAAAATAAGACGAGTGGATGTTCTAGATAAAGACCTTGCGCCAGGAATGACAACAACTGTTCAAGCCCCTGGGCCATTAACATCACCACGTGCACAATCAACTGCATCAACAAGTTTAGCACTGACAAGTGTTCAAAAGGAAGCAACCACTTCTATGCTCATAACAACAATTACCAAAATAACATCACCAACTATGCTGACACAAACCATGCTACATACAACGACAACGACAGTCACCACAACAACCAATAAAGCGACAATGACAACAACTAAAACAGTCACTACAGCTACAACTTCAACAGCGACGACTTCAACAACGACCACCATGACGACGTCAACTACATCAGCAACTGCAACTATAACGACTACAACAACAACAACAACAACCACAACAACTACATCGACTACAACCACAACAACTACAGCCGCAACAACCACAACCAAAACTACAACTTCAACTACAACTAATTACTGTGCATCGCCAGCCTCAAACGACTGCTCAGTGACGATTCCAGAAATTTGCCATAAATTCTCAGAAAAAATCACGATAATAGATAGTTGTGAACTAGAACCGCGGCAAATGTGTGTCATGTCCACCAACAGTGTGACCCTGCATTTCGCTCTAAGCGTTGATGTTTTCTGTGATCATACTCTACCTTTAGACGACTGGAAATCAATCTTTCACGTCACCGGTGGAGGTAATTATGGCAGCATTGGAGATCGCGTGTTTGCAATATGGAGAAACCCAAGCGATCATTCTTTGTATATAGCTGTAAATTATCCGGAAGTTGGCAGCGAAAAAGCGGTTAATAGACCATGTACGTCTGGAGAATGGAATAATTATTCTCTTGAAGTCAGAGCTCCCGTTAATCAATTCTACGTTGAGTACGATTTGAAACAAGATGGGCTGGTTATTGGTTCTGGTTCCTACCTAATATCTAGCGCTTATTCTTCAGGACCGTTGAAATTTTATGTCAGCGATCCCTGGCATGATGCAGGATCTTCTTATCTTGTCAGAAATTTCTTTTACTGCTATGATAATGCTTCTGGTCCAAAATAAATGATCCGCAAAACAATTTATGTTTTAATATTTGAGTTGTATTTATTACAAAAAATGAAGATTTGAACTTTATTCAAGAAGCTGTTTTTTTATAATTGATTGTTTTTCTTTTTCATTTTTCGGGAGTTTTCTCTTTATACATCTTGGGTTGGATTTTCTTTGCCGTTGTTATTTTTAGTCGATCAAACATGTGGTCATTTTCAGCAAGCATCACTCAGACGGTCCACAGTTCTTTTAGCTTGAATGGATATACTTACACATACCCGCTCGTCTTTTTTGATTATAATTTTTTGTGAAGAAATTGTGCAAAAGAAAATTATTTTGTTAAATAATCAAAAAAAGATGATGATTGTCTTAGTTTGAGTTTTCTTCTTCTTCAAGCCTTGGTTTTCGGATTGATCTTCCTCGTTTGACGGAGTCACTTTGGCTTGCGACCATTGATTCACAATCGTGCCTAGAAAATGAAAAAGGATGAGATTTTTGACTCAAAAAATGATTTTTCTTTAAAAAGCTCAAAATTTTAACCCATCGAAGTCCAAATGGATCATTTTTGCTCATTATGTCATTAACCTGCCCGTACACCCTTAAAACATCAATTTTCCTTAAGTATATCCCCCCGAAATGATCGAAAATCGACCACCTTTCAAATAATTCAATCAAAAATGACCGGTAATAACTCGTTTTTTCTCCGAAGACTTCTTTTTGATCTTCCTACTAGAATCGTAATTTTTCAAGAGCCCTTCGTGTTAATAAAATATTCTCAAGAGTACTCCAAGTCTTTTTTTACGCGTTAGTCAGTAGTAACCCAACTGTAGAGGGGTCGTTATTTTTTTGTGTTTATTTTACCTGTGGACAAACTGCGCGTTGGAAACTGAAGCGACGAGGGATTCAGATTTTGCTGAGCCACAATCGCTCTGGGCAGAAGTGATCGCAGTCCTGGGTGAATCGGTTGGTCCAACAGCCGAGACAGCTCTTGAATTAAAATAACATAGGTCATCCCCTTGTTACCAGGATAAACGTTGGCGAAAATCTGAATTTAGCCGGATAAACTCCAGGCAAACTTGCCCCCATGTTAGCAGGATAAACTTTGGCAAAAGGGCTCATTGTTAGCAGGGTAAACTTTGGCACTCAATTAACAGGGTAGCGTGAATCATCAGCGCTCGCCCAGGGCGTGACGTAACAGTTAGCCCGAGGAGGACTTAACCTGCTGGAAGAAAATGCCAATGAAAAATATCTACATAAAATCTGCTTGAAAATTTCAATATATATTTATAAATTCAGTATTTAATACAAATTAACGATTTTATCATTATTAATTTTAATTTTGATATTTATTCGTATTTTTAATTATTTATTTTTAGGGCTTAGGAGGGTAGGCACCAGAGTTGCAAATTTGGCTTTATTTTCGCTGAGCTGAGTGAGCTGAGTTGAGCTACTTTTTACTGTATTTTAGTAGTAAAATTGTGTTAAAATCATTGAGCTGAGCTGAATGATTATCGACGATAATTTATCGTCTGAGCTGAGCAGATCAGTTCACTTTTGAAAATCACTGAGCAGTCTCAGCTCACTCAACTCAGCAAATTCGAAACTCTGGTAGGCACATTATACAGTATTAGAAAGCTCGGAAGCTGAGCTTTATTTTGACCATTGATAACGGGGTGATCTCGTACCTGCTCCTTTTCGGACTCTAACCATCTTTCAAGAAGAAAAATCTCCAAAGTTGATCCCGAGTGATCCCAGGTAACCCCAACTTGACCTCAGGTCAGCAATGATGCAGATATTATATCCAATATTGGATATACAGACGACTCGCACAATTTGGACCCGCACAATTCGGCCCTTTTTGCTAATTTTCCGAAGAATTAAACATTATCTAATGATTCGGACCCGCACAATTCGGTCCTTTTTTGAGAAATCGGGAAAACAAAATTGGGCCAAATTGTGCGAGTCGTCTGTATAAGATATTAGTCCCTATATTCTATAATGATATGGGCTATACTTCATCGAAGTCGCTTGATCTAATGAATGGCCTCGGAATCCTGTAAACAGGAACAGAGACAGGAACAGGGTCCCTGTTACAGGGATCTTATTTTTGGCCCATTTGCAAAACAGGAAACAGGACAGGATAACAGGTCCGGTTTTACAGGTTTCACAGGCTTTGCAGGCCTGTAAACTCAAATTTCAGGTTTTTTATTTTTCCTTGAAGAATCAAAATTAAAAATTTTTTCTCGTTATAATCATGTCTATAGACAGTTCCGACTAAAAATAGGTTCTTTAAAACATATTTGAACGAAATTCCAAGAAAATTTTTACGAAAAATACCCGATCTTCCCTATTTCTCGCCTGTTTTCCTGCAATTTTTTTACAGGCCTGTTTCACTTTTAAAGGGCTGTTCCTGTATACAGGCGTGTTTTCCTGTATTTCCTGTTAATAGGCCTGTTTACAGGTTTATATTGGTCTCGAAATGCAAGACAGGAAACAGGACAGGGTCCAAAAAACAGGAAACAGGACCTGTTTCAGGTTTTTAGACAGGTCAGAATTCCGAGGCCAGGCTGGGAGTTTCCGGATCGGATCTAAGATGGCCAGTTTCAAAATAAAGCTTAGCAGCTAAGCCTTAGCTACAACTCTGGTGCCTACCTTCCTAAGCCCTAAAAATTAATTTAAAAAAATTATATATCAAAATTAAAATTAATAATATAAAATTGTTCACTTGTATTTCAAGCAGATTTGCTTCATTCGCATTTTCTTCCAGCAGGTTGAGTCCTCCTCGGGCTAACAGTTACGTCACGCCCTGGGCGAGCGCTGATGATTCACGCTACCCTGTTAATTGAGTGCCAAAGTTTACCCTGCTAACAATGAGCCCTTTTGCCAAAGTTTATCCTGCTAACATGGGGGCAAGTTTGCCTGGGGTTTATCCTGCTAAATTCAGATTTTCGCCAACGTTTATCCTGGTAACAAGGGGATGACCTATGTTACATAAAAACTCAGCTCTCTAAAGAGGCTTCTATCTTACCTAGATCCTCTTCTCAGCGATCGGACAGTATCGAGAACAGAGCCAACTACAGACGTAGCTCTGCTCTGGACGCCGTTGAGGATGACAATGGAGTCGTAGCTTGGTGGCATGCCGATCACGTGCTCGTATGCTGGTGGTTCATCGCCATAAGAGCGGGAAGATGATTCGCCAGGGAGTTCCAACTGATGCTTCAACTGGGTTTCACGAGAATATTTACTTTTTCGACACCATAAAAGTAAGATTTTAACTATTAATATATATTTAATCATTATTATAGGCATTGGCAATCAATTAAAAGGAGCAAAATCATAACAAATGATAGGACAGACTATTTTATTTTTTTGTAAATATCAGAAACAAATCTAAACAGAATTATCATTTAATATGGCTCTTATATGTTTGAACTATCTACCAGGGTAAAACAGGTGTTCTTTACGTGTCTCTCTTTGTTTTAGCTAACTAATAAAAGCCAGGAACTTAGAGAAAAACGATGATGAATCCGGTGGTGCACGTGGTCGTGTGATTAAAACCCTTCCCTGCTGGCTTAGCGTGAGCGCCCTGAGAAAATCCTCCGAGTTGATGACTTGATTTTGCGCCATTTGATTCTGCCGCATCATCCGCCTTCTTCTAAACAGAAATTAATAAACTTTTCTCATCAAAATCATGTCATTTCCGACGACCTGAAGATTTGGCTAAGCTTTTTCTTTCAATCAACTTTCTTTAGAAAAAAAATTCCATAAGCAATTTTAACCTATTGAAGTCAAAAGGGCACATTTTTGGCAAAATTGCCTTCAACTGCCCTCTACACCCTTAAAATACCTTTTTTATTGAGGGTATCCCTATGATAAGACCCTTAATTTATTATTCTTTAAAATTGAGCAACGAAATAAGGGGCTCCTTCCGAAATTTAAAGCATTAGAACCATTTAAAGTTCAAATTCGCAGCTTCGAATTCATCCCAGAAGAGCGCGTCTCCTCGATAAACTCAGAACCAAAAGGTTATCTCGTTGGCCGTGAATATTTTAAGAATAATTAAGCCGTCTGCTCCTTGGCTTATTTTCTTAGCCAAACGGGCCAAGGTCTAATTTTTTTTAGAAAATCGACTTTACCTCCTGTCGTTTACGATTTTCTGGCGGCGGCAGACGAGGAATGTTTTCAGGCAGCAGACCAGGAGGACGAGGAGGAGGACGATCATGACGACGACGAAGAGGGTCGCGGTGATGTTGGTGTAGTCATAGTCTTTTGATTGGATGGAAAAAATGATTTCTCGTATTACCGACAGTAGCACATTAGCGATTTTTTCTGATGAGTTCTCAAACCAAAAATTGAATAAAACATCAAATTCATCATCACTTTTGATGATTTATGGTTTTTTACTTGGAATTTCTGAAAATTTTTCAATATTATTGTTTAACGAAAAAGTCGCAAAACTGAAACCACGGGGCCCTCAGTTATATTTCTGCAATTTTCGTTATCGATGTTCAATTTTAAGGTCTCCTAAAAGTTCAACCTTCTTCGCCAAAAACAAGAATGAAAGCAAAATGCTTCGACATATTCCTCTGTGGTCCCCCGATCCCCACAACAAACCCTCCCGCCAAACGTGCCCGTATGTGTCTTTTTCTTTATCTCTAAAGACAGAGCCGAAATAGAAGGGCGTGTGAAGCAAGAAGAGATGTGAATTTCGCACTTGGCGGTTTTGGGTCCTTTTCAGGTGTCTTTGCATAACGATAACGAATGCTGCTATTCCTGCCACTGCAAATTATGAGCTCCTGCTTTAGATAAGAAAAAGCGCCGCTAAATTCAGAGTATATATTCAAGTCCTTTTCAAGTTGAACTCGAATTGAACAACGCGCACTTGCGTAAGCCCCGGTTTTTTTATCGATGAGCTTAAATATTTACTTCTACGAATGTAACTAATCCGCTTCGTCGCTGACGCAACGGGCTGGTGATAAAGTTTCAACCCTTTTTTCGCGAAAAAAAGTGCAGAAAAAGGGCCCCTCTTGAAATTCAAGCGTTTTCATTAAACTAAAGACATCCTCCTCGGAAGTCAAAGAAGATCCCTAAAGGATATTAGCAAATCCTTAAATTAGGAAAAAAACGGGTTCGAGGAGGAAGTTTAGGGAACGGGAAATTAAGTACCGTGAACGCTACCTTGTTTGGCGGGAGAGGAAAGGTCTAAAAGTAGCGAAAGGAATCTGGGCCCGGACTCCCGGAGACCTCAAAAATTTGTAAAATCAAGTGACGTTTGATCAAATATCATGTAAAATCGCAGAGCGCAACAAAATTGTTGAAGGATTTTTTAGACTCTAAATCTTTTTCTTTCATAAAAATTTCGTATAAGAGACAATTAAGGGACCCCCACACGATATTTTGGAAAGAAAAAAGGGAGAAAATTCCAATAAGGCAAGAAAAAGAAGCGTCAATTTAAGACGAACCCTCGAAATTCGGATCCGAAAGGGTTCAACTTTGTTGAAAAAAAGTGGAAGCAATTGTCAAACAAAAAAGACTTCACGGTGACAGTTTGTTAGGTAATTATACGCTGTGCAGAGCCTTAACAAAAGGTCGTGGCTGAATCATGAATCCTGAATTACAATTGAAATACCGACAAAATATCTTCCAAAAGCAAGAAGCAGAAAAAATGATAATGTGAAAAAAAAGAAGCCCAAGATTCCAGGAAGCGCTCGTGGCTAATTAGCTCAATTTCTGTTTATAACAGTACGTCAGTTTTTCGCCAATTAAAGCCCTAATTGACCGTGCCTTCCCGTCCAAGCTCACGCAAATTGAAGAAGATAGGCCACGCTGCTTCAGGCGTTCCTCTGTACTTTTAAAAAACTCCAGTGAACTTTTTTTTTTCTTATCAGCGGTTTTTGATGATTTGGCTCAAAAGTCTAAAATGACTCAAAACAGAGTTATATCCTTATCAACAACAAGCCGCGGTATTGCCGCATACAAGATTAAGATTCTTGCGGCGAGGAGAAATTTACATCATTTTTTTGATAATTTTTTTAATTAATTTTTTTATTATTTTTATTTTTCATATCCAAAACAAAGTCAAAAAAAGGGTTCAAACTTGACCTAATTAATTGTTCATTTATAATTGAAATTCTAGCTTCAGAAATAGGTTTCTCCCCCTGGCCCATTTATTAGTCTAATTATGTCCTTAATTATCTGTCGATTGTCAAATTAATTTAAATCAGTTCACGGCGATGCCGGCGGAAAAACGTTGTGATCCGGGAAAAAAGGGTTGGTTGACCAAAATTTGACGCAGAAATTGTCACGATAAATTGCTCCTGCAGAAACTCAACACCCTCAGTACTCTCACACGTGTAAGCGTTCTAACGTTTATTCTAGTACAGCAGTTAGGCTCAACAAAACAAACACGGGTTCTACAGCGTCTCCAGCGGTGATGATGGAGGCCCGAGAAGGATACACGTGATGGAAGTTGATGTTGGAAGCTGCGTCTCCACGTTCACTGAACAAACCTGAAATCCGATTAGTCTGCTGTAGCTCCACTAGAATCTCTAAATAAACGTGCTTCACCTCGAGTTCGAACGCTAAGCGTATGAGCAACGGTTGGTGCGAACTCAGCCGACCGTTCTCGCGCGTAGGTTTTCTTCCTGAGGGCAGGCGAGCCTGGCCGAACCATTATTCTATCGTCTAAATCCTAACGTCCCCCCTATTTGACCGAAGTAAACCTACCAGACCTACGTTTAGTATCTTCCCCGTCGAGCGCCGCGGCCGTTGAATGATCCTCGTTTTGGCGCGAAACCGTGATAGTTTCCTCGGGCTGGAGCAGGTCGTTTATATGCTCCTTCGCCGCTGAATCCTCCAGATGCTGAGCTCCACGAGCGTCCACCCGTGTACACTTTCCAGTGCTGGGCCCATGCTGGAAGGGGAATCCTCTCAACCACGTGACGGTTTTCCTCGATGCTGAAGGATGTTTCTAGGCAGCGCAAGCTTCCATTGCCGCCGACTATCACAAGTTGACAAGGCCGAAGGTGGTCCATCCCGAGCACGTGACAAAGCCTGGCCTTTTCGCCCCACTTCGAGCAATACTCGATCAACGTCTCCAACGTCCAATTCTTCATTTCCTCCACCGATTGGATGAAGTCCAAGCCCGCCGCTTGACTTTTGATTGCCAACTCCGACGTGGTATCGACCCATCCCCGGAGCTCGTCCTTTGACGCCTTTTCTCCCGGCTTTGGCGAGAGCTGATAATATTGTTAAATCGATGGGAACCCCGCCGGGTTTTTATCGAATATCGCAACGTGAATCAATACCCGTTTATTTCACTTACCCAGTTGGGGCTAAGGGCGCTAAAGAGACCCTGGAGATTGACCACGTTCGCCTTGATCAAATCGTCAGCCACAACCTCACTCGCCATATTCCAGAATCTTGATTTTAACTCCTCAGTGCTGTCACACTCGTAGAGCTTCATTCTAAATCCCGACGACTTCGGGAAAAAGAGATCGTTCACCGTCACGAGGTAAGAATAGTAACCCCCAACAAGCCGAGGCGCGTTTATGAATTGATCCACTAGGTCTTGCGACCCCTTCAGCTGCAACAGCACGAATGGAAGCGTCGACGTTCGCGTGTTCTTCTGAACTCTACCGGTAAGTTTCCTTTACTACACGTGTAAGCAGACCTGTTCTTCAACCGTGAAAATCATTCGCTCCGCCTTCGCAATCTTATCACATAAGATGCGGAGAGCCGACATAAACTTTTTCACTTCCGGATCGTTTTCGTTAATCTTCACGTCCTCGATCTTTGCGAATGTGCTGACGAATTGCGCCACGGGTACGCCGCCCTTGAGCTCGTTTCTTGCACGTGTAGATTCTTCTGACAACTTGACGTCGCGGGCTAGATCTAACTGGCCCGAAGTCATCCGGCGCTTATCATCCGTCTTGAACATGCTCGTGGTTTCTGGTGGTTGGTAGCCATCATCTAGGTCACGGAAGGACGGGCCTGCCGTTTCCATTTCCATAGGGGTAGACTTTTTAGGGGGCATTCAGTCTAAACCGGAATTCAATTAATAAATTTATCTACGTCTATTTTGATTAGCTCGGTACACGGGAAAGTTAGTTAAAACACGTGTTGAATGCCCCGTCCGGCGGGAGAAGTTACTCCTCGTTGATTTCGTCGTTGTCTCCATACTGGGAGCCTAAACCACTTATTACTTTTGGCTTTTTAGGTCTTTTCCGAAGATTTTCTCCAGAGAATTGACCGGCATCGAGGCCTACTTCAACAATCTTGCCCGCCGCCGCGAACTACATCCAGACCGCCCACGTGATCTCCTCTACAAGTACGAGTTCGATGCCCGCAGCGTGTTTCCTCAACGTGGGACCCGCCGAGCCTACCGAGATGAAAACGTTGCGAATTCTACCCAGCGTATCACCTCACTTCGTGTCCTCTCTGACGTGCTCGGAGTCGATATTACTCCCGCTCTGCTCCGAACCGGTCGAATTCCAATTCGCGTGAGATTCGAAATCGACGGCCATCGTGAAGATCTTCGAGCTGAAATTCACCTTCCACGACCTGTTGACCTCCAGGTCAACGTCTACACTCTTTACTGCGAATATCAGTCCGCAGTCAACCGAATTTCTGACGACCGAGACCGTATCACACGTGATCATCGTGCTATCGCGTGTCGCCGCTTCTTGGTGCACCTTCTGCGCTACACCACCTTCCGAATTCACGACGCTGCCCAGCTCTTCCACAAAATCAACCGGCCGCTTTCACACGAGATTGGCGATCCATCTGTAGGATACTTTCACTACAGTCTTGACCACGCCCCGCCATACTTCGTCTTTCTGCTCTGGTCCGTCGCTCTGCACGGGGTAAGTACTTTATTCTAAATCACTTTGCGTTTAAACTTGCCTTTTCTAACTCAACCTTATAGCGAGTACTCTACGCACGCCGGTGGGGCTTTACACCGCAAAATGGGCGCCCACATTCACTCGTGTTTAACAGATCATCTCTCCGCAATCCTGCCAGCCCAGAGTCCAACATTATCAGGTGTATTACCTCGGTCTTCGGGCGTGATGTTTTCAACAACAGCGAGCACGGATACCGCGGCAGCCTCGGGGACGACAACAGTAAAGGTGACGCGTGAAGTCGCTTTTCCACGTGCTAAAATTCACTAGTCATTGTTCGTCTCAACTTCAACGATCTCCCGCGCTTCTTCACTGATCACAACCTTTCGATGATCATGTTCCTCGCCCTCTATCTCTTCCAGTGTA